AGGATCGGTATCTTTATGGCCCTTTCTTTGCTTCTGAGCACGAGATCTTGTAATAGGACCTTTCATTTTGGTTGCGACCGTATTGAAAATTGCAGGTTATGAGGAGAGAGTTCAAGCGGGGTTGAATTTTCGCGATGGTGTGGCTGGTTGCATCAGAGTGTCCCAGTTCTTAATCTCGCCGCGAGTAGATGACAATGACAAATCATCCTGCGATGAAAGTGAGGCGGAAAAGGAGCAAGCATCAGACGAAATCCAGGAAAATTACAAGCTAAGGAAATTCTGATGGAGTCCAATTGAAGGATCAGGGTACTTGCGTTCGCTGAAAGTATTGTTGTAAAACAGCCTCGCTCTGGTGACAGTAGAAGGAAGGAAGGAAGGAAGGAGAGAAACAAAACCTTAAAATGGTCATGATCGGAAGTACAGCGGGTTGGGCGTACCGTACCATGACGACAGGGACGTCTTGGCGGTGTGTGTGGGACCAGATTAGATGGCATATCAGATGATAAGATCACTCCCTCTGAAATTCATTGTTTAGTACATATATAAGTTAGATACCAAGTAGAGAAACGAGATCACTTGTGAGCCTGAACTCGGATAAGCAGTCGGCACGGGCAGCGGATTATTGTCACAAGAAATCACTCGTGTCATTGTTGTTCTGTGTCCATGCCTGAATCGTTCGTTCCGGGGCCCGTGAGGATCCGACTCGGTCGGGATTATACTCTAACAAACGCAAAACATCTTGGTCTTATGTAAGAGTGAGTATATAATAGGTGTGTGTTTGAGCTATGATACGTGCGTGGGACACTGTACGGTGCTTAGGTACAGACGGGAAAATCGGAAAAAAAATAAAGACGAGCAAGGTATGGAGAATAATGAGTTCTGGTAGACACAAACGGCTCGTGGTTGGTGTCGGGTACATTCTCTCGCTGGTAGGTTAAACAGGAGATCTCGAGCCTGGACTGGTGGGTATAAACTGGCCTCAGTACGGATTAGCTCGGCAGCTAACGACACTGCAGCCCCCTTGGTCCGAGCCATCTATCATGCCTCACGATGTCGACGCAAGGAGACACAGTGGCCGGCTCGTGAGCGCCCAGAACTGCGTGAATTCATTCTATCAGGAAATAGTGGGGCACATTTTAGGCCCTCTAGCATTCCATACCTCCCTTATATTATTGATATGCAGTCCCACCACACAGCGCAACTAACAGGGTTCCGCTCCCAAGTTTCTACGCCTGACATCATTGAATCGAATGACATCATAAACTATCCACAGCCAATGAACACCCAATAACTATAATGCTTCATACCAACTCGGAAGTAGTGGATCATTTCTTTCCCAAGGACTTTCACAAGACCTTGGTCATGAAGAGATTCGCCCGCAAGTGGCCGGGGGTTAAGTTTAGAGGGCTGGTCCGAAATATACGAGGGATCAAAAGGCAGGAGTACCCATCCTCAGCAGTAGACCGCTGCCACTATAATCAGAGGGATGCTGTACCGGTACCCTCTTTTACTCGCTCGCTTTTTTGTGCTCACAAAAAAAGGGGGGTGGGGGAAACGGAAGCTGGTTAGTTCCCAGTGAATGTTGTGCGCTCAGGATTGATTTTGCTGTCAATGTGGGCCGAATATTCTCGGATGCAGGAGGTCCAATTGCTTTCATAATTTTCATTGAGTGTAACTTAAAAAAATCACCTTAACCTCGCATTCTCATCCATTCTCCCTGCAGACTTAGAAGTTTGTGTTCGTTAAAAAAAAAAAGCCCACTCATGCAGCGACGTCGTTGCTACTACGGTCGATAGGATATCACGAGATTCACAGCTGACTTTGATAATATTAAATTACGTTATTATCACAAGCATAATATTCTAGTATCGGATCATAATACATCACTCGGGCCTGGTCCGCCTCGTTCCCTCTATCATAGAATTCTGCACCGGTAGCCCCCGATTTTCCTCACGCAACATTCCTAACCAACCGGTGTCTCTTTATCGTTTCAACTCGGGTCCATCTCGCCTGGGAACTGATCCGAACCCAACTACCGGTACCGTAGTTAGCAAACTTTCAGCGGGTCAAACAACGACTATGTTTCAGGTCTCCATTGTTCCATCGGTGCTTCGGCACCCCCCCCTACCGTAGCTGCTACTCGAGCAGTATCACTCCCAATTCAAGGCTCGTTTCTCCACAAGCCCTCCCTGATATGACTGACTGGCTTTGGTCGCATCTGTAATTTCTACTTGTTCGTATCCTAGCGTGGCTCGTGTGGGGGACTTTTTCTTCTCCTTGAGGGTCGCCAAGCACGACAGAATATTCATCCAGACAGCTTATTTCTGCCATCATCAGTCGTCACTCACATTAAGTTACCGTTCCCTTGCCCTCGCGTCGTCCTTGGGGTCGGTGGGTCACTCCGGGAGTATATATATATATATTTCGCTCATCCCGATAATATATATCCACCGGGCGCAATTTACGGAGTAATCATATCGTTAGGACATTGTGCCTGACCGCCCGGCCATAAATAAAGTGGGCCCCTATTGACCGGGTGCCCACGCAAAAGCCTCCCGTCCATCACCTACGCAGGCTTGTGAGTATCCCAGATCTATTCGTAACCTCACGCATTGGCTAGTGAGACCTTGCGCTTTTCATCTGCCAACTCAATTGGCTTCTCCCCTATCCCCACAGTCGTTGTCGCTGCTTACGATTTGGCCACACCCCCCGGCCATTTCGATAACTAAGCCGATGTTTAGACTTGGCTGGTCAGGCGGTGCCTGCGGTAGACCAGATAGCCGAGTGCCCTCTTCTTCACCAGGGTCTGTGCAACTATCGTCGTGGTGGAGGAAATGCCATTTCTCCTTTTTCTCGTGGATGTTTCTGCTAACCTGGTTCTTGAAAGGGGCCATTGTGACTGGGGCAGGCAGGAAAAACCATCGTACTTCTCCCGCATCAGCTCGTGTTATACAAGTACGTTATCGGTCGCACCATGCACAATATCATCCCCCAGAGTCTTAATATGCTATTTTTACCTCGGCCCTGGTGATGGTCATTGCAGCCAATCGGGTCGCCTACTACGATTTTCGAATTCAAATGTTCTCTGGGCATCCTGTGGCTGTTGCGCGGTTGACCACTGGGCTCGAACTTTGGTAGGCTGTGGCTGAAGGCCCCACGCTCGCTACCGGTAAAGTACTGGTACGGGTAACCGGTACTCGTGATTGTCCGCAGCCACAGACCATGAAGTGAGCAGAGCTTACGTACGCTTCTGGCTGATACGGAGCCAAGAGGGCATTCTCTTTTTTCTTTCTTCCTTAACTCCCATTCGAGTGCAGTACCGGTAAGGGATCAAAGGGATTCCCGCCAGCTCAATGGTCCTGGCGTTCTGGAGGTGAGAGAGGGAAGCCCGGAGACAACCTTTTTTTCCTGCCTTCGCCACACAGGGTACCTTCCGTACTCGTACGGCAGGGTTCCGGCTGGCATGGATACTCCAAGAATCCATGCTGGAGATGCCCATCTCAAGGTGAAGGCCGAGGTGTTTTCATTCAACTCTGAAACGATCAGGATTGAAGCACCAGTCAGGATAAGGTTAGTCATTTTCCTTTGGCGGACACGCACACTGGCACTTGCTAATGCGCTAAACCGATTACAGAGGGTGAGACAGGGTGAGGGAAGGGATGTGTGGAGGGTGCAAGGGTTTATCGGCTGTGATGCATGGCGGGAGAAATTCAGGAGGGAGGTGATGCTATCTTGGGTACCCACCATTCTGGCATTCCCACTCCTCACCTTGTCCCTTCTGGGGGGGGGGGGGGGCCATGGAGCACTATGGCACGAGTGTTTGTTGGTACTCGAGTACCTAAAAATGGTCTCACGAACACTCTCCCCGTCCACTGAAAAGTCCGACTGAGTGGGTGATTGGATGTGCGCCACTCCGCGGTACCTTTGGCTCATTTCATTATTTTTAAATTCTCCTTCTTGAATCATTTACCGGTATCCTTTCTCTTCTTTTTCCCTTTATCGGCTTTGTGATCGGGGTACGAGTATGTACCGTACGGGATCTCCCTGCCTCGAATTCCACCTGCTCTGCCCTGCTTCTGCTGCTTGCCCTCTGCTACCCGCACCTGTTTGTTTCCATTCCGCTTCCTGTGTTCACTTGGGCGAACAGGTGCACCGCTATTGAGCTGATTTCAATACCGTAGCAGCAGCAGCGGCGGCGGCAGCTTTCCGCTTCCTCCCCCCCCCCCCCCCCCCGCCGCATTGCGAGACGGCGGTTTTGTGTTGGAGCCGCCTCCTCCTCCCCTCTCCCCTCCGACACTTGTCTGCCCCATCCCTCAGGGCATCCGTCTTCTCTCCCCTTCACCACCCATTCTGACCTGCTCGCTTGTGCATTTTCCTGGTCAGACACTGCGACCCAGTCGGGGTTAGCTCGCTCTTCGCCCTTTTCTGCCAGGGTTCCTGTGCTTCGTCCCTCGATCGAAGACTGAATACCGGTACGTTTCTCTCTCCAGGCGGTAAGTCGCTCCCTTGCCTCGCAACACCCCCGGAGGGACCACCACCTTCATCCCTCCTTCTTCATCCCAAGCCTCAGCAAACACGCTTCTGGGCGCAGACACTGCCCTTTGGCCGTCATCCCCTTTCCTCGTCTCCCACGTTTAGCCCCGCCAGTACTTTCCCGGGCGGAGAACTATTCTTCGTGGGCCACATCGGTTGCTCCTTGCTCTGCGTCAACATCTGACGAGTATATGCGTTTTTAGCTGTTTATTGGCCGGTCTTTTTGGAATCCATCATATATTGCTGGATTTCCGGCACACTTTTTTTTCTTCACCACTCAGAAGGGGGGCTCAGATTCGCAGCACCTTTCCCGTCGTTTTCGCTTCCACCGGCTCGGTGGCCAAACATTTCAGTTACTCTGATTTTCGGGAGAAGGGGTGGAGAAAATTTTACGAGAGGGCAGAGGCTCAATCAAGAGGACGACAGAACAGCATTGAGGAGAGATACGTCAGTCGCCCGGTGGACTTTGAACCACTATAATATTTGCAGGAACAGCAGGGACAGGAGAGAGATCTGTACTCGCTGGAGGATTCTTGTTTTTTCCCTTTCCTTCCCTTTTTTCTCTTTCTCTCCATTGGTTGGGGATAAGGAGACAACGCTGGACGTTCTTCGCACGACGGATTAAATAAAGAACTGCGGGTTCGATACGCTCCTTTCAAACCAGTTACCGAAAAAGAGAATATTGCCTACTGTCAGATATCTCAACAGCAACTACACGTGGCTACACCTTAATCGCTCCTTTTCAGATATAATACTCCCCTTAATTTTCGGCCCTCTGAGGAATATTTGGTCTCTTTAACAGACTGAGAAAACCTACGGAGAGATTCTGATCAAGCGACAGTTCACTGTTCTGAGAGAGAACGGGTTTATCTGGGGCAAACACCAATCACAGGCGCGACCTGGACCTCACGGAGCATTGGCCAAGCTAAACTTGCTGGGAACAAATCTATTTCCCGAAACACCTCTTACTGTTTTATTATAATTATCGCAACACTGGTTATTTTTATTTTTATTTTTATTTTTTTCTCGCGAAAGGGGGTTGTTCGTAGAAGGTGCGTACTGGAAATATTTGCGGTACATTTTTACTTTATTGTATTATTATTTCCCCCCCCCCCCCCCTTTCTCTCGCCCTCTTATTCCCACGCCTCGGTAAGCTTTACCGCCTTCTGGGCCAAATTTGGGCGGTTGTCCCCACTTCTATTTTGGGGCTTGGATGATTGCCGGTTCGAGACTGGGGGCTTATACTTGGATATCCTCCGCCTCAGACACACGCAGACACTCATAACATCCTAGTGCAGTACCCACACACCCGCATACTCCTACATACGCACGCAGACTCAACACTGCTGTATCCTTGCGCTTGAAGGTGAAGGGGGAAAAGGATTACAAGAAGGTAAATAGTTAACCCGGGATATTATACATTCCCAATCGCATTGATACACCTATGCCCTTGCGTTCACAATTTTCCGGCTATCAAAAGCCTGATCCGGCTCGAGTTTTAACTGACAGAGCTTGCGAGCAGGCTCGGTCTAAGAACGGGAACCCTTTTTGCTTCTGCCCCCTCCCATATCTATCAGGTCGAAACCCTGAGTGTTTCCGCGATAATCCTTCATCTAGATTGTTTCCCGGAATTATCAGGGTTAGCATTACTGCAACACCCGGGCGTGTGCTAAGACAACCTCCACCTTGGACGCCACACCTGCCACAGATTTAGGGACCCTAATTGACATCTGGAAAAAAGAGGATCCTCGGTACCCATCCCTTTACCTTTTATCTACTTCACCTCCCCTCCCCCTCACCTTAACACTGTTTGTTGGGAACCTTATCCATCTCCTTATCATGGTTGAGGAATTTTTTCTTTTCACTGCTCCACCTTCTCCTTGTGTTCCCCCGCAATCGCAATCCGGGTCGGGTACTACGATGGCTTCACGCAAGACTGACACACCTTCGTTGAAGAGGACGTTCACGCTAGTCTCAAGGTCCAATCCGTCTTCACCAGCGGACCGACAGGACTCACAGAATCCCTTCAAGACCACAACACCTACCCAACAATCCAACTCGTCGCAGCGCATGTCACTATCGCTAAAGCGCCGTTATCCCTTTTGTAAATCGCCAGCGGCCTCGACATCAATAGTCTACGACGTGTCGACATCTGCTGTACCGTCGTTCGTCTCCATCTTTGATACTGACGCCGACATGTCCGGATGTTCACCTACCAAAGTGACTTCCCAATTTCCACATAATCCCGTTCTTGCCAGCGTCGTCAAGCCGGCCATGCCAGGAGTATCTAGTGGACCAATATCATTACAACACCCTATACACCAACAGAACGGCAGTGTATCCACATCTGCATCTTCCTCAACAAATTCCTCACCCACAACTACCATTTCCACCGTCGAATCAGCAATCACAGAAGACCACACCCCTGAAACATCTCCAGATTCATCGGTGCGGGTAGTGCCGCTCTCTTCCTTTCGAAAAACTGTTATGTCTTCTGAAGATTACCCCGTTGTGCCACCGAGCCCTTTACCGGGTTGCGGGCGCTCGATTTCGCCGAGCAAAAAACCCCGAAATACAAAAAACCTTTCCCTCAACGTGCCTCCACCCCCCGCGCAATATAGTGCGCAGCCCAATCCACAGGTGAATCAACCCAGCCCACGATCGATGTCAGCACCAACCTCCCCGGCATTTATCAAGCCACCACCGCCCGCGCAGAATCCCCGGAGAAGGCCCAGTAATCTTGGATTAACGATAAAGCTACCAGGTAGCCTGCCCGAAAAATCCGCTGTCCGGGGTCCCGTAGCTGGTGGTGTTAGTATATTAAGACATCATCAATCATCGCCATCTTTACTTTCCCCTGGACCCAATGGCATTCCAGGCGGCATGCGATTACCCCCTACCCCGGGTTTTAGGCAGCCGCGGTTATTTCAGCAGCGGAAAAGCTTCAACTCTTACAACGCGCATGATTCCCTGTCGCCTTCGCCTTCCTCACCTTCAACGACTAACTCGCCCCCAAAAAGTCCTGAGGTCCTACATGAGTTGGAAGAGGAAGACGAGGAGCCAAGATCCGGAGAAGCGAAATCGCCTGCCTACCCTTCCGGCCCTGTCTGCATTTTCGATCCTAATATCTATCTTTACGCCGAACCCGATGTTGAGCTCGCGTCGCAGTTCGATGTTATTGTGAATGTTGCGAGGGAAGTTGTTAACCCGTTCAGGACAGATAGGAACGCAGCTACCGCCAAGCCTGTACTAAGCGCCAACCGCAAGGATACAGAGTCGGACTCACTGCCACCCGACACAGCCTGCACGGAAGCAAGCTTCACAACCGCCTTTGAGGAAGCCTTATTCTCCCCCGTATCAGCATCATCTCGCAAGCCTAAATTAGAGGCAGCGGGACCAAAATACAAGGAGCCTGAGTACGTGCATATGCTATGGGATCACAATACACCAATCCTGGACGATTTGCCACATTTGGTGAACCTGATCAACGATAGAGCGAGCTCAGGGAAAAGAGTACTGGTTCATTGTCAATGTGGTGTCAGCCGTTCAGCGACATTACTGATCGCCTATGCTATGTTTAAATCCCCTGAAAAGACCATGCAGGATGCTTATAACGCGGTCAAAAGGCGAAGCAAGTGGATTGGGCCGAACATGAGCTTGATTTACCAGTTGACGGATTGGAAGAAGAGGATCACGTCCGATAACTCACAGCCGGGGATGGCGGGTTGGAGAGGGGGGAATGCAGGAAGCGCTGGAGGCCGGGGGCATACAAAGGCAGACACTAGAGGTGGTTTTGGAAGAGCGGGTCCCTCGGATGGACCCGGGATGTCAGAATCAATCCCAGAGCCACAAACGGCACCATTGCCTGTATGCCGGAACTCGCCATCCTCACTACCTTTGGATACTTGCATGGGTCAATCTGGAGAACGCCCAATCCCGCAAATGGTGAGGACAAGATCGGAGAACGGTGGATTTATATCCGGCGTTTCTCCAGGGCCTTCCTCAGCCCCGCCAGGCATGATAACGATTCCTGGAACCTCGGATATTCCTTTCAAACGACAATCATGGCCAGAGAAGATTTCAACACCTCTCTCTGAGCGTGCTGATTCCCCACTTCAATCGTGGGGAATGGGAGCTCCGGAGAAGTCACGTGTAGGCTTTGCCCCTCCTCCTTTGCAGCCATCATCGGCATATCTTGTTCGGCACGAGGAAAGATATGGTCGGGATGTCGGAAGTGGAGATGGCGATGATCCCCCCCCTCCTGCGCCAAATTTTACCAGCCCCCGGAACAGCACCTATTATCCTGTACCCATGAGGCGTTCTGGAAACTTTTCCTCCATCTTTACAGATCCCAGGAGTCCAACACAGCGCGGCGAGACACCCATTGTTAGGAGTATCTTTGACGTCCTGTAGCAATTACTGTGGGGCCGGTGGAGCGACTCAACCGGCTGAATCTGAGGGCCCGGATGGGTTCGGGGCAGTCGGGCCGACTTTGGGTTTCTTTTGTAAGGGTTTATCTGTTACTAATCGGAAAAAAAAAAGTGGGAATGTAAATGGTTGCGGAAGCGGTGATAGGTGTATTCATAGGCGGCCGGAATCCGGCACGTTTCCTTTATCTTTCCTATGTTCGGGAGGCTTCGCTTGGGGGAAACCGGTTCACGAATGATACCGTTCTTTCATTTATTCTCTTCGCTTCTTTCCCCTTTGCGCCGAGGGTTGGGTGATAGAGATGGAGGAGTGATGGGGTGGGGGGTGGGTTTGCAGTGCATAGGGAACGGGCGCGCAGTGTCAGTCGTTTGGATCATGATTTCCCCTTTCTCTTTTTCCCTTGTCAAGCCGGTTCATGGTTGGGGTCTCGAATTTCTTGCAAATCACTTCAGATTTTTTCATCCCCTTCTTTCATCATCTTTCACAATCGTTCGAAATGGTATTATACCTAATTTTTATTTTCGCTTCCTATCCCATTCGCCGTCTCCTGTACTGTACATTTCATGCGGTGACTGGGAAGGAGAGCTCCTGGGGAGACTATCCTTTTTCCTTCTTCATTTTCTCCTCTCCCCATCATTTTCTCTTTTCGCTTCAACCTTTCCTTATTACTGCCATTAGCTGAGATCGCCAAAAAAAGACTTTGGATACCTCGTTTTCCATCATTGTATGATAAAACCCTTCTTTCCGGCCTTCTCTCTCTCTCCAATTCGATACCCTTTCTACCTCTCTGAATGCCGTTACACACTCTGCTTTTACGAGTTTGAGACTTTTCCCTCTTTGCTTCCAACCAGTGATCATACTTACCTCCTTATATTCTGGTGTTTATCTTTATTCCTCCTCTTTTTTTTCTTTTCTTTTTTTTTTTTCAAATTATTATCGTCCTTTTATTTAGTTCTCTGTTCTTGTTTTTCGTTTTACCTCGGCTTTAGTCTTATTTTCTAGTTTCTGGGAATGGATGGAAAGGGAAGGGAAGGGAGGATGGTCCTGTATATATATATTGTATCCATACGAGATAGGATCGTAGGTTTTATATAGCATTGTATCGGGGTACCATTATTGTATCATATTTTCCCTTCCTTCCCGCAAGCCTGAAGCGACCAATGGCTCTCTAGGTGAAGAGGAAAGGGGGCCTTGGGCTGCAGGACAGTTGTACCGGTATGGGGACACTTTTAGCATTTGAGCCTCGAGTAAAAATTGGGATACCATACGGTAGTTTGTACTCGAGTACAATACTCCATGCATGCACGAGCACTAAAACCGACACCGACATCGGCATCTAGCCTCAGTCACTCCTCCCACTTTACCCCCCTCCCCCTACCCCCTCTTTCCCGATCCGCACGGTAGGGTATGGCGTGCCCCCCTCGTGACTTCCACAGAGGAACAAAGCGGGGGGGGGTCAGAAGGAGGAACTCGATAAAGACCTCAAGCATGGCATGGCAATAAGTAGGGCGCTCGAATCCTGCACGGTTAAGTTTCGTGCTGTATGCATGCCACCGTACTCGTACTTGTACAAGAAGGCTAAATCGTGAAATTTAAACCGACTCGGCTTGATTTCGGCTTTCGACAAAAATTTGATCCCGGGCGTTGAAAGAAGCAAAGAACGTGAGGGAAAGGAGGGAAAGGGAGAAGCAAGAGCATGGGGTTTGCAGGTAAAGTTATGTAGGGCGTGTGTCAAGTAGAGTGCTTTCTTGCACTTTCGATTTGTGTGTCGGGAGGATTGGGATGCTGGGAACAGTGGGAAGGGTTTTTTTTTTGCTTTTTCAGCTTTTTTTTTTTTGCTCTCCTACAAGTACAGCAGAGAAGGTTGTTTGCTGCGTTGTCAAAACATCTGAACAGCGTAGACTGCCGTAACCCCTGCTGTTATCACGTGCACGGATCGGTGCGTGTACGAGTACAGTACTTGTACTTGTACTAGTATGACAAAGTGCAGCATGTATTGGCACCCTTTCTGGAATGGCGATACAGGCCAAGGGAAACGACGAACGGGTGCCAATTCTTGGCTTGGAGGCATGAGCACTGGTACGGGTGCAGGTACTCGTACAAGTACCGGAGAGCTTTCGGTCCATTCTGGTGAGAATGCTATTCCCCTTGTTTGGCCATAAGACACAAGGAAGGGGAAGGGGTGCAAGTACAGTACCACCCTAGACTTGGCCGGTGGTTCAGAAGTGTAACGAGCTCGCCTCCCTCCCGTAAGCGGAATCTGCTACGGTACTCTTGCCGCACCGGTACCGTAGCGTAGGGGGGAGGGGGGATAGATGGAATTGAGTATAGGCGGAAAACTTGATCCGCGGCAGGAATTTCGAGAAGGGGATGAAGTAACTCGGAAACGGGTCTGAAGCTCTCCCCTTCTCACGTTTGGCTGTGCTCGTGCTGGACAAAGATGGCTTGGATATTGTGGTGGGGTATGGTACAAGTATGGGTATGGATGGGTCTGGGTATGGGGCAGGGTTGGAAATCAGTCTGTCCCTGTGTCCATCCGCCCGTTTGGAGAGCGGACACATGGTTGGGGCGGGCGTTTATTTCTGGATGTTGGGGGAGGGGAAGGGGTGAGGGAGAAGGCGAAGGAGAAGGAGAGGGAGAGGGAGGACAGGACGTGTGGGTGGTCCGTACTTTAAATAGGGCCTTTTTCCTTATTTTTATCTCTATTCTTTTCGTTTACCGTACCCATTATCATAGCGGTAGACCATGGCACTGCAATTCAACAGTGCGGTGCCCTACAGATCATTTAATATACAGTAGTACTTGTATCATAATGTTATCATCATATCGTACTCGTTCGCCAGTGCGGATTGGAGTGGGAGAGATTCGAACTTGGCCGTACCCGAGGATGACATTCGCGCTCGGCTACAGTATTTCCAGTAACAACCTGCGACTGGGGAAATCATCGAATTTGCGAGCAGCCTCTCGCGTCTGTTGGCATCTCGACATGTTATTTCCAGTCCGAGTACGGGGCGGAAGGGTTGGTCAAAACAGACGCCCAACCGGGCAGCTGTCATCAAAAGAAATATGCGATAATAAGAAGAAGGGTTAGATGAGCCCTCAGCTCAGTGTTATCTGGTTGGCTGGTTGGGAACGGGGGAACGAGTGTCTGCGAATCATATCAATGTCCACGGTTAAAACGGGCGGAGATTCCATCTCCACGGCCTTGACAATCGCTGGACCCATTGTCGTCGTTCTCTTTCCCTCTCCGGGAGTGAGAGGAAGCCCTGTGACGATGGACTCGGATATCATAGTGAAAGTGAAAATATCACAGTATCATAGTAGTAATATTTCCTTCCCTCCGCCTTGTTGTGAGGGGGTCCGCTGAATGCCTGAAATCTACGATCTGATCCGCGTCTTTGCGTTTCTCACGCCGGAACAGGCGCCTTGACTCTCTCCTCGCTTTTTTTTTTTCTTTTCGCCTCCCCCTCATCCTATTTCACCATTTCCCTGCCGCAACGGTGAAAAGGTGGACCCGCTTTGGAACTGCATTTCTGTATCTGCCCTCTCGTTCCCGCCCATCCGTGCTCCTACTGTACTAGTACAGTATCTATCGTATCTTGTTTGATCCGGAGACCGTTCGGTTCGCTGTCATCATCCATCATCCATCATCCATCGTCCATTATTCGGCCTTCATCTCGTTCCACTCCTCGCTCGCTCGTTAATCACCCCATCGCTCAATCAATCAACCCGCAATACGGGTCATTGTCGTGGGACGCGGCTTCCCCGGCTCTACCGCCACTAGGTTCGCCCGGGTGTGTACGGGTAGGGAGCACGAGAGACGGTCGTGTGGCCGGATAGGAAGGAAGCGGGAAGGAGTAGGGAGAGGGGTGACAACTTTGAGAACTGGAAGACGCGACGGAAGGGTATCATACTTCTGGAAACGCTGGATGCGAGGGAAGGGTCTAGGAGGGAGGATCATCCAGACAGAACCGAGAGGTCTATCATACTGGGACAGCTGCCTTCCTGGCAGGCAGATACAGCAATTCTTGTCGGAGCCGAGAGAGGGAATTGCGACACAGCCTTTCTTTTATGGTTCTTTTGAAGTGACCGGTACTGCTGCCACCTTTTAGCGGGCATTGCCAATTCTGTTACTAGTATTTCATTTGATTGATTGAGGCACCTAGGGGGGGGTCAATCGTAAGGGGGAAGTGGCTCAGGCTTTTTATTTATTCTTTGTTTTTTTTATAGTATTTTTTTTCTACTTTCCGCACGCATCAATTCCCCCACCCTCCCCATCCCTTCACTCCTTCGGTTTCCCACCTCGAATCCGTGAGAATCGATGGTGGTGGGATCAGCGACTGGTAGCAGCAGCAGAAGCAGCGATAATGTCCCAGCGCAGAACCGAAGACCGTCCTTCTTCCTCCCATCACCACCACCACAACAACCTTGACGGCAACGGCAACGGGCCCCCTAGCAACGGTATTGGCAGCTCTTCCACTCCTATTAACGGTAATCGGCTACGAAGGGATAGTGCGAGGAGAGACAGGCATATCGCTGTTAAACAGAGCCAGCAGAGCCCTAATATCACCGGTACCGGTCGAACCCGTGCTGGTAGTCTTCATCACCCTCTCCCTCAGCGCGACGTCCTCAAACCTGCTTCCTCTACTCCTCCGGCGCCGCCGTCGCAAAAACACCCTAAAACATCAACGATCCCGCCATCCCCCGCCGTGACCCGTACCCATCGCCGTCACGCTTCAGTCATTGCCAACCCCTCCCCTTCCCCCACTTCCTTGGCCCCCTCGCAGCCAAAACTTGCGTCTCCGGTTTTACTCGTCTCTCGACCTGCAACCTCCCACTCTTCACCCTCGTCAGCCACACCATCCGGGAAAAGGGCGCCCGCACGCTTCAGTAGTAATGGTATAGCAACAACGTCCGGGCCGCCACCTTCACTCGCTTATCGACGGAATATCGCAATGGATAATCGCTTCTCACCACACAATGGGGGCTTGGGGGTTGGCGGAGGGAATGTACATAGGGGAGGGGCTGCTCCTCCAGCTAGTGGCACAACCGGTGATCGGAGCAGCGCTGGTAGCAGCAGCACCGTTTCACATTTTTCGAGAAGAGGAAGTTTAAAGGCGCGAGTGGAGGGCGAGCCAACGACCTCGAGGACGGGTTCGCTAAGGGCGGACTCGACCAGTAATAATGGGGATGATGAGGATGATGATACCGGGCGGGATAGCGGACAAACAATACGGGGGTTGGAAGATTTACGGAACGGGACTTCCGAATCCGGGGGTGATGGGGGCCTCGATGGAGGAGAGCCCGGCACGGAGGATCTATTCCTCAATCTCGCGAGATCGAGTTCTGCCGCGGGTCAACACGAAAACAGTAAAGGACTGAGGCCTTGGGTGCGTTTCCTTCCAGCCTTTCATTCACCGTGATTCTGTGAAAATTCTTGCCGTTTTGTTGCTTTGTGAAATCCGGGCGCTTTTTGGGACGTAGTTGTTTGTTGACAAAATTTACAGGCTCGGCAAGCTCATCATGCGCATCATCGGTCTTCTCTTCCTGCCGATGCCTTCTCATCCTCGCCATTACGCGCATCGCGAACACGTTCACCGAGCAATCGTGGCTCTTCTCCCGTCGGTCCTCACGATGAAATTTGGCGCGACCCTAGAGCCCCAACTCCCGCGACACGCTATCGCGACCGTAGGATGTCGGGGACTACGGATCGTTTAGCTGACCCAAGGGTTGTTACCCCACGGGCATCGTTCACTCGACCACTTAGCAGCATGCTCAGGCGCGATCAGTCCCCCGCATCTTCCAGTCACACTAGAAGCTTTTCCCTGGCCGAACCCGGCACGAGGTCACGCAATGGCCTCACCAATGGGATTGCTCCACGATCATTGCACTCCTCACCCAATACAGCCGACCAATCACCCGGATCTATAATCGACCATGACCAAACAGATTCCTCTGGCGCGGCCAGCAGAATGGAGCACAGTGGGGGCACCAGTAGCGGGGGCGGGGGACAGGAGGATTCCTCATCGGTGTCGACCACTGCTCCATCGACGGTATGGGATGAGCTAGATGATTTAAAATCAAGAATCCGAAGACTGGAATTGACTGGGCGAATGCCTGCATCGGGAGTCGGAGCGACAGGCAACGCATCCGGTTCGCCGGGGGAGCGACCGCGGACGGCCACAACCACCGTTACCACAATTTCATCATCGCCTAGGCGTCAAAACAACCCTTCCGCTACCGGAATCTCGCCCCCCGGCTCGACAATTAGTCATCCTTCATCCAACTCGCACCCACTGTTACATGCTGCTCTGACAAAGTCGAAGCCACTGATACCCCCGGACGTTTTCAAATACTTGGAAGCTGCTGCTAAGGATGCTGTTGCGATGGCAAGTGCGGTGGGCAGTACAGGCACACCCCTTGGCAGTGGACCTCCAGGGGTAGTTATCGATAGACAGATGCGGCGCAAGGCTGATAGTGTTTGCCGAAGTCTGACCGAGCTGTGTATTGCCCTCACCGAGAACAGAGCCTCCTTAGGCGCAACAAGTTACTCGCATCACGTCGCGCGACACTTCAACGGTGCTCGGCCTGTTAGCAGAGACACATCCCATGGCCGGGAAAGCATACTAGGTCGGGAGAGTGCGCTTGGCAGGGAGAGCCTACTCGGCCGCGAGAGCATACTTGGACGTGAGAGCGTGTTAGGAGGGCGCGAGAGTATCCTCGGCAGGGAGAGCATTCTTGGCCGGGACAGCTCAATGAGCAACTACCGTGGGTTAGGGAGACTCTCTGAGCGAAAAGGAAGCATCGCTTCAATATCTACAGCAGCTGGTTTCAGCTCGAGCCCAAGACTGTCCCTAAGCATGGACCAAGAGACCCCCACAACCCCGGGCCTTCTGCGTCCCCGAAACTCCATGCTCCTCAAGACTCGGCAGATGCTAGATGATGAGGAAGGTCGTGAAGGCTTCCGCTCTCCCTCCCGCGCGGCAACAGACATAATGGGTCACCGGCACCGCGAGTACCCAGCCAGCCGTCACATGAGCATAACCCCAGATCGCTCGCCAGGGCCCGAGGTATCCCACCGGAGGCAACACTACGTCACCAACAGTGTTGCTCTCCCATCTCCAATCCTCCATGGCAATCGGCGCTACTTCAGCGCCACCGTCGACCGCTCCGACCTCCTTGAACGTCCCAACGGCTCTTTCGAAGCCACCAATCCTACGAACGAACGCTTGATGGCCACTGCCGCTGACTCGGACTATACCTCTGCGAGATATCGCAGCGGCAGTCTGGGGCGTGCTGGAAATCGTAAGCTAGCCCGAGGATTGAGGGAGAGTGTGGACCTGGATGGCGCGCAGCAGGGTGGTTCACTCGGACGCACGCCGTTACCTGGCGAGCGTTTGCTGCGGAGGTGATCTACTTATTTCCTGTGCAGTTGGGTTGAGTTTGTGATTGGTTCTTTATGGAGTTGGCTGGGAAGATGAACTAAAGTGTGACTATCGGGGGGGTCGGCCGGTTTGTTTGTCGCTCGGTGCTTTGGCTTTGGTTCTGGCGGGGGTTTGTCTTTTCGATTGCTTTTTCCTTCCCTCATTGCGGTGTTTTTGTCTTAATTCTGCTCGGGGGTGGTGTGGGTGCTGATAAATGGCGTCTCAATTTGCTTTCTATTCACACGGAAATCCTTTCTGTCTTTTTTTTTCTTCTTTTTTTTCTATCCGCTATTAAATATGGACAATGGTTGGAATTGGCTCCATTCTTCCTTCCATCTTCTTCTATTATACATCTTTTTATATCAGTGTTTCCGTTCTTTTCTCATCCTTGAACTCTTCTTTTTTTCTTTTTTTTCTTAAAAGATTTTCATATGGCCTTTAACTACATAACATATCTTTTTTTCCCCCTTCGCCCTTCTTTCAGTTGATATCAACGGAGTATGGCTGGTGTTTTTTTTTTTCCTTATTACTTGTCCAGCTAGAACTCGCTAGACTTTCTGCTTCCGCTCTCATTCTTGTAATTCCGATTATATAGGTATAGTGTCACGAGGGAATGGTTTTATAACGCTTGCATGGTACTTATTGTACGCAATGTGGATTGGATTGTATCGGTCGATTGAGGGGGTGAGAGAGGGAGAGGAAGAGGAGGATTTTTCTTTTTCTTTTTCGTTTGTATTGTACGATAATCAGTTTGGGGGAAAAACGGATATTTTCATGGCTTCAAAGTTATGTGACGTGATGCTACTACGTCGTGCTGCGTCGTGTGAACCAAGGGGGTAAAGAAATAAAACTGCTGGCTGGCTGGCTGGCTTGCCGCCGCACCCTGGACAGCCAGCGTCGTTAATGAGCCGATGCGCTGCCGGGATTGCCGGAAAACATGGATGGCATTTTCCATCATCATCACGTCTGGGTATGGTATCATACGGTTAGGTGTCTGTGACGGGTCTTCTTCATTCTGTCTGGGTGGGGGGGGGTGGAGGAGGAGGTGGTGGTGGTGGTGGATGGGCTGAAAATATGCTCGTGCTCGTGCTTGATGGCCATTTACTATATGTAGTAGCGCTCTCGAATATCGCACCTGGTCGATATCGTATCCCGCGCTCCGTACAGTACTGTACCCATGTGGCCATGGTAGGACTGGTATCATGGTCCTCATCCTTTTTTTTTTTTTTCTTCTTCCTCCCCTTCCTTCCTTCCCGTAGTTATTTCATAGAGCCATTCGCTCGCTCGAGGGTCTGTCTGTCTGTATGTAGCTATCATACTGGACTCACCGAAGCCCGAGCAGGGCTTTATCATACAACGTCCCCTTCACATTCTTGACTCTGTCACTATTCGGGTGTGGACACGCCGAGTGAGATATGGTGATGATCTATGATAGTCACTGCTCATGAAATACCCTTAAGTTATCATACCCCCGAGTAACTTACGAGGCTGGTGACGAAAATGATGAGCGAAATGGCATGTAACGACCCAACCCGTGCTAGTTCGCACATTCCATTCAATATGATACATTCTGGAGTTGTGAAAAAAAAAAAATGAAAAATTAATGATATGGTTCAAGGTTCTTTCGGATATCTCCCCGAGTGCTCGCAGATTATTAAAGAATTTTTAGCTACTTTGGGATGCAATATTCTGGGGTTGAAGCTGAAAATAGCGCCAAGCCTTGCCATTTCCCATACAAAATTACCAAAAATTGCGCCAGCCTCGTACACGTATGATACCAAACATTTATTCCTTATCACAAACCCATTTACAATACAACAATGAAAATCAAAAAAAAACAATCCACTCCTGCCCCCGCGCGCTCCCAACAACTACAAACGCCCAATAATTCGTGTAGAAGCAAACATTCACAACCCAATAATCGAGAGTATGCGCAACAAAAATAATACTCCCACCATGACATTATCATATATCTTCAGCCCACGCGAATTTCCCATGCCGTTTATAACTTCAAAACAGCAACTCCGGATCCCATTGAGATGAAACTAAGCTAAGGAGGCAGAAAAGGGAACGGTAATAAAAAACGCGCACCACGATTTTTTAAATCAAGGGAACGAAGAAGTGAAAAGGATAACAGAACCCCATGACATGTAAAAAATAATAAAAAAAGCTCAGCTTCTACAAGGAAAGCCCAGTTCGGAAGTATGATAAAAAGAAGGGGAAAAGAAAGAGAGTAGTAAAAACAAGCCATAATAATGAGTATGAAGACAAAGAGTAAACCTAACGCTTTTGCCGTTGCCAAAAGGAGATGTGCAGGAGAGAGGAAAAACAGTCAGAAGGCAATCAATACCCATGTCCCATCTGTCTTTTCTCTCTTTTTCGTGCCACAAAAACAGAGTGGATGCGACTGCCTCTAATCGATGGATCGCAATCTTTTTGGGTACTCGGACATCTCTCTCACTTCTATCACCCAATAAGCAATCTCTAAACGAAGACAAAAAAAAAACTATGAAATGTGATTCACGTTGTACATGCCCCCTTACCCAGGCCGGCCAACACACTAGTTGGCGTGGCGAGGGAAACTGGCCTGCACCGCCGATTCTGCAAGCAATGCCTCCTCGGGGTCTGGTAGGCCGTCGAACCAGGGGTGGGCAAGGACCTGCTCGATTGTAGGGCGCCGCTCCACGTCCCTGTCGAGCATTAATCGTATTAACTCCAATGACACTTCGGAGAGGATAAATGGTATTCGCAGCTCGCGGTCCATTATTTCGTCAATCTAAGTGACCCACGACCCATGTTAGTATGCACACTCTTGGCTCCCTGTGCCGCCCAATGGTCCATCTTACGTTGTAGAATGGGTTCTCCTTGTAGCAAATGGTGTACAATAATACGCCAAGTGCCCAAACGTCTTGTTCCTTGCCCTTATACGATTTACCAGCTAAAACCTCTGGTGCCGCGTAATCTATTCCTTGAATTAGGGGCAGGTTCCAAATTCATCAAAACGTAGCACCACGTACCTATTGTTCCCACAAAGACGTCAAATGGCCCATTCCTAATATATGCTGCGCTCCCGAAATCGATAACTTTAATATTACCCTCACCGTCAAGTACCACGTTCTCGTCCTTGATATCCCGGTGCACCACCCCAGCTTTCGTGTGGAGGTGATGAAGCGCACGAGCGACCTGAACAAATATGCTCCTACACTCATCCTCATCCATGTTCACCTTGAGCTCGATGTAGTCGAAAAGATCCATACCAGGAAGTCCGTGCGGTACCATCTCAATATAGTAATTGATATCATCCTCGAAGAAGTCGGTCATTTCAACGATGTTGGGATGCTTCAGACCGTCGCGCCGTAAGTAGTCAAGAACATGGATCTCCAAGGGGACTGTTCCGAGGCGGCGATCGCGTGTCCAGGTATCGACTAGAATCCGGCGTTTGGTAACGTACTTGAGAACTACCCGTTTCGCCTGGTTTCGCTTGTATCTTGCAAGTTTAACCTGGCCATACGCTCCTTGGCCCATCTCCTCCAGGATCACGAAATCTTGGATATTCTTTTTCCGCTTAGACACACCTTGGGGGCCGGGCGTTGATACAAGGCCGTTTGGTTCCGTGGACTCATCTTCAGAACTCGGCGGCGTTGGTGACTGATGGATGGCCTCCAATTGCCTTGTCAAAAGCGTAGAATTCTCGCCCCTCTGGGCATCCGATACAATTGGAGTGCTTGGTTGGCCGGGGCTAGGGCGTTTAGGTGGAGTGATTGGCCTTCGAAGAATGCTATTGGAAGGATCTGAGGTTAAGGAGGAGGCATGCATGTGTCTTGAATATGTGATCCAAAGAGCGTAGACAACTTCACCCCCTCCCGCACCCACCTCGTCTGGATCGTCAATGATTACAGCCTCCTCGTCCTTTGTTTCTGACATGACTACTCTCATCTGTACGTCAACTCTCAGTTCGGCCCCATCTCTATGTCTGGCACTCAATCCACCCGACTTCACAAATATAGAAACGGCATCTCCCTTTCCATCCCTCAGCGCAAGCACGGCCTTTGCCTTCCGGAATGAATGCTCTGGAACGACAATGCCGTCGACGAGATCGATTTTGTCTTCATCGGTAATGAACTTGAGGATTCTATCGAACTGCGGGATAATCTCGGTAATGGGCAAGCCTACTGGATTCAGATGCCCAAAAAGCGCAGCCGAGAAAACAGCATTCGAGCTGGTAATCCGGAGCGTTGACGCTGACAAAACAATAATGCCGGCAATATGTGGGAAGGACGACACTCTCAACGCTCGCTCGCCAGGAATTGGCTCGACACCGCATGGAATCCGCATCCCGATACTGTTCATTGCAGTGAATTGGTGAATACCTGTTGTTTGCTCCAAGTCGATTGTACCATCCTCGTTCCGCGGAATCGTGGGAATGAAGTCTGAAACGTCGACACCTCCCTCAGGAATGCTGTCCTCTCCAAAAATCTTTGTCATGCTTCCGCTAAAACCCACCACCTTTCCAGCCGAATCTGGATCGTCAGAGGTGTATAGGAAGGCCACATCCTCGCTAATTTCTTCCACCACCCAAATCAGGCCCCCTCGCTTCTCCTTCACCCAGAGACTCGCAGCACCGGTGTTCCCATTTCGCTTCTGGATCGGGACAACATCCCCGCAAAGTATGACCCCTCTCGATTTGTTCTGATTATGATGCATCGATGGCTGTGCGACACCGGCACTGTAATCGCCGTTTCTCATTGGTGATCCCGTATAATATGCATCAGACTTGACCCGCCTATTGCCGTTCCCATAGAGACCGTTTTGCAACATAGCCGATGTAACATTAGGTGAGCCATGGTGGCTGTGGGGGTACGGAAATGAGGAGGTCGAGTTTTCACCCGAGTTCAATTTGTTTGCCAGCCACTCCCTACGCTCTTCTTTGACAACCTCGAGAATACCAATTTTGCGCACTTCGGCCTTCGTCACTCCGAAAACAAGGCAAGCCAGATCGTTAGCAGCAAGTATTGTCCACGGGTGGTGCGCCTCCGTAGTAAATACTGCCTGAGAGGCAAGGGTATATCGGCTTGTATGCCCATGAACGGAAGACTTGCTCATGATCGGTCTGGGGCCCATTCCAGTAGCGGATTGTGGCATATCGCTGACCAGGTATGGCTGAGCGAGGGCTTCATAGAGTTTGGTCTGGACTGTCAGGGGAGTAGTGTCTGTGTAGGTACGCTTGAGGCTCGCCCTCCGGGTGGGTGGGGGTGACGAATGGGTTGTTGAGGTAGAATCGTTAGTCGTAGAGCGAGATGTACTTTCAGAGCGGGTTTCTTCATTGAACGAACCAGCCCGATCCGGGCTCTGCAGCGGTGGGGGAGGGCTGGCGGCCTGTGTTCGGGGTGAAACTGGTGTCTCCGGAGCAAAGCTCTTTTCAAATGGATTCCCTTCGAAACCGGCCGGGCCCGTCACCGGCCCGTTCATCAAGGGGGTCTTCTCCTCAGACACCAAGTTGGCTCTCCTAAGCAACTCCATCACCTTTGCAACATCTTCATCTCCCTCAACCTTGGCCTGAGCTGATGTAATCATCGGTGACTGTGAGCCCCATCCCAACTTATCCCTCATAAACTCTATACTCCTCTTAAGAATGTTTTGCCGGCTGTGGATCAAATCCTCCGACTGGTGCGCAAAGGAAAAGGAATGTAAAGACTCTGTAGGGAACCTGGCCAAATCCTCACAGAACCCCAGCGTTGGCGAGGTCGGCGGGATGGAAAGAGAGTTGACTCTAGTACCAGGAACCGACATCGAGTGTGGTATCACAAATGACTGTGTGCCGGCCAGGGGAGTCTGCTGCCTTATCCGTCGTAGGCCTGAAGTGTAGAGATGGTCGCCTTCACCTATTGCGACTGGACTCCTAAGGCACAGCGGGTTTTAGTCTCCGGAGGTGAAAACAATTCTGCAAGCACTCACTGTGTCATTTGTTCCCCGCCACGGTGTTGCTGGGGGTCCATAGACGAATCAACAGAGAACCTGATTTTCGGTTTATAAGAATTTCCACCACTATTCGTGCTCAGGTGCAGGCTCTGTGATTTTATCGGTGGAGTTGACCGAGGCCGGGCAAGGCCCTCCAACATATCTGACCCCTCACCTACGCCCAGAAGCATCAGCGGTGTTCCGAATCAGGCGAGGCACCAGTAGGCATGCCACCCAGCATCGACATGAAAGATGCACGATACGAGAGATCCCCTCAGACACCCTCTCAAGCGGTGGGTATTAATTTATGCAGCAAATGAAACAGAAAACATATTCAACATGCCGCACAGTTTTTTTTTTTTTTTCCTCGTCCCCCGAACGATAAATAGCGGAACATGTAATACCAACAAAACAACATTACTCTGAACCGGGAAATCGAAGGACTCACCATCGCGACCTGGGGCTGTGAGTCCAGCCATCGTTATTCCAACACCCGAAGGGAAATTTTTCCAGACCGACGATTCCGTATCCGATGGGAAGGGTTTGTCGGCAGTCGCCCGTGGGTTCCCGACGGTTTCAGTCTTCAATTCTTTCCTATTTCCCCAAGAGCTTCCCCTCAAATGGTTTGTGCGAGGTGCGACGGGTGCTGACAATCCCGCTGCCGGAAATCTGGGGGCCGCTCCACAAGTGCGGGGCGCTGAAATTGTCTAAAGGCAAGAAGGCGAAGTCGCTCCGCGAAGCGAATAAAAAAAATAAAAAAAACTAGTTGGAGTAAAGTGACGAGAAGTGAGGATCAACAGCGGAGAAGGGACCAGTGCCGCAAGAGGCTGCCGTAGAAAATAATACCGTACTCGTAGAAGGGGGGGTTGTTTTTCTTTTTTTTTTCTTCCCCTCAAGTTCTCAGAAGAAGGCGGGGGGAGGAAACAGGAAAAGTGCAATGAGGAGAAGCAGGAGTCGAAGGGTAAATGGACGAGGGATACAGCAGGGATGAATGAGCAAGCTGAGGAAGGCACTGTACTATATGTTGTTCTATGAGAGAGGGAGAGAGGGGGGGGGGACAGAGGGAGAGTACGGTATTGTATGTAAGTAGGGTACTTGCAACGTACCAAATTCTGAGTACCGGTACTGTACCAGCGAAGGTGGAGAGGACTATGGTAGGTGTGAGGCAAAGGTGTGGGCCGCAGCCGAAGGAGCGGTGGGGTCTAGATAGCGTAACCAGAGTTGAACACTCTCCTCCCACCATCCACCAACACCTTCAGGACTGACCCTTCAACCGACGCTACGCCAAGGCAAAGGAGAGTTCTCCCATAAAAATAAATGGGGCGAAAACGGGAGACAGACGACCAAGAGGGGAAGAGACGGGCGTCACTTCTTCCAGACGGATGTCCCAGGATGCAAAAACGGCTTTCCCGAAGGCCCCGAAAGTAGACGACGACCAGCAACAGGAGCAGCGAGGACGATACGAGTACTGTACTCGTACTGTACTGTACCGTACTGTACGGCGCTGTACAGACCGACGACACCCACAATAATCAACTTCGCGCACTTTGGTGGACAAACATTGAGGTGGCGAGATCCGATCGGGAAATAAATAAAGGGATGGATCGTAGGGCATTCAATCTCGCCTCCTCGAGCGAGAATAAAATGTAAAATGTAAAATGTAAAAAATGATCAACCCTTTCATATAATGGTTCACAGGCTGCGGAGGAAGTGTCTCCGTTATGTGTTGTAGTGGATGGTAGACTTCGGCGGGAGAGATGTATCGTGGGTTACAGCACGGTGTGCAATTGTTTTCCACACGGACGCACCATCTCTTCAACTGTCGAGCCCTTCAACCCTTCCGTCCAATAGCCCGCATTGTGACCACGACCACGCATAACTTCAGAGGAGAGAAGGAAAGGCCCGAGATTTCATTGTCTAGCTAGCTTTCACTCCTCCGTTCCTACTGGTGGAGTCCCATGTGCCAGTAACTAGACCTGTACGAGTACGATACAGTACAGTACCGTACTCGAGTACCGTATGATACCAGTATTACAAGAGAGACAGGGTGAAGACTTCTCTCTCTTAGGGTTGACTTTTCTCCCTCCTCTCCCTCCTCATATTCTTGTCCCCCCTCCCCCTCCCTCTCCCCCAATGCCCTGCCCGCTCTGCTCTCTCCCTCTCTCTCCTGCAACATTTATATCCTGCATTGCCCAACGCCCGCCCCCTCCCCCAGCTTAGGTTCGGGGGAGCCAAGAAATCTTGATCAGATGTTCCCCCCACCATCACCCTGTCCGATCAGAGGCCATCCAGGACCACCATCCTGTGTGAGTCCCCTTTTAGGCTTCAACGGTTGCAAAATTAACCGTACGGGCGACCTCTCCTCCCATCTATTGACGGTAAGAATCGCTACCGGTACTGGTAGCCTACCCTCCATTAACAGCAACACCCGCTCAGTTCTGTATCATAGGTCGCTACCCGTGTCCATGTTCAGCGTGCTTGTAGGAGTGCGGTGGCCCGCTCACGGTACTTGCACGAGTACAAGTACAGTACCGCACCGCATTCATCTCAGTTCGATAGAGGCCAGGCGTGCAATCAGTTGTACAAGTTGTTGCAGATCACTAGACTCCCCACACCCTCTTTATGTAACCATGCACAGACAGCCGTCCTGCCCACCAAGTCTCCTCCAACATGGTTGACACGTGAGTTCCAGTTTCCGAATCTCTTCCCTTAAGTCCTATCACACTCGTAAATATACTAGTGCTCGAGTGCCGTGCTCGCCCAGCCCGGTCCGACGCACAATGGACCCTTATTCCCCCCTTCCGTTTGCCAATCCCTTCCCAAGTGTCCAATCACCTTGCCTCCATACGGTAGCTCCCATAGTAAGTTAGACCAGTTTCTGCCCCCGTGAATGGGGGGATGTCCAACCTTTCCCCCCACCGTTCGCCCTACAATGCTCGAGTATCGGTACGCCCAATCCACCACCGTCCAAGTACCGGTACCGGTACCCAACCCTGCCACGGCATGCTCCCTCCCAAGCAACGGCACGTTGGAAAGTGGTGAAGCGGTTGGGCGAGCCAGTCAGCCAGCCAAGCGAGAAAAAGAACAAAAAGGTCAAAGAAATCAAAGAAAAAAGCAACTTGAATTGTACCGCTGACCAAACCGCCCCCAAAAACTCCCGCTCTTTTCCCCCGAACCCCGCACCCCGCATTCTAGGGTACCGGTACCGTCTCCATTCAGCGAACCAGACGTTCGATATCATACCGGTACCGGTACGGTAACAGCTATTTTTGAGGCTCAACGCGGGTAAGAGAAAAGGCTCCAGTCAGGTTGTGTATCGGACTGCTATGGCTATCCTTTGCCCTCCTCTGCCTACCGGTACGCTATGTGGGGCAGGGCGCGAAAAAGTAATTGTTCGAGTTTCATGATTATTCTCCTGCGAATTAAATAACTCTGGCCAGGAAAAAACTTGTTTGGAGGGGGAACGCTTCTATCATCCCGCCGGCTTCGTTTTCCGGTTCGGTCAATCCATGCTGGCTGCGGCAGGAGCGTCCATCGGTGCTTATGTTGAGAACATGAGAAGAAAATGATATTCAATCAGCACAAGTTGTAACGCTAGTTTCGCCGAACACTCCAGAGACCAAACGCGATCCCTGTGCGGCCAAGTATTCCGCAACGGCTGGTCTAGCTTCGAATGAGCAACATCTCTGAAAGCCTCACTCACCGTGGCCTCTAATTACCGCCATCCTTTCTTCCTGCTCTCCACGACCGCCCAGTGGCCACATGGCTTTTTCAACCGCCCGAAATTTCACAACCATCCCATTCATGCCGCCGTGGACCTGTTCTAACCGAGCGGAGGTTGTAATACGGTACGATACCTGTGCCTGTACCCCACCCCCCGGTCAGATTTCTGCATTCAAGTTTACACCCACCAGGTCGCGGCACCAATAGCCCAATGTGATGCTACGTCTCCAAAGTCAAATCTCAGCCCAAGAGGGGACGATCTCGGGGCCACGGGTGAGACAGGTCTAAAAGTCACGAGCGCAGTATCACATCTGCCCCGTCGGGGGTGGTCAGCACACGCTCTACGCCCGATGGATGAGATGAGTACCAGTAGTGGGTGGTGAGGCTCAGCGTCATATCTTTCCGAGTGTGTGCGGGAGAGACTTGCGCGCTTGCTCCCTTATGGCACGCTACGGCAGTGTGGATCGCATTGGCACGGCGCCCTACTCATACTCCCGGTGTAAGGTATGGGATGATTGCAGGTTCTCTACATATTATCATATAACTTACCGTATGATACTATACTCGTACAGTACGGTACTTGGGTATGATACCTCCTTCCGCCCTGCCCATGCCATTGGTACAGTGCCGCACCATAACGTGACGACAATGCTGTGAATGCGAATCCAATGATTCCCATTACGTCTTTTGGTACTTGTAGTATCCCTATATAACTACTCGAGTGCTGTACCCGTAGGGCACGATATGTACCTGTGGTCTACCTTGAAATTTTCACCCATTCCCCCCCCATTCCCCAATCCTCTTATTTCCCCTTCACTCCTCATTGCCATGTTTCGACGCGGTCCCGGTCTGCTACACACTCCCCCACGCCCATTTTCGGATCCCGAGTGATTTTCCCTCAATAAACGTCACCTCATGTATCATACGAGAAGAACAAACCCCTCATCGCTGAAACGCCTCGCCATTCTCCCGCCTCAGACGTGCTCTGCCGAACTGTGCTGTATATCACAGATCCTCTCCGCGCCCTCCACCGCAGGTGAGTACGGCAGCGTAGACCATTGTGCGAATCGTGGGGGCCCGCTTCAAACAGAATTCTTGTCATACATAGCCGACTCAAGCGACTGTTAACTTTTCTTTTCTCCACATGATTACTTTTTCCATCCGCAAACGGTCCGCCGTTAAGTAATGCGTTTTATCATCCCCGACCAGCGTGACGGCAGACGAGAAGGAAATCAAGGAGTCCGTGCTGGAGGGGGACGTCGGGGTCAAGAGAGCGGAGGCAAGCCTGGTGTGCCACCATGCGTTCCGCTCGGTATGCCCACACTTCGGATTAAGCTTAATTTCACCTCTGTTCCTGGGGAAAACCCGCCCCCGTCCTTCTCGCCATACACCTTTCCTACTGTGCACCGCCCCCCGTTCTTGGTACTGCCGTGGTGAACCCCTTCCGATGCCAGGGGTTCTTTCACAATCTCGCTCTTTCGCCTATCTCGCCTACTGCCTTCCCGCCTTAGCTTTACCGCGAATCAGAAAGGCACCAGGAATTGCATCTCCCTGACCCGAATTTCGGGAAAATCTACAGTACCGGTACCATAAGTGCTTCTTGACAAGTGTCTAAAGTCAATCATCTTCCCTACCACCCCTTCCATGAGAACGCTTGAGCTAATCGGCCAAAGTCTTAGACACCGGATCAGCGCGCCCGCCCTCATCAATCCATCGATATCCACGGGACGGAGAACGGCTCAGGCACCTCCCGCACCTATTGCTGAGGGGTATAGGGGGGTACGAGTACTCTAATAACCTGAGCCATTGTCGATCCACGTTGTCTATGGTAGGGTTTCTAACGATCCACCTGGGTTCCTCCCCCTGTCCTCCCCTTGCTATGATCCCGGTATGAGGGGACGATTCCGATGGCCCGATTGGCCGAACAGTGCCGGACGTGCACGAGCCAATTGAAACATTTTGGGTTATCAGCTATTCATGATGTCGACTCCGAAGCGGTATTTTGATATCGTGGGCGGAAGGACACACTCTGCAGGTACCGCTGCCCTCAAACGTGAAACTTGTACTCAACCACTTGAGTATCTACTCGAGTATGCCTGGTATCGGTCCCCATCTTGATTCATTTCCACTGCAGGAAATTGATATTATATAAGCATCCCGGTTTGTTATCTCCAGCCCTCTCTCTCTCTCTCTCTCTCTCACTATTCAGGGCAGCTTGCCAACTGGTGCCACAACCCGAGGATCCAAAAAAAAAAGTCTTCAGATCATTTGTCCAGCCCTGCTTTCTCCACCGTCCCCTCACCAGCGTTCAATCAGTCAAACGAGGAAACACTCCTCTACTCTGCGATCCCTTGCAGCAAAGATCCGACCCGAAGCTCCGAAACGGCACCAACCAAGCGTCTCCGCACGAGCATTCGACATCATCCAATCATGGTCATAGATCATATCCGATGAATGGGGGGCACAAAGGTAGCATTGCCGGATGGTCGATCTGGTCGTTAGATCCGATCGACTGGTGGGGGGGGGGGGGGGTTGGGAAAAAAAATCCATAGATAAGGGAAGGCATAGGCTAGCTTTTGTGATATTGCTATCCCCCTCACACCCCACCAGGCTCATGCCTCCCCCAATGCGGTTATACTACGAATGTGTAGGCTTTCCCATATCGCATTTCCTTTACCGTTGGACAATCAAAGTGGTGAACTCATCTTGGCTCCTTGGAAATCGGTACGAAGCGCTAGAATCGAGTTTGTACATGCCCCCCCACCCCTCCTAAGGTCTTGCTGCATCTGCCGTCCTTCTTACCTAGTCGGGTCCACCCACGCACTTCCCCCGGCACCCTTATACTCGAGTGCAAAGCAATCCCGAATGTGATACCGAAATCTACCGGTATGACAGATATTTGTCTCTCTCGGCTGGATTAGATTAGAATGCTTGGTTTTGCTATAGGAAATACTTTCCCTGTTATCCCAGGCAGCGCCAGTCAAAGCAGCCAATCTAGTTACCCTCCCGCGATACTAATATAAACCAAAATTAATCACGTAGTAACAAGGATGTCTCGGTGGCCCCCCTCATCCTCAGCTCGCACAGACGATCGGGCAAACATTTGCTCAGCGCTGTGTTTTTGGCGTTCGGCCTGTAGGCGAGAGGTAGTTCTTGCTTCCTTCGTCGTCGGGATGGGAGCGAGGGGAGCTGGCTCGATTATATACTCGTAAGATATATCACAGATGCACACGCCAGCTAACGCTTCTGGCAACTGCCCTTTGGGAAAGCGTCTCTAATTGCTATTGACTTGCGAGGGGAAGAGCCCTTGTGGGTGCGGGAGTAGTTCATCACGAATCACTCGTGGGGGACCTCACGGCTCCCGGCTTCTATCCCAGAAAATTAGTTGCCTCTAAACGGTAGGTTCACTCGAACTCTACCGCAGGGAGCCTGGTAGTCCTAATGACACTTTCTGTAGAACTGATTCTAGGACTGATTGCTAGAGCCCTTTCAACCGTCCACTAGGTAAAAATTTGAAGTTGAACTTTAGCGTCCCCAGATACCGTATGGCGAGGAGTTTTTCTCTTTTTTTTTGGGGGGGGGGGGGGGCTAGCTGTAGCCTCCAGCGGCTGGTATTGGGATTATCTTCTCTGAGCGCCCCCTCTGCTAAGTGCGCGTAATTGCAACACATGAGAGCGTCTCGATGGTGTGCAGAGGCTGTATGGGACTAGTGGCTAAGTAATTCCGGCACTATCATCGCGATCCATTATAGCCTGTTCCCTCTCACCCCGTGCTTAGGCATTCCCAGCATCCCGCCCGTGCCACCCAGTCTGTAGTCCACCGGTAAATCACCGGTTGTCACTCGATTATAATCTTTCCAACTAAATTGTAGGGTCCCTTTGCAATGCCATTTTTCCGCTTACAACCTTGTACTGTGTTTATGGGAACTTCTTTCCCTCTGGAAGGGTGCGAGATTGTTCGGACATGTCACTTTTTACTTGATCGGGCCCCCTATCCAACCTCCCTCCCCTTGCTCAAAAAGGGTCTTACTTCCCACCTTTGGCGCAGCATGTGGTACTGTACCCCTTACGCCTACCGCATCTTCACCCGGGGGAGTGCTATCGCCCATGCCACGCCATAATGCACGTATCGTATCTCCGCTCCACCCGGCTGCCTAACCCGCAAAACTCCGAACCGAGTGAGCCCCCATGAATCTGACTAACAAACAAACACAACAACCTGGACGGTTGGGGTCGGGTTAGGTTAGGTTAGGGCAGTGAACAGGCAAGCACGTGATGTCCACGCCAAAATCGCGTCGTCCCGAAATCAACCTGAGCCCCGAGAAGGCTCTCATCGTCCGTATCAGTGCGCCAACACTTTCCTCTATCATATCATACTTGTCCACCCTCTCTATCTATCTACCTACCTATCTATCTGAAAACTGCATACCCTACGCAACAACTTGTATATATCATATATACCTATACACGCAAACTGTCATACCGGTATGCCGTTAGGAATAGAGCGTATGATATTATATCCCTTCCCCACTCCCACCCCCACTGCGGTACACGTCCCGTAGTTAACTATGGTATGATATCGTGCCATGGCATTAGGCATAAACCCCCGCAAACGGCCCCCGAACGCGAACATTACCTTCATCACGGCGCTGCCGGGACAGGATCACGATGTGGCGTTGGATTATTTGGAGAGGATCGCGGCGATTGTGTTTCCTGTTTGTTTTTGCTTTCCTTCCTTCCTTCCTTCCTTTTCTCTCGCTCCCTTGCTTCCTTGGGCTGATGGGTCGGGTGGGGTAGATTATGAGGGATAATGGACTTGCGGTTATGTCGTATGCTTGTCGCTCTACCATTGTTACTGGTGGGGTGGGGTACACGGGCTGATTGCGGGGCAGGCTGGATGAGTTCCCGGCGACTATGGAGTTTTGGGGGAGGAATTGTTGGTTCTCCTTTCTCTCTGTGATATTTAGGTTGGTGGGACTGACTGATGGCTGCAATAGTCAACGCGGGAGAAGTTATCCAGCTAGTGCTCAAGAATCCCAATACCGGTGCCTGGCTGCCGTTTAGTTTCGTACAGCGGGTTATGATACATGAACTTGCGCATATTAAGCAGATGGTCTACCTTTCCTTCTCCCCTGTTCCCCCCCCAACTTCCATCACCAACAACAACGAATACCTAACCTTGCTTTTACAACAGAACCATTCCAGATTTTTCTGGTCCGTCAACAACAAATTCTCAGCCCAGCTCCGGGTCCTCCGGGCAAAAGGGTATACCGGCGAAGGCTTCTGGTCGGCGGGGAGAACGTTATTGTCGGAGCGGTACACGCACGATCAGCCGTTGGCCGAGAATGATATGCCAAAGTCACTTTGTGGCGGTACCTTCCCCACCACCTCCCTCTGCTTTTCGGAATGTGAATGACTGGATGGGGTTAGGGACGTACCGCTCCCACGAAAAGCGCAAAAGCGCCCAGGATGCCAACGAGCGAGCGAAAAGGCCAAAGCTAACCTACAGCGAGCGCCAGCGACGCCACAAGGAGCGGAAATTCGGACCCAGCGAAGGGGAGAAAATCGGCGCGGATGATGATACACGAAGCATCTTAGAAAAGGGGAAAAAGTCGAGGGCTGCTCCCAGGATCGCGCAGAGTGTGCGGGGGAGGGAATTGAGGGCTGCGGCGGCGCTGAAGAGGCTCGAGGGGCAGAAGCCGGAGGAGACCAATGGGGAGGTTAAGGATGTGGGTGATAGTTGCGATAGTGAGGGTGCGGGCGGTTGGGACGAGGATGAGAAGGAGGTCGATGTCGGCGGCGGGAAGTGCCTCATTCCCGTCAGTCTTGAGGACGATGGCGAATTAGAGCGGGATTGGATGATGAGGGAGTTAGTGGAGTTGAAAGATGTATGCGGAAGTGGGACGGCAGGGGAGTATTTTGACGAGGGGAGTATGAATGGGAAGGGGAAGGGGCGGGAGCAAGAACGGCTGCGAGAGCCCTCATCGGAGAAGAGTGCAAGGAAACCCATTGTCGACCTTAGTAGTGATGACGACTTCCAAGCGCCCTCTCCCCACAACAAACCCCCGACCCCCAACCCACCATCAGACCCTCCAAGCCTCACCCTTCACCCTCCTCCCCTCTCGGGGGCCGGGGCCCCCAGCAAGCTTTCAGGAACCACCTGTACCGCATGCTCATTCGCCAACGATCCAGCATCGACGCTGTGCTGCGTCTGTGCTAACGTTTTGGATCCTGGGCGTATGAAGAACACATGGAAGTGTTCCTGCTATGGAGATCTGCGCTATACGAATCCAGGGGATGCGGGAGTCTGTGGGGTCTGTGGGGGGAGGAGGGGGTAAGGGATGGAGTTGGGGTTCTACACATGTTTTTTTTTCTCTTGGGGGGGGGAAGGGGAAGGCGCGGGGGCCAAAGATGTCCATCGTACACTTTTCAGGCTTCGCGTGATGAACAATTACCTGTACGTGGTTTCGCGAGTGGAAAGGGCGGTTATGATATTGTCATAAATATTCTGCTCTGATAAGTCCTTGTTCGGCGTGGCAGTCTTCTAGTATAGGAGTGCCCTTTTTCAATGTTTACGATAGAAAGGACGTTACTATCAGAGCGGTGTTTTGATGTGCCCACGAACGTTGCGATATTCACTATATATCGAGAATATTGCTGTCGGAAGCTATTATGATAAGGGGGGGTGCTTGAGTCCTAGTTTTTCCTAGATTCCCCTTCGCGGTATGATACCAAGCTGCTATGGTAGACTGCAGGGCGCAAATAAATCGGGGTTTTAATTGTCGTAGTGTCTAAAGAAGGCTTTGGGTAAAAACCTACTGTAGGAATATCGTACAAAATTTGCTCTACATTTGGCTTGTCTTGAACCTGTGGGGCTTGGGGCTGTTTCCCCTTTGTTTGGCTTTACGGTGCCACATGTATCATACATATTATATGGTATTGCGGTGGCCTCCGAGTTTGGGGGTATTTTTATGACATTGGAATATATACCATTTTCAACTTTTTATCGCAATAATTTTTCCGCGTTGCATGTCGGATAGGGCCTGAGTGAAAGGGTAACTACAATCGTTTCTGGGGGAGCCTCTCTCTCTTGGGGTGCATCTATATGAATAAGATACTGGAACTTGTAAATGACCAAAGGAAGGTGGAAAAAGGGAGGAAAAGAAAGCTAGACGAATCCTCAGGGATACTGATACAACACCACCACATTCAGCTCTCCAGTCCACCCTCGAACCCCACACACCCTCCCTGCGTCTCCCCCTCTCCATCCACACCCCAACCCGCCTCACCCCCCGCCACTCCCCCATCACCTCCCAAAAACCTCGACCAAAACCCCTCCCCATCCCCTTCCGCGGACAAAAGCTCATGCCACCATTGCCGGCCCTCTTCTGTGCTATCCACGGGCAGACAACTTTCCAATAACTCTTCCGTCACAGTGGGGTACCCCATATTCAGTCCGAACATCTCTGGCGGGGGCTCGGGCGAATTGAGCATGTTCCATTCCTCCTCGCTGATTGGTGGGATGGTCATCGTTGTTGTGGCAAATGCTAGAGGTTGCTGTGGAGGGGGGGGTATGGGGGAAGGAGGAGGGGGGAGGGGGGAGGGCTCCTCGTGGGAGGGATAGAGGTGTAGGAAGCGGTCTGGGTATGGATAGTGGTGGTGGGGATAGATTGGTGCTATGGGAGCGGTGGTGGCGGGTTGGCGGCATTGTCCTTTGAATTTTCCAGGGGTGGAAGAGGAAGGAGGAGGTCCGACGATGTGAGTTGTGTACTCTGGGATCCTCAGTGTTTCTCCGTTTCTGGTTGTGAATTCCAGGACTCGGCCCCCTCCTGCCCCGTTTTTACTCCCGTGAGCATCGAACACCTCCGAGGTCTGCGGTGGGCCCTTGGTGCTGGCGGACTGCGGGGTGTAGACAAGTATTTGTAAGGGCTGAGATTGCTTCTCCCCCGTTGGATTCGGCTGGGCTGAGGACATGTTCTGTGGTTAAGGGGGGTGACAGAGATGGGAGAGGGTGGGATGGGCGAAGGAGTTGGGACGGAAGATATACCCGTCCAGTATGATATGATGCATGGTTTGTTTGCGCCCTAGAGGTAGGAATGGGGGTGGAGATGGGAGGGCGGGGGATACACAGCATTGGTAGTTCCTGTCAGAGACCAGATGAGGCAGGCAGTGACAAAGGGGCGGCGGGTTCGTGGGGCGAATGTTTGTCTCGTGGCACGATTGTCTGAGTGATGGGAAGGCTCGAGAGAGGGTTGAGCGGAAAGGGACATTTGGAGAGGGGAATGGAATTCTTTGTTCTCGTGTATCATGATTTTAGAGAGTTGTTGTTGTGGTTGTTGTTTTGGTATCGTACTATGTATCCCACCATTGGTTAAGCGACGGCTTGATATCGGTTGATTATCCGTGATCCCACCACGCACCACGCATACGGTAACAGTACTCGAGTACAGTACGAGTACGGTACAGGCACTCGAGTACCACCACAGTGCATCCGAGCATCCCACCTTTTGCCAAGATTGGCGGCTCTGAAGTTTTGGGGGCATTTTTGAGGATTCCGGATGCCGGTATCAAGGGTAAAAAAAAAATCAATAAAAAAAATACAAATCCAAGGGATCCTGCTTCACCACCTTCTCTGTTATCCGGAAGGTGCGGTGCATGTCTGTTCCTGACAATCCTCCTCACCATCAACTCAATTGACTGGACTGCTGCTTTAGCTTTCAACTCTCTCCCTTCCTATCCGACCCTTTATTTCCCCTCCTCCCCGTTTGTCTCATTTTTGTTGCTCGCCCACTTCTAGCATGCCACCATCCTCCTACGCCTCAAATTTGGCAACCCGTCTCTGCCGCCAATTCCGACGACCTTCACGCATACACCCAGCCTACACCCGCTGCTTCAGCGTTTCCACCCGCCAGTGCTCGGAGGAGAAGACCCGATCTGAAACAATAGACCTAGAACCTCTTTCGGAGTTTCTTATCCTCCGAACACCGGGCCCACCCAAACCTCGTCATGAGAGTCTGCAGTTAGTGCGGGACCCGCTCGAACCCGAAGTTCTCGACGACGCGCAGAAACAGCTCCTGCAGCCCGAGGACCTAGACGCTAAAAACATCGATATTGAGCTCGTGCGCCCGCTCGACGTCGTCCGGGTTAGCAAGGAGCGGTACGTGCAGCTTGCACAGCAGCTGTCGAAGGCCTTTGTAAAGCCGCAGTTATTTGAGTATTACCATACTACAGTCAGCGGGGAGAGTGCCCCTCCGAAGCTCATTTCGACCTCAAATAAGCGGGAGATCATCAATGCGATTCTGAGCGTCAAGTGGGGGATTACGGTGTCGGACGAAATCCCTGAGCGGTTGGATGTTTTGGTGAATAGGGATTTTCCGAATACGCGAAGAGATATATTCTTTATTCTTGGGAAAGGTGTGTCCCCCTTTTTCCTCTTTGCTCATTCACTTGGAATGGGGGAGATTTACTAATTGGATGGCATTGTAGATGGGCGGGTTGTGCGGCAGTTGTCGCAGGAGTACCAAGCCAGGGTTAAGGTTAATATTAAGTCTGGCAGTATCAGTGTTAATGCCACTCTAGAGAATTATGAACGCTTGCGGAAGGCGATTCAAGACCTTCTGGAGAAGGTTACTGTTAAGGAGTTTGACATGTCTTGGGCCCAGCGACTGTGCAAGTTTAATGAGCAATTTATCACCCCGATTGCGAGGATCACAGGTACATATATCGAGAAAAAGGATGAGAAAACCGTACTCACGTGCCCGCCCCCTCTAAGCTCTGGAGAAGATTGTTAACATCGGTTTAGCTCCTAATTTCTACCCTGGATCCCGGCTCCCTCCAGGATGCACGGCGCCTGCTCTTCGTGTCTTTTGATCTTCGGCTACGATCGTCCCATTCTCTTTTGTATAATGCGCCTAAAGGTAGGGGAGACCCTAAAGGCGCCTTATATCCGGTCCATGAAAAATCAGCGTTACCGTGGAATTTCAGAGATGTGGAATGGGGCCGATGGAGGAATATCAAGATGCAGATCAACCACCCAGGCCGCCTTCGGAGGGGTGGTTCTGCGATTCTGAAGGATACTCTGCGCACACGGATTGGGGGGGAACTGAAAGATACGGACACCACCACAACCGGGTTACGTGAAATATTGGACTACAATGACCTGCGAGTATCGGCACAGCATCGATCGGAGCTATTAACTAGGTATGAAGCCGTACTAGGCTACCTTCTTCACGAGAATTCGGATCCTCAGCCCGCTCCAGACCTGACGGCGCCGGAGTTCGTCGAGTCCAAGGATAGGCTCCAAGTTTTTCTGACTGATGTCCCCGGTCTTTTTCACTTCACTCAAGGTTTGCCGCCTATAAGCGATCCCATCTCCAAGGACGGCTCCTCCTCATTGCGAGCGCAAGGATCTACTACTAGTAGGCAACAGGCACCCTATCAAACCTGTATTGTCAAGCTTCTACCATCGCCCTGGGAATACCCCGAATGCTTCGACAGATATCCACCTCTTGAATTGAAGTTCAACATTGATCCTGATATCGGCAACGTGGTCCAACCAACTCTCCAGGCCATTCATTCATCCACAATTGCAGACGCCATGTTCCCTAGTGAAGAATGCGACGTGCGCTTCCACTGCCAGAAAGCCTTGCCCCTGGGCATTCTGGGTGACCCCGCGAATCCCCAGCCCGATTACGGTGTCGCAGGATCGGAACTGCAAAGGTATCTGTCTGAGAGTGCACTAAACCCTCTCACTGATATCAAGCTCAAGGCGTCACAGTACCTTAGTGTTGGGCTGCCAGAGTGGATGATCTCTCCGTCCAAAAGCAGCGAGTCAGGGGGTGAGGGGGAGGAGCGGAGCTTGCCCACACAAATGAACTATATTTCCACCGGCTTGGAGTATCGCCACGAGCTTGCTTTCAGCTGGAAAGGTATGAAACTTTACCAGACTGTGGTTCAAGGGGGTGTTACGGGTGGAAGAAGGTCGGAGTTTAAGCTTTGTTGGAATAATAGCGGGGAGGATGATTCGTCGGCCCAGGCGCCGCGGATCACGGAGCTGGAGGGTGATGATAAGGTGGTTGACGAGATTGCAGAAGGGAGTAGGGGTAATCTTGCTGTTGAGACTGCTCCGGGGGCTGTGATGGAAACTGTCGTAGTGTCTAATACCGAAGCCGCAGGCGGGATTCCTAGTGAACCGGCTCTTGGCACCGGCGTAGAGGATGCGGCCGGGTCCGGAGATAGGATCACTGAGCCCACCATAGACCAATCCCTCCAGCATACTCCCCGAGACCCCTGCTACCCACCAAAACCCCGACCCTCATTCGCAGATTTCATCATGGGTGCGACCCACTTGGTGGAGTGCCTTGGCAAATTTGTGGCCTCTAGAGAATGGCGATTTACAACGCAATCTAAAGAGCATACGGGGACCCGGGTGTTTACAAAGAACATGGGCCATGGGGGTGGCGAGGGTGCTGAGATTGGTAGGGGTGGTCAATATCGTGGCGCAGTTGGCAGGAGCGGGGGAGGAGGTTGAATGATTGAGCGGCACAGTACAAAGGTGGTCAAGCTTGTAGAGATGGAGAGGTTCTCCGCTCCAGTATATTCGTAGTTTGATGTGAGTGTACATAGGGGCGTTGTATAGTTTATAGAACTCTTTCAAATGGCGAATAGGGCGCCGGAGTGGTCGCCTTTGAGGCGGGGGTCGGTAGGGGTTTGTTAGGAATGAGATAGGTTGATGGTCGGCAAGGTTCGGAGCTTATTGGACAACTGAATCTGTGCGAAATTCCGGGGAATCAACTTTATATGCCGGTGAAATCCAACACTAGGAAACAATTGGCCCGTTCTACAATACTTTTTTTTTTTCACACAAGACTCCTATAATCCTAGAGATGGTTATCCACACTCGTGACAAAACCCACCTTAACGCTCAGACCCGGTGGCGCGAAAACGAGGTAATCATATCATATCATATCATACCATGAGCCATGAATATTACCATCATAGCACTTGCTCGTCATATACCGATATCCGCCAGCCTTCAGACGTGCAGTGCAGTACTCGTACTCGCACTCGTACAGTGCGTGTCTGAAAAGAAAAGAAAAAAAAGTCCATCATAATATTATGCCCATATTGTCATACCCAAATTACCGTACGGCCCCCCCCCCACGTGCAAAACGGAACTACAGCCACAATTCGATTTCGAAAGCGGCCGGCGATACGTAGGGTAACTTGGCACTGTACAGCGAGCAGGTTGGGAAAAGGTTCGGAGGTACAGTATGATAAGTTAGTTAGCGGAGGGTCGGTTTTGCTACAAGTATTAGGTGAATTAGGAGAGAGGTTCAATGTGTTCCTTTTTTTAGGAAAAAAAAAAAAGACAAGGATATGGGCGTATTTAATTATTTACTTTTTTTTTTTTTTTAACCTATCTGGTGGATTTCTGATCTGCTATCCTATGGAAGATAGACTGTACCCTTATTCCTTGGTTAAAACATATTCTGGATATGACAGAACATCCAAAGAAAATCAGGTATGATATTTGTTAAAACTTAAAAAGGCGGACACTATTTTTTTTTATGATATATATCTCTAGACTAGTCTGAAGATCTACCTATACTTCTACTACTTTTCAGTCATGTATTGTACTAGTACAGTATAATATAATTTATTAGACTAAACCGCTCAAGACAAAAAGGAAATTGAATCACTTTGGGAAAATAAATAAATATATATATATACAACTGGTTTTAAACCTTCCGCTGAGAAACAGATAAAATTAGGGATTATATAAGAGACCTGACTAGGAGGGGGGATAGCCCCAGCGCCTTAGCGTGATCTTCAATTATCCCAATCTTAGGATAAGTTAGACAAATTCTACTGTACACTTGTGATCGTATCTGGCAGTCTCTGGACCACGGCCCCGATGATACTCAAACCCTTCCCGCTCTTTCCTGTGGGTATGATACGTTCGTGTCCACTGTTTCCCCGACGAACAGGTATCCTGGCCGCTCCGAGCTCTGGAAACAAGGACTGCACGTGGGCAGTAAGCTGTTATTGATATACGTATCCCCCCCCCCTTTTTTTTAAGGTTATGCTTCTCCTTTCTACCCGCCCTCTACCCGCGATCGCTCGTTGGGTTATATAGCTGGCACACGGGTCCCCGAGGAAGCCGGAGTAAGTTAGCAAGTGAGAATGAGCTCTTATACTCATGTATATCAGTCTGACCTCCCCGAGGCCAATGTGTAGAGGCGTATGGACAGATGTCCACTATGAGTACTAGCGTTGGGATCCCCTGGGTATGATACAATGTCTCCTCTATCCTCCGGCGTAGACTACAGTTTTCTGCTTCCTGCCCATCTCTCTCGAGACGATATAAATCATATTCAGTGATCAACGATATTCCTCAGAAATGAGTGTTGCACCCCTTACATCCTTGATAGTATCCATAAGACTAGCTAAATTTACCTTTCCCCATAGATTGAGAGGAGAAAAATGCAGGGGCCGACATGTTGCCGGAGCGCTGGCCCACCCTTTGTGGTAGTGCGGAGGAACCGCGGAACGGGGGATTTCCGACTAGAGAAAGGCCCCTTTCGGGACCTGCAGTGGCACGAGGTGAGGCTTGCCTTATCGGGTGGGTACCCACTAGTGGCCTACTGCCGGTACCGGTATTGTAGTGTCCAAAAGTAACATGTGCTCGGCAATGACGGTACGTACGGTACCGGGCTAAAAACGTTGACATTTATTGAGACTAGTACGAGGTTTGAAGTCAGAGTTGGAGCCGGAGGTTCAGGCGTTGTGAGTGGTAAGTTAGTGCACAGGTGGACTGGGCCAAACCATAGCTGCCCCCAAGTGGGATTTACCGGTACTACATCGAGTATGTTGCTCGGAGTTTGCAGGTGAGTGGAAGGAGGTCTGGGATGGTGATGTAGCGCTGATGGTGAGACTTGGCGTGCGGGTATATCCGCAGAGGGGGGGGAGGGGGACTTCAGCCATCACGGCTCAGTGCTCCACCCAACCCAACTGCTGGCCTGAGCAGGGCTAATTCCGAATGCAGCTGTGGTAAGTTGCCCCGCCACCTCTTGTAGCACTCCAGCGCGGACCTCTCATCTAGTTTCAAGTAATAGGGGAATGTGGAAGACGGGACGGTCGGCAAAGCACGCCGAAACTGCCAGCTTTCGAGCAATGTCTTCTCAGATATTGTCGCCCGTAGAATATTCGAGACGTTAGACAATGCCGTTATTCTCGGATGGTAATCCGGTGCAACACCTCCCCGCAGCTATTGGGACGCTCAGGCAAACCCGCCCGACTTGGGAGATCTTGTGGTGAGCTGCCTCTCGAAGTGGCTGAACGACTTTGATGGAAGCCACCACGAGTGGAGGTAACACCCCTGCCAAGACAGCGGTGCTATTCAGAAGGAGCCGACTACAACCAATCTCATCCGCTCGAAACCTATGGCATAGGTTGAGGGTGCCAAGATTTAGAAATACTAGACCTGAATGTCCAGTGTGATTTCTCTGGAACCTGTTCCAGAGCCATCAATACCCCCCTGACCCTTTGAAAACCCCTCCTTTTTCCCGTGCTTTGCGAATTGTCTCCTCTCCCAAGTTCCCCGACTGTAGGTAAATCCGAGTGACAAATGGTGAACGTGCACCTACATAGCCCGGTCGTCCGAAAACCTCAACCCGGGGGACCCTAGAGGCCTGGGGCCAGAAAAAAAGAAAAAAGAAAAAAAACCTCGTAAGCGGCACTTCTCCAAGAGCGAGTTGGCAATATATCTTCGGTTGGTATCATACATAGCTCGATTGCCTGCCCTATGGAAATGAGGTCCGGGAACCTCAGACATCCCGAGCCGCCCGCCAGGCCTTTGGTTGACCGCCGCGGGAGCGAAGAAAACAAAAAACAACTATAGATCACGTTTCCATCAATCCCTCAACCCCGAATCAGCCCCCTCCCAAGCGGCAAGTCTATTTCCAGATCCTAACACGCCGCCCAGGGGAAGCTCTCTCGAAACCTTTGCTGGGTTACTGCACAGCGCTAAAAGAGCGCCTAAGTGCGCTGAGACACTACAGTCGGCAACCAACCAGATGTACTCGTACAGTACAGCACAGTACCGGTATCCGACTTCCACCTCCAGTGCCATCATCCCAGATCAACGCCTGACTCATCCATCCCGTTCCCCGCCCTCACCTCCCACCAAATCCCCCTGCTTCATCCGACCCCGTGAGGAAACCTGCACTTCCTACGCCAAAGCGTTCGCATTCACGGGCTACTGTACGTGGGTGTTCCGTGGCAGTCAGGAAGGGCGGGTGCGAGAGCTGGCAGCCTGGGTTTGGCTATAATAGGATTCTTTTTTTCTTCTTTTTTTCGTTGGTGGGTTAGTGTGTCGTGGTTGGGTTACGGGCGGGGGGTGTGGCATGGAGGATCATATGTATGATGCCAGTCCCCAGATGTGCGGTTCGGGGGGTGCAAGCCCTACTACAGGGCTCCTGTCCGTCTAACTTACCGGTATGGTATGATACCATAGTTGTCAGCGCATAACAATGGGTTTTTTGCCTACTAGCCAACAAGTTGCCTATTGGCACAAGTGCATGCGTGCCGCGGGCTCTCCTGAACGCTTGGAAATGGTACCAATAGCGTATTCTACAGTGTACTGCAGTTTGACTCTCATACTTTTGTTGTTTCTCTCCCCTACACAAAAACAGTCCTGCAGTGGGAACGAACGATACAAGCAATACCGGTACAACCACGATTTGTGCCTTGCCCCTCAGCACCCCCCTACCGATTCTTCGCCCCCCGTTTTGTTCTTGTTTTCCTTTTTTTTCTTTCGTAATTCTGTTTCACGATCGAGCGACCAGGACAAAAACACAGCCAACCCAACCCTCTAACTCATATCCACTAAATAAAATAAGATAAGATAAAATACCGTAGTTAACTTAACCCAAAACTTAGATATCAGAGGCGTGGATAGAATAGAAAGTAGGGAGCACAAAAAAAAGGGCATGTTTCCGTATAGTACACCACATCGCACCTAAAAAATAATAATCCGAAGCATCATAGGAACAAGACTAATATCAAAATTGAGTCAGGGGGGCAAAGAAGCAGTGAGACTATTAATTAAATGACTTTTCCCATATATTCCAGTGGAAAATAGAAGGGGGTAAAAGAGGGGGGTTTATCGAAATGCGTAGGTTGGGAACATTCGCTTTTGTGGCTTCAGGCTCAGTTCTTGGTATGGTTGGCTTTGGGGGTCGTAGTAAAAGCCCTGGATTTGGCCGTCTGAGCGGCGGAGGGAAAGGAAGTAGAAGCCGCCTATAGTTAGAACACCGACTTCTGGTGAGGTTTGGGGGGTTATGAAGCATTTTTCTAAAAGAGGTTAGCCTTTACCCTTGACGTAAATGATTGATAAACGGGGGTTTCGGGCTCACCTTTCCACCTCATGAATATCCAGTTTTCAGTGAGGTTTTTCATGAACTTCTTGGAAACTAGGCTTTTGACGAGTTGATCATCGGGTAGGCGGGAAAATGGTTCAAGCTTGCGCCAGTTATTTGCATCGTCCTTGATGTTACTATGGAAGTTGAAGGTCTCCAAGCTGTGCGTTTTGAAATCTATTATTTCTCCTTCCAGGTATGTTGTTATGCTGGTTTTCCTCTCAGCGGACGAGGGTTGGAAGTCTGTAAATGCCTCCATGGTCCCGGCTGCAAACCCGGCCGGTCAGAAAAAAAACGCGTGATAACGTAGGATGAGATATACTGACTCAAGCGCAGTTGGGCATAATCGATGCTTGATATGCTGACTTTTACAGTCCATTTATGAGGGGTATTGGCGTAAGGGGAAGTTCTTCCAGGAACCCGGCGGGATTCATCTTGGTGAGAGACTGCAGCGGCAGTTGTGTTTGAAGGCAGGGATGAGGTCGACGAGGCCGATGAATGGTTGGACCGCGGAGGCGCGGCCGGGAGTACTGGCGGGGTCGTCTGGGAACCCCAAAAGATTCCACCCACTTTTAGCCACGAGGTTTCGGCGACATTTAGAAAATGAGTGTCTAGTAGTAAATCATCACATCGCGCTTCCTCGTCGAGGAATTCCATCCAGTCGTCGCTGCGACCAAACCCGGCCTTCTCGGCGAGCAGCAGGCTTTCCTGGGGACCACTGCTGGATCGCAGTTTGGCGAGGTATTTTATGACTTCCTCGAGCTCATAGGAAGACGAACTGGATGGACCAGAATCTCTGAAATTCTCACCTCGTATCCTGATTGGTCGTGAGCGATGTATTACCTCGGGGTTACTCCATTCATGATAAGTGAATGAATCCTCCCTCCCATCTCGTTGCCTCTCTCGTTCACGCTCCCAAGAATAACCATGCCATTGTGGTCGCGAGCGTATCGGCCGCCGGTTGGGCGGGCGGAGAGATTGCATGAACGATGAACTCCTAGTAGAAGATTCAGAACGTGCATTGATTAAACCCTCAAACATACCAGCCAGCGCGCGTCCGGCTGTGGGCCGACTCTCAGAATCCTCCTCGGGCGGAGTTGCTGGGGCCCAGTCATACAACGACTGTCTCTGGCCAGGCCTCCAGGACGGAATCCGAGCTCCATATGCCTGGTCTTGCGCTTGCCTGGCCTCACTGTCCCTTAAGGACTGGCGCATCCGGCCCGAACCTGATCTCCTCATTCGTTGCTCGTTTCCGCTGGGCCTTGTGAGCTCTGCTAAATGACGGAAAACTCTGGCGTCAGCACCATACAAGGCCCTGATACGAGACCGGACAACTTCTTCGCGTTCGCCGTCCTCGTCGTCCAGTAGCGGCTGTTGTGGAAGTGAGTGCAGCAGCGGGGACGGCTCAGCACGACTCTGCAGGAATGCCGAGGGGTCAACAGATGGCGGAGAGGGTACGTGGAACGACGGAGCGAACGACGGAGGTGTATTCTGGGAGCAGAGTCAGTTGGAGAAACAGCACGATGGCCGCAACACCATCAGATCTGGACGGAGTAATGATAACTCACAGACGGGGAATTTGCTGGAGGAGGCATGTGGGTTAAAGAGATGATAGCGATCAGGACGGACGATGTACGGGGCAGCTGAGGCTGGCTAAGCGGAACAACCGCGAGATATCCTATCACTCCAAATTACCTGACCGTTTGTTTGTTTACTTTTTTTCTCTCTCTTTTGTCTAGAGAGATGTATTTTTTTCTTTTCCTTTCTGATTTTGATTCTGATTTACCCCGAAGAATCTCCCCTCATGAATTTAACGTAACGCTTTATCATTTCTTGTCAGACATGTTTCTGGGGAGCGGAACTCAGTTCTTTTGTTTTGCTTGAGACAGCGGGAAAGTCAGGTTAGCAAGCAAACTTGAGGTACAGTGCCGTGAGGCAGTGGTGCCACAGGCGTTCAGAAGCTGGAGCCATGCTACAGTACAGTAGGAAGAGGATGAGTTTGAACAGAGCTGCCAAATGTCCCCTTTTCGGCTTGATCTCCAGCGTCATCATACTTGTACAGCACAAATGCCGGTAGCCAGTCGAACGACGGTTATGCGGTTGAATTATCTTTCTGAATGAAACCCTTTATTCGGGTTGAAATTGGACGAAAACAGAGAAACCTAGCCAAGACAAGGACCTTAGTGGGGGAGGGGGGGGTTTCAAGGAGATCCATCCACATCTGGTTCGATCGGATTCGATAAACCATCACGTACCGAACCATATCTTGGGTTTATCATTCACCAAGCAACTATATTGGTTGGTTGATGATTGTCAGGATACGACACTGCAGTGCTCATACAATTTCGTCCAGTGCTTCCCACCGAACGAGCGCAGTACTCGGCTGGAGGGGTTAATACCCGAATACCCCCGTATGGTCAAACTGGCATAGCTACCCCTTCTGGACGATAGAGAATCGCAAACCGTTCACGTACTCTCTTCTTTTTTTACAATCGATTGGCCTAGCGGCACATTAGGAGTGGCCGTTCATTGGAGATGTTCACAAACTAGCCCTGGTATCTGACTGCACCGCTCCTTCGCCGAATATATTGGAACCTCTCATGGGACTGCAGCGATATAATGCCACGGAACTCTCTCAATTCGAGCGAGATCGAGTGAAACAGACTTATCAATACCCCTTCCTAAGGTTCCTCTTTCACCGCCCGTCTATCAAAGGCCTAGGAAAGCTCTGCGGGTGAACCCGACTGCTGAGCACGAGGACGAGAGCGAGATAATACCGTATACAGTATATGCTTCTGTTTCTGCTCGTAGCCTGCTTGTTATTTGTTCTATATCCGCGGTCTATGCAAAAAGCGATATGGATCGCTCCAATCTCAACCCTCGCACACTTGAATGAACATCTCAGCCTGCCTGTACAATTGTCCCGACCGTCCCTGAATATACGGGATCCTGCTACCGTATGGATACAAGGGCTATCGGTCAAATGAAATTATTTGGAGACATTATGGTGGCTCTCTGACCTGGAATTGGCCAATTTCCTCCCTCTCCTGGCTCACCCGAACGGCAATGCAATGCACGAAACTCCTCTCACTTTGTGAAACCGGGACTGGCCAACTTATGCACAGCCTATCTACCGTTTGTCGTCTCGCACAGCCCTACTTGGAACTTCCCCCCTCCTCCTGCTCCTCCTCCTCCTCCTGCTCCTGCTCCTGCTCCTGCTCCTCCTCCTCCTCCTCCTCCTCAACCTCACTCATCCTCTCACCCTCATTCCCCCTCCACCTTCACTCAGTTTAATGCTTCACCCTCCTCACCACCCCCTCCTCCTTCCCCTCCCCCCTTCCTACCTCTCAACCACTAATCCTTTTGGTGCATATCTTGACCAGTCCCATTGCTGTCACCACCCCTGAATGCCATAACTTAACTTGCGCAATTCCTGCAGGATTCCAAAGCTACGAGCACTTGCATGCTGTAGTGTACGCTGCATGCTGTGGCCTAATCTGGACGCCTTCCTGGGCTTTTATCTCTGATTTGTATCATCTTCCATCCATCCTTCCATCCTTCTCTTGTGTTCCTTCCTCACTTTTTCCACCGATCCTATGGAATTCCGTGCTCACCAAGTATAATTGCTCGTTTTTGTTTCGAGAGGCCTTGCTTGGTAAGATACTACAAGTCCTTTTAGATAGTATCATTCTTAACCCGTCATTATTATCCGACCAGTTTCCTAGCTCAATTCAAACATCCCCTCTTCGTTGCCCGCCTGTTGGCCTGCCTCGGGGGGGGGGGATAATTATCACCCCCTTCCCTTCCCATTCATCAACCGTTACTCGATGCTCCTCCCGGCTCCAAGTTTCGTTTCTTCATCATGTGGTTCTGTTTGTTATCTCCGAGTCTCTCTTCAACGAGGATCCTCGGTTTAATGTTTACACTCCTACGAGTTGATCAAGTAAGCCAGTTTGAAACGCTTGGCTGAGATTTCATTTTTGTGACCGCTCTCTCTGCCACGTCCCAGTGTCAATATATCACAACTTTCTTTCTCTACTTTTCGGCTGATATTTTGTAGATCCTAGTGGACAATCCCATTTGTGGATTGGTGAGAAACATCGATATGCTCTACGGCAATCTCAGGATTTTAGAGTGGAATCTCCACTTTTCTTGAATCAAAAGGCGGTGTACCATACTCTATCGAATGCATTTCGGCGTATCTCGGAGGGTAAACGGAATTTCTAACTCTCGTTCCCACCAGGCCCCAGTAAGAGAAAAGTACAGACGTTTTCCATCCCTGTTCTAGCTTTAATACAGGGTGAATTGTGGTTTTTGGAGGTTACTTGTTGCTTCGGGAGTTGATCTCGTCTGGATTGATGCATTAGCTAGTGGATTTCTGTGCTGTGCTTCGAATAGTGACCGCTTTATTTTCCGGTGCATGCGTGACGCACACCGTTTAGGTTTTTCGGCATTCTGCACGTTTTCTCCTTCCGAGGAGACAAAAAAGAGGGAGTAAAATGAGAAGGAGGAGAAAAAGGAAAAAAAGGGAAAGAAAAGAAAGGACAAACTGAAGGAGAGCCGAAGAAATCGGATGTTCTTCACCCATCATTCTAGATATATTGGAAACCGAATCATAAAGATTCCGTGCCTTGGGCAAGATAGGGGCTTCAGACCGAGTCGCCATATCTAAAGATATCTACCGGTATATCTGTCAATTGGCAGTGGTTGATTCCGGATTGCTTTCAAGGCAGGACACCCACTACAACCATAGGATCAGTTAGCATGATGGGTACGAAAGGAGAGAGGTTCAGTCCTTAGCCGTGCCATCCCCGCATATCCTATCATATCGCCCCCTGGATTCTCTAGAATCGAGCACGTTCTGCCACACTTCACAATCTGGACGCTATCAGGGCACTATCGCCTGATGCCGTTGCCCCAACATGCATAAACCTCCAGGTTTGGATCGCCACAATTTTCCAATCTATCAAGTACCCCATCGAATGGATTTGCTTTCCAATTAAACAAGGGATTGGAAAGGCAGTTGACTGCTTTCGAATGGCCTAACTAGTAGGGGACCTCACTGGCTTTTGCTACGCCTCCATAGTACCCGGATAGGCACTAAGAATCGGAATTTTTCAGTCTCCGCGAGATTGTGTCTGTACTATTGTTTGATGGGAGGGGCTTCAATTTTTTCTGATCTTGCTGCCATTCACGAGTATAAAGGCCCTAGATGGGTTCGCGCTGATGGTGTCTATCTTACTCTTCATATCAAACTCTTCGTCCTTATTTTATTTTATTCTATCCTTTTCCGTTTGGAGTTACACACCCTATCTTCTTTATATTCTGCCCACCAAAGGAAAAAAAAAGACAGCAACGACAAAAAAAAGACCACCACTTTGTGATATCTAAAATCCCTCGGCTGGCAGTGCCTTTCTTTCAGACTCAGGAGAATCTGAGTCTATTCCGTTCATCCCAATCATTACTCCCCATACTCAGCCTAAGCCATGGCTAAAATCACATCCATCGAATATTTCCGCGTGTTGCCCCGCTGGCTTTTTGTAAAAGTTACCAGCGAGGACGGTCAATTTGGATGGGGAGAGTCGACTCTTGAAGGACATACCGAAGCTATCGAAGGAAGCTTGAATGAATTGATTGGCAGATTCGTTGGCTATGAGGCAGAGTATGTTGCCCAATTCCACTTGCCCTGAGACCGCTCTTTCCCTGATTTAGGATTGAATCTTCCTTGCGACTTGGGCACTTTGCCCTTGCTGCTGCTTGGCGCATTGGGACTGATTCGCAACCCGGTATAGTGACATTGAGCATATCTGGCAGACTGCCTGGAGATTGGGGTTTTATCGGGGCGGAGCGGTTTTTATGTCAGCTATTTCCGGCATTGATATTGCATTATGGGATCTCAAAGGTATGTGATAAAAGCTTTTTTCTTTTCTTCCCCGTCGGTGGTTATAGGATATAGGATGCGGTCATGCGCCTGTCGTCATCTGGAGATATTGCCTGACATTCCTTTCGCCGTACTGCACGATGCCTTAATTTCGGCTGGACAATCCCCAGCCAGATTTCGAATGCAAGGGTTAAGCTTGCTAGGAGGGTGAATCCCGGGACAAGCTTTCGGATTATTCGCTGGCGGGGTTTTGCCGACGCTGTGGATGTTGGAGCACCTTTGCTAGTGATCACCGGTGACTGACTATCGCTTTTTTCTGCAGCGCGAAAACTAAAGGTTCCGCTTTATTCCTTGCTCGGAGGAAAAGTTAGGAACAGAATTGCTGTCTACGCCTGGATTGGCGGCGATCGTCCGAGCGATGTGGAGGATCAAGCGTAAGTTACCCCCTTGCATTCGGCTATATACTTTTTCCCTGTGCCCTGCTGATATATGCTTGCTACTGCACAGCAAGCAGAGGAAAGCGCAAGGCTTCACCACGATCAAGATGAATGCTACCGAAGATTTGGGTTGGCTAGATTCTCCATCTGCATTGCAGAGCTCTGTTGAGAGGTTGAAGGCGGTCAAGGCTGTCGGCCTTGACGCCGGCCTTGACTTCCACGGCCGTATTCACAAGCCGATGGCTAAGCAGCTCGCCAAGCTTCTAGAACCTCATCAGCCATTGTTCATCGAGGAGCCACTCCTCTCCGAGCATCCTGAGGCCATCAAGCATTTTTCCCAGCAGACAAATATCCCCATTGCTCTTGGTGAGCGTCTCTATCATCGATGGGATATCAAGCCGTTCCTTGAGGCTTCATCTATTGATATTCTCCAACCTGATATCTCCCACTGCGGAGGTGTCTCGGAAATCAGGAGGATTGCAGCTATGTGTGAAGCGTATGATGTTGGGCTTGCTCCTCACTGCCCACTTGGCCCTATTGCGCTTGCGGCGTCTATCCAGGTTGCGCTTTCCTCACCTAATTTTGTCATCCAGGAGATGTCTTTGGGTATTCACTACAACAAGATGACACCTCCAGGTGCCGGAATATACGATCTTAACAACTATGTCAAGGATGCCACCGTTTTCGAAGTTAACGAAGGCTATGTGAAAGCTCCTACCGGTGTCGGAATTGGTATCGAAGTTGATGAGGCCGAGGTTAGGAGAGTTAGTAAGGATTGCAAGGCCTGGAGATGCCTTGAATTCCATGGGCCCGACGGGGCTGTTAGGGAATGGTAGCTCATTTCGGTTGAGGTTCTGAGAAAGGCATTTATTTAAGGCCTATCTCTCTCTTTTTTCTTTTTGCATCCGCACAGGTTTTTTTTCGTTTCCACGCTTTAATGTAGCTCGCTCCTCGACGGAGTGAATCTGTTATCATGCGGTTAAGGATCCTTTTCCCTCCTCTCTATTTTTTCACGTTATTTCCACATTTCTTTCCTTTGGGTTTTAGAGTGCGCGCCTTTGCGATAATCTTTCTAAGTTCATAACCGAACATATTTGAGGAATCTCGTGATCAAGAAACAGAAAATAGAAAGTCGAAGATTCCTGGTTTGAAAATGCTGCGGGTATTTCCTTTTTCTTTTCTTAGATCCCATGCTATTTTATTTAAAATCTGGACTCATCGGGATGTGAGTGGACGGGTTTCAGAACGACACCCGCTGCCGAATCAGAGCAACAAATCTGCCCCCACCATGCCAGTCCCGGCTCTGTCAAACGCACCCGCTTTTCAAAGGCTTGCATGAACACATGGGGGGCACGAGGTCTTGGGGGGTCGTCAGAAGCTCAAACCTCACCGCCATCAATCATCATAGTAAATAATGCCCTTTCCTGCTGTACAACAGAGCTAGGCGGCCACTCACCTTAAGAATCAGAAATTCCTCTTTTCTCTCCAATCCCCATTACAGGCACCACAGATCATCAATTACAAAGTTACTTACGGCTACTGCCAGTTTAACTAGCAAGGACTTACATACTTATAAGAAACCCAGAGCGATGTCACCAGGTGACATCAACCCCCTCGACGAATGGATTCGCCGGCAATCGTTCGAGGTCGCTTACAACGATTTCACCAAAGGCTTCATTGGAAAGAAGGCTCTGGAGGGGGCCGTATGCAGCAGCATACCAACGGAATTCGGCGCACGGGGATACACGCCTGAGAAAGTGAGGACAAGGCTCAGGGCGATGATGGCTGAACGCTTGACATCAGAGCTTCTAAGGGAGTGCGATGACAGGAGAATAGTTTCGATGGCGGCAGCTGGAAATACTGGCAGCGGGGGAATTTCTGGTAGCGGACATGCGACTTCTGCCGGCGCTGCCGTTGGGCAGGCAGTGCCGTCCAAGGAGAACAAAGGCGACCAGCCCCGTGTCCTAGATAAGGGCAAGCAACGTGCGATGGATAGTGAAGATCGCGCAAAAGCGCCGCTACACATGCCCAGCTATAAAACAGCAGTACCGGTAGGCGTCCCTCCTTCCGCTGGAGGACCGGTTCCCAAGGGAGGGACAAGTGTGCGCCATTCTCCGAAAATGGAGGTCAGTGACGACGTGGTGGAGAGCTACAAGAGGGCGGCAGCTGCTGGCGTTCAGGTCCTGAAGACGGCTCCAACGGATGAGAGTGCCGTCCCCTCTCTAAGAGAGAGCACGACGGTAACATTACCAAGGTACCATATTATTCTTTTTATTTCTCACAAAATTTCTGTTTCGTTTCACACACACATCGGTCCGCAACACGTTGTCATCAGCAATTCACTGGCGACACTTATAGTGGATCAAAATATAAAAAATATAAAAAAAACAAAATACTAAGCCCAAGCCAACGAGAGGAGATGTTAGAGAAGGAGAAGAGAAACAATATATTGATCGCCTAACAGAAGTTCGTCGATCATCTCCACCTCCGTCAATGCTTCAGCTGCGCGAGCCATGCCCTCCGCCGTTGCGGCTGACTCCATGATCCCGTCATTACCATTCAAGCTTCAGTACCGAATCTTCACAGCACTCCAGGCAATCCTAGAATCCTGTTGCTACGATTTCGCATGCCGGTACTACCCGGAATACCTAAAGCGAAAGTCCTGGGACTGCCCCGAAGCCGGTGAGCTGACCGTCTGGATCCGCGGCCTCTCGAAGGAATTCTCTTCGAACCCCGTCTTCGACATGGGGGAGGACGAATTCGACACGATACTCAAAAAGGGTGGAGAAATCCGTCACGCCGCGGTACATAGAGTTTCTGTCTCTGGGCAGGAGATACAGGGACTGATCGAAGATGCTCGCGCCATGGCGGAGATCTTGGACGACGAGGAAGTAGAAGGGAGGTTACGGGAGATAGATGAGATGAAGGCCGTGGTGGATAGCAATATCCAGGTATTACTAGATAAGCGTGCAGTGAAGGAGGAGAGGTTGAGGTTGGAACTGGAGAAGTTGGAGAAGTGGAAGAGGGATATTGAGCTGAGAGAAGTCAGGGCGATTAAGGGAGCCGAGGAGGAGGAGGAATCGATTTGCAGAGAATTCCGAGATGGGATCGGGAGGGAGTTGGAGTGGCTAGGATTGGAAGGAAAGGGGCTGGGGGTTAGGGATCGTGGGGAGGCGATGGAGATGGCTGGGAGTGGGGTTGTGGGTGCGGCGTCGCGGGAGGGGGCGGAAGCCCTTGAGAAGATAAATGAAAACGCCGAGGAAGACTTCCATGAGCCGGAGGGGTGGCCGGCGGCAGAAGGTGCACTACCAGAACAGCTATTAGCTACGGGGAGTGTTTCTTCCTTAAGCATTTAGATCTGGGTTATGTGGAGTGTCAGAGAAAGTGCCTATCTTATACCATGCCGAGTGATGTTGTAGGTTTTTAGACTGATTCTTCTGTAAGCAAGCACTGCGACATGAACACTTTATGGGTACCCAGTTAACCATCTTTCCCTGAAAGTTAAGATTGTCTATAGCGTTTAGTATCTAATAATTATTTACTTACTCGTGGACGTATGGTTAGTTGTAGTTGTCACGAAATGCCTACGATCCATTGGTGTTGTACATGTGGGCAATTGGAGATTGATTGGTTTTGTCGATGGAAGCTCCACGGCAGCACGCCAGAGTAACGCAAGCTTCCGTTTATTTGGTCCATCGTGCTTGAGTGCTCAGGCGGTAGCTCGCCGGGTTACCACCACGGTATTGGCGTGGCCACGTGTATTACTGCCTAGATGTGGCCGCAAGAATTATGGTGCTGCCTAATCTGCCGTGGGAGGGCACGGGAAATGTGGTCCTAGTTATCCCGAAAAAAGGCCATTTAAGTACTGTAGAGTAACGTGCCCGAGCGCGGAACGTACGGTACACTCGGCCTGCGAAGCTCCCGGGAAAAACCACGGACGCAGCCTGCCCGACACCCGCCCTGCCGCTCCGGGGGTGGGCCAGGCCATCCCATATCCCCGTGGGGATTTTGTCCTTGACTTAACCCCAGTAAGCACTGTGCTGCACTCGCTCATACTCATACTTTGCATGATGCATCAGTTCCAGTAGTATTAGCAGTTGCTGATGCCCCCCTCTGAACAGGCTGCTGGGCGGGAGGTCACACTAGTTATTGTGTCTATTCTCCTTTTTTTCTCTATCAATATAGCGCAGTTTTATCAACACTAGAAACTACCATACCCCCGCTTCTGTGAAGGATTGACTCAGGGTCCCCTCAGGTGGCCGCCCCTGATATCACCAGTTGGCAATCTCCTCAGCCGCAGCGGGGGCACGATTACCTTATAGAGGAGGTATCATATGAACTGCTCGCAGGTTCTTTGGGGTTTCTGTTTTCTGAAGATCCGGTATTGAGGGCTTATCTCTGATAGATGCCACTACTGGGCGACGATGCCCCCCAGTCCCAGAATCAAACGGCCAAGAAGGTAGGTAAAAATAAAAAGGGGGGGGAAGCTTACACCTCTCCCGTCTCCACCACGAGCTATGATATTATAGTTTCCCGTAACCAGGGAAGGTTGTCAGGACCCCAGCCTGACCTTGCGATCGGCCGCCGCATGGTATGTACAATTTCACTTCTTCAGATATGATTTTAGGCGGCTTAGGTATGGGGTAGCTAACCATTCCGTACGGTCTGATGAAACCTCGAAGGAGTGCAGTGTGGCTGCGCCTATTCCCGAGGATATCATAATAATATTATAATTCCGAGCAATCAGGGCCTCCTTGAAGATCAGTGATTCACAGACCACCCTTAATCATTATATCTCCTCTATTATTTCACCGGCAATAGCCTAGTTCTGGAGGTTACTTTGCCTAAGCCCAATCCGTAAAGAACTAACTTGCGGGTCAGCGGTATTAGTATCCAAGTCAAGTAGCCGGGTGAAATATTCCCGGTTCTTCCGGCCTAACTAACTCACCCCCCCGCGCACATACCACCTCATCGCCATATGCCCAAGCCTAAATGTGGTCCGACGGCAAGAGATGAAAACATCGGATCGCCCTAGAGTCACATTCGAACCCAATTCTAAAAAGGCTCGACCCAAATATCACACTCCGAGCAAGGCGCTGCACTGCATTGCACTGCGTAGACACATTCCGTCTCATAGAAAGTATTCCCAAGACCGATCTAGACCGTACCTCCCTGCCGAAATTCTACCCACGCCTGCCATAAGAGCAAAAAAAGAGGAGTTATAGGAGTTGTGAAATATTTACCCATTTTACTTGCACCCACCCTCTAGCTCCAAACTCTCACTGCTCTAGCCGTGGAATGGAGGAAACTTCCCGTAAGAACTTGCCGGTCGGGCCAAGTACCGGCTGCCCATGATTCTAGACTTTAACCAGGGCTGCCTCAAGCCTAGCCGATCTGGCTCCACTTTGCTTGGACAGGAAGGGGTGGATTTCCGAGCGTGTGTGCGTGATGGTGCAGGCGGGTCCCGGCGGGGGGGCAGGAGGGGCTCGGCGAGTGATTAGTTATGATTGAGGGAATTTGTTTGGAGGCTGGTTCGTACGGTATCGGGGTGCCGGGAAGAGTAGTGTAAATATCACGAGACGCTTCTCAACCCCTCCCCCCAAGGCATCCCAGGTCCCGGACCTTCGTTCCGGTTCGGTTTTGGTTTTGGTTAAAGTGAGCACCCCGGCCGTCACACTATGGTTCCTAATTCGCCCGACCGCGACGGCAATACTTACTGTGATGTTTCTGTTGAGCAACAGGAGATGTGATGGCAGTGGGAGGCTGACCGTGGCGGGAAACGAAGACGAGACCTTTTGGTGGAGGGAGGAGATGAGAGTGGAGATGTATTGTTCTGTGTTGGTTCTAGGTGAGAAAAAACATGCTTATATAGATATCCCTTCAAAACCCTAGTTCCATAATCCATATCCTATTCAACCACTTCAAACATATACCCAAACCATATACTTCATCATTCGTGGGAGATCACATCAGTCTAACAATCACTACGCTCAAGACCAAAATTATGCTCATGTCACATTAGCTGGTTAGTCACAATAGACTTGTAAGAGCGTCAACTATTTATAATAGTTTCAACTCTCGAGCGAAAAGGCCCTAATTGGGAGGGAGCTCTCTGTCGCACTATCTCCCAACCGGTCGACAGGTCGCCTGCACAGTGCTACGCGGAAGATCCCATCTGAAGGGAAGGGTTCTGGAGGAGTTCCCACTTTCGGGCCAGCGCCTTCTCCTCCATCTCCTCAAATACGTTGCTTATGACCGTTGCCCCGGCGTTCACTCGGCGTAGGCAGCCTGGTCTCTGTTATCCCAGTATCTCAAACTTCCGTCGTCGCAGGGGCATCCCCGACAACCCCCTTCCTGTCTGTGATAAAGAAGAAGTGTTCGTTGATTTAAGGTAGCAGTTGTGGGCTTAGAAATTCTATAATGACTCCCTTCTGCCATTCTCAGTAACCCCAGAAAAACAGGTTATCATCTTGTTGACTCGCTTTCCCAATAAAGTTGCAGGTATAGATAACTAGTAAATAAATGGAAACTGCTTGAAATTTTGAGGATTTCAACAAAGGTCAAACTCCCACCAGAACTTGTCCGAGAACCTCACCACCCAACGCACATGCTGTATAACACTACAGACTGATCGCTGTGTAAGGTCTCAGGAAGGGAATTCAATAACAGTTTCCTCCCAATTAAAATCCATTAGACAATTTCCTGGATCAGGATGCGCGCTTGAGATTATATCGCAGCAATGGGTACACAAATTATGATACACCACATCTCCCTATCAAAAATTATAAAAAATCTTTCAAGAAAGGGGCCCAAGAGCTCATGGATGTTTACAATAAAACCTATCATACTAAAAATATAGGAAGAAATATAGCTCTATTTTCATTAAAAGTCCTAAAAGCCCATCTTCTAGTGGGATAAGTATTTGTTCCCAAGTTAACATTTAATGAAATACCCAGCTGGCGCAGTGGTTAAGATGTCACAGTACAGATTAGCCTCCTGTCGCACTTAGCGGGAGCCCAGGAGTTCAATCCACGCTCTTAACGAGTAAATTGGACATCCATCATGTAGGGTAGGAGGGCGCAGGCCCCTGCCCTATGGGAACTGGGAGTTCGGTCCTCCCCGCCTTGATAAATGAGGCGTGGGTTGTTCCATGCTGCTGCGAGGTGGTAGAATCCGACTCTAGACCTATACCTAAGGGGCCCGGGTACAAAGGTTGGCGATCGGCGGGGGTGGCTAAAAAATCTTTTTGTTTTTCGAATTGTTCCTTTGTAAAGATTGTAGTGAAGCCTAAAAAGTTGCAAACATTAGCTATTGTCCATTCTAGAAAACTATGCTCTTCTTACTACTAGTAGTATAACTAGTACAGCTCTCACTGCTTGTTGATTAATTAGCAATCTGACACTATTGTGCCGGGGCTGGCAGTGTAATTAGTACTGCCAGTCCAGACACTCCCCGATGGTGAAGTTGAGTAATCTGTTGTCACAAGAAATCACTCTTCTCCAAGACTACCGGTATGAGAAATCCTAGAAACAAAGATTCGGGGACTAAGACAGGAGGCAGAAGCCTGTCTAAGGACATGGAAGCGTTAATCAGCCATTTTTACCGTGTAAATACAAATATTGCGGGAACTATGCTAGTAAGGAGTACTAAGGAGTACTTCAAACAATGCCATACGTACGGTAAAAATAGATAGCGAAATCATATAGTATCACTCGTGGAGAGCGCCGAGCTCTAGATATCATACCCTCAGTATGATATACCATCCCCCAACCAGAGCCGATACAACCCGCAGCGGAGCTACACTCGCCCAAACATGACTTTACTCCGATCCTCAACTACAGTACAATCCATTGCCACCTTCCCACCTTATAACATCTCCATCAGCGAGCTTTTTTGCTAGCCAACCCCCCGGTGCCCATCCACCTCGCCTAAAGGAGGCCAACACACCATCGATCGCAGGGTGGGGAAGGAAAGAAGAGGTTGATATGTTTTAGGCAACCATGTTGAGCTTGACGGAAGTGAAATGCTCTGGTTTAATGGTTCGCCTAACTTATAAGTCAGATGGATCGGCAGGTGCTGAGTGTGACAAGTATTGATGGTGTCTTTGGAGGGGAGTGGCCCACTTGCAGCTATAGGGAAAATGATGCGGCCGGGGATACAGTGTTTGGCAACGTATTTTGGGCACACTTGAGTCTTTAGGACTGAACAGTGGAGATCGGCTTGCCGTCTTTCCCAGCCATATCCCCCGGCGGCCGTATAACATGTTAACCACTCACCGCTCACCCTCAATCTGCAGATCAGACGCCGGGGGGCCCGCCATGACTCCCCTTCCACTACCAAACGCACCATTCTCCAGGTCCAATATCAACTACTGTGTATCACATTCAAAGCTCCCAGATAGTATAGAGTACAATTAGCCCAAGCAGCAAATATCCAGAACAAAACAAGAGGAAAAACACCGTGCGATTCTAATCCCATCATTTTTTTTATGAATAAGCATAATACTAGTGCAACAAACGATATCATAAAAACTGTAACAATCGAGCCATGTACTGCGTAGTCGAGAATTCCCTACTTTGAGAGGGGGGCGAAAGGTAGAGCCGCCCAGCCCCTCTGAGGGGGATAGGGAACAAGGAAACACTAGGCCTTACCAGAGGAGGCGACCCTAGCGACATGGCCCTTGGTTCGATTATTCCGGTTCCCACAGCAAGGGATATCTACACTACCAACTCTTCGTGCACTGCCAACTAAAGAAACCCCATGAATGCCTAAATTAGCACGTATAGTGCACTGATCTATATCCCGCCATTATTGTTAGCCCAATCTCCAGCGTGGGATGTAAGGGACCCATACCATTGAGAGCCCCCAAATCATCGACGACCAGAACATGATGTTGTTAAACATCTTCTGGCTCTTCATGAACTCTGTCCTCTGCACGACGATTATGGGTAATTGCAGCATCTGGCACACAAAACCATAACCGCGGAGTTTCTTAGTAATGCAGAACATGACAAGTTCATGAGCAAGTGCTGATATCAGGAAGGTGGTAAGTGTGGCTATAGGGCGAGACATGTGACGGCGGGAAGCGCCATAGACATGACGCTGGAGGAAGCGGTGAACAGGGATGTTCCATTCCCGGGAGAACTCGAGCCAATCGGTGGAGTTCCTGATCGAAAGTCATTAAACAATTCTTTAGGAAACCTACTCAATGGTGAACATACCACCAATCAGAATAAAAATGCCTATCGGCAAAGCAGGTAATCTCCGCGAATGCTCCAAGCACGTACTCAAATATCACCAGGAACACCAAAAGGAAGGTGACCATAAACGGGAACAATAGCAGACTAATGCTCTCCAGCAAAATCAAGGCCATATCCGGATAAGCATCAACACTCTCCAGCCGAGTAGCGGCTTCAGCCATCTACAATCCCAAATCAGCGAAAGGATACCAGGAGGACATGGGTGGGAACTCCACAATTGGCAAAATAAACTCCTCGCTCGTCACGGTAAGTAGAAAAATGCAACCAAACACAGCGGCGGCCTTTTCAGCAACCTTACCCCAACGAACACTATTCCAGAGATTAGCCGCGCTATATGCTATCCACGGGGTTGGCCACAAACTGATCAGTCCGGGGGTAGCTCAATTCATAGCATAAGGTCGGACAGAAGAGGTAGTCGACGAAATTGTACAAGGTGAGGTTCTTGGGATAGGTCACTCTTCCAGAAGGGCAAGTGACCTCAAAAGCTAACGTTTCGCGGAGGTCTGCATCTTCAGCCGGTTCCACCTTTGTGTTATTCTCGTCGAGAGCCCGGAGCCTCTTGTGGCACTCCGAAAGATGTCCACAGTAGAACGAATACGAGTGCATCTAAGCCACAATCAGTACCCTACTCCGAGGGGTAGGAGAAAGGGCCTTAAACCTTCATGAGCATAGTGAGAGAGTGAAGCGTAAAAAAAACCTGATGAGTCCTGCCATCCCGTGTTAACCCCCGAAATATCTCCCTCAGCGCCAAGTAATACTGCCATACCATTGCCACTCCAGATGAAATGGGAGATATACCCAGACCGTCAACCAGACCGCCTGCAGCACGTGTTGAAGCACATACCCACTCCTACCCCAAGACCACTTGTCAGTCGAGAATGCCTGTTGCAATGGTAAACAAACAATCGTGCTCAAAAACATGAACAGATCGGCAACAGCAAGCTCCAACGGGGCCTTGGTAAACATGCTAAAGATTGAAGTCCTCAGCACCCTACGGGTATCCTTAAGATTCCTCAACGCTGTGGTAAGCACCATAATGAACAGTCCGATCCAAAACAGCGTAAAGAACCCCCGGAAGTCACGATGCTGCGACTGGGGGTCGAAATGTGAGACGCGGCTCTCGTAGTCCACGGTTGGGAACATTCGCCGCCGGCGTTCCCGGCGGGCATGCTGTAGTGAGTGGGCACTCGGGGGTGCGTCTTCAGGAATCGGAGTGCTTCGTCCACTAACACAGCAAAGGTCAGAATCGCCCCCATTATTTCCTTCCGTCCCTCCCACCGGCGGCGAGGAGTGAAATAGGGGGGTGGAGGGGCAAACAGCTGACCTAGAAAGCACTGACGAAGTTTCGCTTTCCAAACGAGCCGAAACAGGCTTCAAGTGAGCTCCCCCATTTGATTGCTCTGGTGGACTGTGCACGGTCCCATTGCCGGACCGAGTACGCAGGATGTTCTCCAGTGGGTCGTTGTTGATGTCGGCGGAGGATGAGACTGAATACGTAGATATCTTCGACTGGGATTCCATCTCACGACGAACAGGGAGGGTGGGTCGGTGGGGGTGGCACGAGCAGAGGGGCTTTCGGGAGAAGATGCTAATGCCAAGTGTCAAGGAGAAGAGGACCTACAAGTTAGGGGGAAAAGGGGCTTGATCATAGCAAGCCCCACAAGCTACATTCACAGTATGATACCTATTAACTTCCTTGTGAATAGGGAGGAGGGACAGAACAAAGATAAATAAATACCGGTTGTTGGGTGCCCGCCCGTCCGCTCGAGCTGATATAATATTATATATTAGGAGAAGGAATAAAGGGACATGTATGAGGGTTAATTTCGGAAAATGAGGTCAGGGATTGAGCAAAGAGTTGAGACGCAAACAAATAAGAGGGAAGGGTGGAAAGAGGCTCAAAAAGGCGTTTCAATCTCACTCGTTTGTTTAATATACGAGTAATACAATGTTACGGGTCTGACGTAATCGCACTTTTCTCAAGGGCAAACCATCTTGATCCAGCTCCACAACCATTCCCACAAATAGCCATACTTGGCCAAACTGGATGCTGCACCTGCGATCTTTGGAGTCATTTACCGCCTCTGCCAGTATCCAGTACCGTACCAGTACTGCACATCCCGCCCATGCAATGTCCTCGACGACCCCCCCCACCACCACCACCACCACCACCGGGACAGCTACCCATCTACCCGCCACGGGAGTCCTTGCCTCAACCCTCCTAGTCCAAAACATCCGACAATCCAACAAAGCCTCACACTTCCCAAAGACTCTGTCGACTTCCTGCTCGTCCTTGGACCAACATGCTCTCTCTGGCGGGTTTCCTTACGGACATTTAACCTCTATATCCGGTGCTTCGGCGACCGGAAAATCTCTTGTCCTCCTCCTTATCCCCATTCCGTTCGGCCCGTGGACTGACGAAACGTGAGAACAAAAAATAGATAGCAATGCATTCCCTGACCACCCACCTCCTACTTCACTGCAACTCTTCCGCCGCGTGGGTTGACACCCTGGGAACCTTCTCCCCAAGCCTCCTGCAGCAAGTCGTCTCATCGCGGACAAACAATGATAGCAAAACCACATCCAGCATTCTCGACCGCGTACAGATCATGCGCGTCTTTGACATCCACGGCCTAATCGAAGCCGTAGACGAGCTCCGCACCGGCCACCTCGACCGTGAGAGGCACCAGCGCGTGGTAAACGATAGCGAGGACGAAGCCTCTGAGGAGGAGGAACTCCCGCCAGAACCCTTCAACGGCACCCGAGCAATAGTAATAGATACGATATCCCAGCCAATAACTTCACTAATGACTGCAGGCCCCTTACAAGCGCAGGCAAGTATGGTAGGAGTAGCACGCTCCCTCTCAGACCTTGCGAGGAGGTACAACATTTGCACGCTGTTACTCAACACCGCAGTTTCGAAGCCGACGAAAGGCCCGGACGGTGGACAACAGACATATACGCACACTCAGGAGGACAACCTCCCGAGTGCCTTTTCCGCCGCAGCGAGTAAGCCCGCTCTTGGGAATGTATATGCGCATTGCGTGGACGTTAACATCCTACTCACGAGGACTAAGGTGCGAGGGAGGTGGAGGATAGGCGGCAGTGGTGGTGGGGAGGGCAAAGACATAGTCATGGAGGTGCTAAGCGATCGGACGGAGAGTGGGAGAACAGGGATGTGGGGTTCTTTCGGTATTGTCGGTATTCCCATTGACACCCCCGGGAAAGAAGAATAGAGAAGGACAGAAAGGATAGCGGTAAAATAGTGAGTGGACTAACAAATGAGCGGATAGGAGGGAGTAAACCTGGTTCCGAGAGTCCCGCTTCCGCCGGAGCAAACTAAGGTCCAAGTTTGCTAGCTAATCTTGAAGGATACTCGTACACGAACCGTCCGACAGGTCACGAGTGGACCATAATAGCTAACCAACAGCACCCGGAAATCCAAAAAGCGAAACCACTAAACCCAGACAAATATAAGCTTGCACTAAAGACCCACGTACTGCCACCCAGCTAATTAGCCTGGCTCACCAAGTTCTGTGCTAGTCCGCCCACTCACTATATCCCTAGATAGTGACCGTGGGTTAGACTAAACTCGTTGCAAAAAGAGAACCTCCCAATCCGACATTGGCCTTTACTAAGCAAGACACCACATGCACCGAAGTACTTCGATTCACGCCGCAAATACAAACCAGACCCCATACACATATTTTCACCCTCCCCGATTCCTCAGAGACCAGCCGCCCTCCTATTATGTATCCCTAGGTGTCCGAAACTAATCGACGGCCAGTGAACGACTAATGCCTATCCAGGTACGATACTCAAAACGCGCATGATTTCACTGGTGCCATCCGATTACTGGTATTCAAACAAACTTGTTCTTACACCCATCCTCTTTACCCCCCACTCCCTCCGGGGCTAATATTCCCTACAATAGCGTATTTCCCTCGCTCCGTCACGACTTCAGAGACTGGCTCGTTGCTTATATTACTCGTCTATTTTATCTAGTGTCCTATTCCACATGCTATGACAAGAGGCCCGAGTGATATCAGATGCTCCACGTGATATGCGCCTACCGCGCATATTCCATACATTCCGTAGTGGCATACTGACAACATTAGAGCTCAATGATTGTATTCGCCAATATTCGCGCCAATTACTCTCTCCTTTTTAATTACTCGTACACCCCACACCAGCCCTAAATACCCCACTCCATCACTACCCCATAGCTCGCTCATAGTCCAACATCTCAAACTCAATACTGGCATAGATAAACGGTCCAATCCCCTTCAAATCGTTCGTCCTTTTAGGCACCGAGATATAGTACTACCACTGGATCAGCTCCTCCATTTCAGAAAGGACAGGATAAATCTCACGGCATAATCCCCATTGCTCCCCAAGCTGCCCACCTGCACTGTTCCCTCCCAGTCATACACTCCATTGCCCCTATCCACGACACAATTCCCAACGAGATACTCATAGGCCTTCTTTGCGACGGGGAGGTATTCTTCTCGGGGCAAGTAGCCCAAGCGCACGCCCTTCAAGAACGCGTACACGAACATGGCGCTACCGGAACTCTCAATGTAATTCCCAGAGGCACCTGCGTATTCCTGTGACATGACGAGCCACCAGGCGCCTGTCTTGGGATCCACCGCGGCTTTTACCGCAGCCGCAGCGCGCACAAAGTACCCCCTGAGCACCTCGAAGTCCGCGCACTGGCGAGGGAGGTAATCCAAAACGTCCACCAACGCCATGAGGTACCAACCGAGGGCACGATCCCAAACCAACGGTGCAGATCCCGTGACCGGATCCGCCCACGCGGCACTCTTACCCTCATCATACCCATGCTTCAACAGCCCGGTCGTGCCATTCCGCACGTGCGCTTCCAGCAGCGAGAACTGCAGCACGATGTCCGCCCAACCGCTACCGTTCTTCGCGTCAAACAGTTGTGTCCACTGCGCATAGAACGGCAACGTCATGTACTGTCCATCTAGCCACATCTGATTCCGGTATGTCGACCGATGCCACATCCCTCCCTCCTCGTTGCGCGGCTGTGACCGTATTTGGAGGCGGAGGGTTTCCGCCGCCGTTTTGTATTTGGCTTGTCCTGTGCGGAGGTATAAGTACAGGAATTCGGGGCCAAGGCGGATGTCATCGAGAGTGTAATAGGTGAGGTTGTAGTCCAGGAGTGTGCCCGTTGGGGAGATGAGGTTGTCCACGCCAGTTTTGAGGTAGGTGTAGTACGTGTCATTACCCGTTGCATTATACACCATTTGCAGCGCGCGCTCCATGACGCCGTGTTCGTAGGACATTAGCACCGCGCCGGTGCCACTTTTTCCCAAGGGTGTGTTGCGCGCAATGACAGAGTCGGCAAGGAGTTGGGAGTACTTTGTGCATCGGGCTGTTGAGGATAGAACCTGAATGGCGGCCGTGATGAGGGACGGAAACTTCATGTTTGCGCTGGGGGTATTGGAACGTTGTTGTGGGGTTCCTCCCAATTCTATATAAACATTGCCATAAACCCAATGCTCGGTTGGAAGTGGAAGGCAGAGTACTTCTCGGACATATGACCCCGGGAAATCACTACCCGCAGTTTCCGGTACCTGGAAGCAAGCAAGGAACCCTTCGTGCCATTGTTCCGGGAGAACTTGGGGTGTCGGTATGAGCCGGACTTGCCTCGTATTAGGATTCTTCAACAACCCACCTTTTGTAAAAGTAGAGTGGGGGGAGGGGAGCCGAGGAAGACGGGTTGATCTCCGCCTCGTCAGTGCTCGTTCCCGCTCAGTAGGAAGGTACTTGTCCAGCACTAGTACAACAGAGCTGACCCCCGTACAAGCACTTGTACCAAGTATATTACGATGATACCAGCCCCCCCCCCGGTGGGCACCGCATGGGGCTAGACATCTACAGCACCGGATATACTAATATTGTGACTAATAAGTCAGTAAGAAAGAGCAATTCGAAGAGGAAAGAAAAGAAAATAAGATGAAAGGGGAAATACGATCAAAGGGAGAGAGAGCTGCCTAAAGGCCAGCAGATGGTGTCGGTTTGAACCCCACATCCAAAGGTATCCATCCATCCATAATGGCAGGCCACCCCGTGAATTTTTTGGGGCCAACCAAATCCCCCAATTCCCCCACTCGCCGTGATATATCTCCGCACTGACAGACTGAGTTCACTTACCCGTACAATTGAGTACCGGTACGATAGTCAACAGTTCCGGAAAAAGCACACAACACTGTCCCAATTGCTTTCACAAAATCCCTGGTAATCTTTGTGGGTATCATGATAGATTTAGGAGAAATTACGAGTAAACAAGGAAGGGGGGGGATATCCTTGCATACTCGTCTGTGCCGTACTTGGTTATTACGATGCCGGGTAACTCCCCTTCAATCTCTAGACTTAAGTTACCGTACTCGTACAGTACTAGTGCTCTGCTCTTTTGTCAGATCCATGGTACAGTACCAGGCACTGTACGATTTAAGGTACCGTACGGTACTCAAGTACCTGGCAAGCACAACCGCTGCACACGGGCCATGATCCCACAGCGGATAAAAAAGGTAAATTCCAAGCACAATTATGATACTAACGTACACTCTTACTACCCAAAAAAACTTCACCGAACCATTACCCCCTCCCCCGTAAGGGAATTTCACGATCCAATTTATGTTTGCCCTCGTGAATGTCTAAGGCCATCTTTCCCCCCACCTCCACCTCCTCGTAGTCATAGGCAGCGCCGCAGCTCGTGCGTCTACCAGTACCATACGTATCAGACGCAAATTTAAACCCCCGATGTAGATAGCTTGGCAGGCAGAGTACAAGAACTCGAGCACAAGTACTAGTACTTGTATATACAGTACCAACCCCAATACAAGGATCACGGCGGCCAAAGAGTAATATTAGCAGCACTCAACACCCAACAAGTCGATTTACCACCACGGCTCCCCCACAATATGAATAGGGGCCCAGGCTACGGAGAAATGACAACCAAAAACAACCCAGGCGGTGATGAGTGACCATTACGGTATACCGTTCCCGCTCCTCTCTGCGAATACTCCAACATCAAGCTAGAGTCCCCGGTAGCACACAAAACGAGATCTAGCCAGGCTTCCAGCTTTCTAGGCCAACCTATAACAACGGCAAGCTTATTCCACTCCTATCTCGGTATGATAGTACGTCTTAGGCTCTCCACACTTTGGTGCCCCTATAACCACCAAGGAGGAAGGAAGAAAAGGAATGGTCCGTTGTCCGAAGTTTGGGGATGGGCCCCCGAGTCTGACCTGCTAGGTCAAACAGCCATATTCTCATGCCCAAGCTCGCTCATTGCATTCCCAAGCAAGTGCCCGCAGTTGGCCTCATGGCCAGAACACCTCTCCCGAGCCAAGTGACCACCCCTACAAGTCAGTCGCTGGCAACAGTTCGCCAGCCATAATGATCCAGCCACCCAACCGCCAATGTGATACCGGTACTTGTACTTTTGGACAAGCACGCTACAAGTACCACACACAGTTGCACATATCGCAGCAGGAAACATCGCGGGAAAGCAGCACCACGATAACGAGGCAATAATTTTATTCCCCACACATGCCGATGGTATGTGCCAACAAAGGAAATTCACGAAGCCATCTACAAAACTACCCGTGGGAAAAACCATAAGGAAAAAAAAGGAACTTGATTTCGTATCTCATTTCGTACAAAAGACCCACATGAGAACATTTTTTATTTTTTAACGCCCAAGTGAACAGGACAGTATCTAGAACTCGCAAGAACTACAAACCATACCAGCACACTACCCTTAACCCATTTATTTCCTGGAGCGATAATGTTAGTAAAGCCTATCAATCATAAAACAAGCCAAAGTGGTACTCACTTGGCACCAGCCTTCTGTGCAGCCTTAGTGACTTTCCCTGCCTTGTCGATCTTGGAGACAGACTTGATGACACCGACAGCCACGGTCTGCCTCATGTCGCGGACGGCGAAACGCCCGAGGGGAGGGTATTCGGTAAAAGCCTCAACGCACATAGGCTTGGAAGGAATCATCTTTACGATGGCGGCATCACCAGATTTGATGAACTTTGGCGAATTTTCAACAGATTTACCAGTACGACGGTCAATCTTCTCAATGAGTTCGGCGAACTTGCAAGCAATATGGGCGGTGTGGCAATCAAGAACTGGGGCGTATCCGTTTCCGACCTGGCCGGGGTGGTTCATGAGAATGACCTGAGCGTTGAAAGATTCAGCGCCCTTGGGAGGGTCGTTCTTGGAGTCACCGGCAACGTTTCCACCTAGTTAATTTTAGCCAATATCAAGCAAACGTAAAACAAGAATACCCACGTCTAATCTCCTTTACGGAGACGTTCTTGACGTTGAAGCCAACATTATCGCCAGGGAGACCCTCAGTAAGCTGCTCGTGGTGCATTTCCACGGACTTGACTTCGGTAGTCACACCAGCCGGGGCGAAAGTAACGACCATACCGGGCTTAATAATACCAGTCTCAACACGACCGACAGGGACCGTTCCAATACCACCAATCTTGTAGACATCCTGAAGAGGAAGTCGAAGAGGCTTATCGGAAGGACGGCTTGGGGGTTCAATGGCATCAATGGCGTCAAGGAGGGTCTTTCCAGAGGACTTTCCAGCTTTGGTCTCTTTGTCCCATCCCTTGTACCATGGGCAGTTGGAAGAAACATCAATCATGTTGTCACCTAGATATCATTAGCAATTGATACAGGTGATATCTAAGAATTGGAAGGCAAACCGTTGAAGCCAGAGATAGGGACGAAGGCAACCGACTTGGGGTTGAAGCCGACCTTCTTGATAAAGTTGGAGGTTTCCTTGACGATTTCCTTGTAGCGGTCCTCAGACCACTTGGTGGTGTCCATCTTGTTGATAGCAACGATAAGTTGCTTGACGCCGAGGGTGTATGCAAGAAGAGCGTGCTCACGGGTCTGGCCGTCCTTGGAAATACCAGCCTCGAACTCACCAGTACCAGCGGCGATGATAAGAATAGCGCAATCAGCCTGTGAGGTACCAGTAATCATGTTCTTGATAAAGTCACGATGTCCGGGGGCATCTGTTTGGAGATTGAAAATATTAGCATCTTGTCCAAAAAAGAAAAATTCAATTTGAACTGGGAAATGTGGGTAAAGGAAAGGATGCGGGGTATATTCACCAATGACGGTAACGTAGTACTTGGGAGTCTCGAACTTCCACAAAGCAATGTCGATGGTGATACCACGCTCACGCTCAGCCTTCAATTTGTCCAAAACCCAGGCATACTTGAAGGAACCCTTTCCGAGTTCGGCAGCCTCCTTCTCGAATTTCTCGATGGTACGCTTGTCAATACCACCGCACTAGATATATATGGGTTGTAGTGGTTAGCCGCTTGTTCAAATCAATTGGGATGAAACGAATTTTTTTCGCGTACCTTGTAGATCAAGTGGCCGGTAGTGGTGGATTTTCCAGAATCGACGTGGCCGATAACGACAACGTTAACGTGAGTCTTTTCCTTACTGCACGGGAGAAGAAAATTCAGTAACAATAATTCCTAGGAACAGGCTCTCTGTCTCGAGCAGATGTTGACTGGGAGACCAAGGAGACGGCGAAAAGCAGAACTGAGAAAGGGATTCAAACTTACCCCATTGTGTATGAAAATGCGAAGGTGTTGAAAAAAAAAAGATGTAAAGGTTTGAATTACTCAGAAGAACGTAGACTTTGTTCGGTATGCTTTTCACAATAATTAGCAAGGAGGGAGAGGGAGGAGGCGGAGGGGGGGAGTTTGTGGTGTGGAAGGGAGGGACTCACAGTGACAAGGAGAGAAGGAAGAGAATAAAGGAAAGGAGAAAGGAATGGGTAGTGGTAAGTGGGAGGATGGACTTTAAAGGAGAGGGGTAAATTTTCTTACCAACCCCACCCTCCGGTGCGTCTTGGCATTTTGTGACTGGGAGGCACTGTGGACAGATGATGGCCCTCAAGCGGAATATTTTGAGGCAGGGCTAACTTTTTTTTTTTCCTTTTCTTGTTCTCTTGCTTCCTTTTCATCGTAGTCTACTCGTATCATACAAAATTTTCCTCAACCCTCCCCATAAAATAATAATATTACTATCATAACAACACACTCGAATTTGCTTCGCACCGATTTTGCTGGGCTGAAATTTCTAGCCGCACTTACAGCAGTACCTAACCCGTTTTGGGCATGTTAGTGGTAATTTTTTTTCCAACGTCCTGCGTTTGGAGGGGTAGTCAAACTCTCGGAGGGGCAAAGAGGGGTAGCGCCACTTTGATACGCTGATCTTGGGAGGGAAAAAAAAAAGAAAAAAAAGAAACTTTTTCGAATTTCTTCAACTTCCTAATTGTATCTCGCTCTACGTGATACAATAGGACACAGTTACTGGTAAGTCAATGGACCACGATACAGTATCAAGGTGTCCCCAGGCATCAATCAAAATGGAGTGGGTAGGAAGAGGGAAAATCTGGTTATCGAGAGCTCTGACGGTTGCCACTCAAGTTAGCAGATAAAAAAAAATATACTCTCCCCCACAGAACTGTATGACCCCGCAGTGAGCAAACCATGAGACGGAATCGTAAATGTCCTCCTCCCACTCACGACCGGCAGATCAAAGTAGGATACTGTATCCTTCGACACTATACCGCACGCGCTACGCTATCTCTTTTTCACTCATTTATAATAGCAGTACCCATCACTCCGGCAATACCCGCCGAGAACATTCAGAGGGGAATGAGTAAGAGGGAGAGACAGAGAGACAAGAGCACTGACCACTGCCATTGCCCAGTACCGTATGACTCCCGAGAATCATGACCAGTCACATCCCAAACCTTAGTTTCATCGCTTCCCTTCCTCCCTGCCGTGCTGACATACACTAAGCTTTTAGTAGGCTACTGTACCGGTACTGTACCTACAACATTCCCCCCCCCCCGAGATACCCAGTTGACTAACTTTCTTCTGTCTACAAACACAGTAAGTACCAAATTGTACAAAAGCCGTAACATATCCGGCGGCCACTCGGGGCGTGAGAGCTACGATACCGGACCCGGAATTGAGGGCTTTTGATGCTCACTCCCTCCACCCCTTCATTTGGGCATGATTTTGCAACCGTTCTCCCAAAGCCCAAAGCCCAACAAGAGCGGTTCCAAGACGAGATATCATACCCGAGAACCAGCCACTATATCATACCGTACTTGAGGCATACCCCAGCCTGTCTCATATTACTATACAAGCAATACTGCACCCACAGCCCACCATCATGTGCATTCGGAATAAAACCACGATGACTGGAGACCACATTACAATACTTGGCGAGACAAGCCGCACCGGCCGGTACTATAAGAGTTTTCTGTAATCCGTCCAAAATTCGCAATAAATCACCTCCATCCACTTAACACCCTTAATGGCCAGAGCCAGGCCTTTTTTGGGGGGGGGACCCTTTTGGATGTTTTCACTTCAGCCCCTAACTTGACTTACCGTAGTCTACAGGTTTCTGTGCTTGTTGCCAGCGGCAGGCGAAACCCTGCCGGATCTGATAATGCGGTGACGGATGGACGGTTAAGCAGCCACCGCCTACCCGTACGGTTACTATTAGCGTCACCAAGACGGGAGATGTACAAGACAGTAGACTATCTCATTGCGAGTACGTGCGTCGATCGGCTCACATATGGCCATCCCACTGGGGCGGAATGCACTGGTAAAAATGCTTACCTAACTGACCGACTTATCGGACATCCTCCCTTCCCCTTCCCTTCCCTACTTTTCACACTCAACCGCAAGTACTGAAGAGCAAGCCAAACATTGGGAAGCACCGATATTGATGACTCCGTTAGAGTCTTGCAGCAACGTTTTGGTTGTTACGTGTTTGGAGCGTAAAGTTGGGGGCGAGTCTTTGAAAGGAAGTCCCGATATTGGTGATCGATTGCTGTTGGAAAATACGCTGGCTAGTGCTGGTATATAGAAAGTCTCAGACTTGTTCGCGCCTCTACTCATACTCGCACTCGTGCCGTGGATGGAAAAACGAATAACTCCATTAGACGTAAGTTAGTATACATCTACTGCCCGACCCTCCCGGAAAGTCAATCCCTCAATCCCCATCCAATCGCCCAATCAATCAACTCTATACACAAAGGGGGACCAAGTAGAAGTGAGAGGAATTAAAGAGAGAAAGTAGGAAAAATAAATCGCCAGCAGGATATATATCAAGCCATTCTCCCATCCCATCCTCCCCATTTCTCCCCTCCCCTCTTCTTTCCCCCAGCTCCTTACATGGCTAGCTAAAACTACCCTCACCGCCCAGCCAAGGCATCACTATAAAAGGCTGGCACATACTGCGGTATGAACGTGCCGTACAACTCATCCAACTGCGTTCTGTAGTAATCCCTCGCATCCGCGAGTGCCTCCTTGATTATTCGCAAACGCTCGGCGGAAGTCATCATTTGTTTGAAGCTTCCAAAGTCAGTAACGCCATATTAAGGATGGATAGGTGGTGTGGGAGGAGCATACTTGGTGATTGTGAAATCCCCTCTGACGTATAGTAGATGCTGCGCGAACCTCGCGCCGCCCATGTAGTCACACAACTCCCTTAGCCAGCGACTAGCGGTGGCGAGGGTAACAAAAGAATTCGCGGACTTGGCCATGGGCATGTCTGTCATTACATGACACTATGCTCCCTCGCCCTCTCCAAATTAGCTTCCTCCCCCAACCCATGCCTCCACTCTTTCAGGAGAAGGGACATACCAAAGCCTCGGAAGCCTTAATCCTAGCATCCTTCCCCCTAAAATTCTTCACAAGGCCGTCAAAGACGATGTGTAAATGGTAAAGGGCAACACATTGCAGCGTCTTCTTCTCATGCTCGTTGTCTGTCTCACTGTAGCACCGCACGAGCCCGAGGAGAAAGCCGGCGAATGGCTTCGCACTCTCAGGCACCTCGGCGAGCACGGGGTCCAGCGGGTTGTACTCTATCGCCGAGATGCGTGCAAGGATGACTTGGATGTCGAAGTCGGCTTGCTTAAGGTCCATTATCGACTTTGCCTTATGGGTTATCAGCCGGTCGGATCTTTCGGGGCGGGTGCGACCTGCTGTCTACTCTTCCTTAGCTCCACAAATCTCACTGTCGATGGGTTGAGAGATGGAGGAGGGGGGGACTTACACTAGGAGTCTCCGGCGGCGTCGACACCCCTCCGCCAACACCACCACTACCTCCAGCGCCAGCGGCACCCCCAGCACCAGATCCCCCATGAGGAGCAACAATAACTCCATGTCCGTCCCTCACTCCACCGGTAAGTATCCCCTCACTGGAGGCTGAACACCCACCCTCCAACGACGCAGCGTCCTTCATCAGCGCCGAGGTATCTAGCTTGCTCGCGCCCAGCACCAACTCCGCCACACCGGGGAGACCAAGTCTGTAGAAGCGTAGTGCTAGTGACGATTGCTGGGCTGACCATGAGTCTGCGGGCGGGGGGGGGCGGGTTGCGGGGCGCTGCATCTGGCCGGGTGGTGGGGGGGCAGGAGGATCGGGCGGGGAGATCTGCCCAAATGGTGAACCAAGGAAGGAATCCATTGGGTACTTCGTTCTATGAACTCTATTTATTTATTTTATCGTGAGGTTGAGGTCGATGGCGCTGATGAACTGAGCGAGCGAGCGAGGTAAGTTAGAAATCGGAGACGTCAAAGCATGAAGAAACCCTTTTTTTCGCCCTGGAAAAAGTCACCTCAGAGTCCTGCTGACAGAGCACCGCAACCAACTTGACGAACGAACGAATCGCGAATATACTATAACTTATGACCTACCGGGGGCTTTGTCGTTCTTGTTCCTCTCTCCTCTTGTCGATGTTCAGAAACCAAACTCAAGAGGTTGGGTTCAACCTATCGCGTGCCAAGGGATCTGATCAAACAACCTTAAATTAAATAAAGAGCCGCAAGCACTCCCTCTTCAATAATAATAATAATAATAATAATAAAATAATACCGGTAATAATAATAATAAAATTAATAAAAAGAAGAAAAGCCGAAACTAAAGGATCTAGGGAAAGAAAGTACCGATTCAGACTTTATCTAATACTCAAACAGACCCCTCCCCCCCCCTCCTCATCCAATACAAATATGATCCCTCGTCTGGCACCAATAGTAAGTAGGTAGGGAAATAAATAGCCCACGGTAAGCTCTCGCTCACACTCTCATCCATGTGAAACCTCGGAACTACCAACTCACCCTGTTCATCTTTGGTCCATCTACTCGAGTATTATAGCTCTCTTCGCTTGCCTGCCCGCTCTCAAGCCGGATACGGCAGTGGGCACGGTACTCGAGTACGGCCGGAAAGAGATCATCACAAGCTTTTCACAAGCAAACCATCGCGTAGTGTATCCCCCTGCCAGTGCCACAACTGCTACAGCACCCTATGATACGAGTATTCGTACTCGTACTGTACACTATGCAATACGGGTCATCCCCCAGAATTTTTCGTCCCCGGAGGCGGGAGGTGGACGGGAGTGAAGGCTGCAGTTGGAGCATCCCGCTTGACTTTCTACGGAGGTGGGGTCAAGACGAGCCCCTAACATGCGTGAAGACTCCTGGGGATGCCGCACCACGATTTATAGTCATCTCTTCCAAAACAACTTGTACGAGTAGGCTACCAGTAGATGAGGATATCGGGAAAATTGCGAAGCGAGTGATAATCTATGCATGCACGCTCGATCACTGTGTCGCTAAATAGCACTCGAGTTTGCAGTATCCCTTAGGCGCTGGAAACTCAGTTAATCCCTAGGTGTGGTAGAAGCATGAGCGGTGTCACCTACGAGTGCTGGAGGACGCAACATCTGACTCAACTCTACAGGCGGAGAAACTCACCCGATGAAAGGGTGTATAAAAAACTAGCCGGGACCATCTGTACAATGGTGGATCGTTTATCATGCGTATAGTACCAATAGTCCATCCCCTCCCCCTCCCATATCCGTGTGTCTTTTAATACTCCCCTCCCTGCCTATACGTCTGCAAGCAGTCTGGCAGTCAGACCCACTCCTAAACGTTAACGAAGAGATAAGGGGGGAAGAGAGATGGAAAAAAGGAAAACATACGATCCAGCCGAGGGGAAAGAGGGGGGAAAGGCCACCCCATACTATTATTACAAAGTTTATCTGCGCAGGACAGACCAAAAAAGAAATAATGAAGAAAAAAACTACCTCTTCCTCCTCAACCTCTCCAGATCAAATCCTTCGTCCACATCTGGAGTCCACGTAGCGTCAACCCTAACACCATCTCCCACACCATCTGCCCCTCCTGCCCCTCCTCCTCCCCCACTACCCCGGCCTCCATGGTTAGAGTTCGCATTCCCAGACTTTCGGATAGAAGCAGACACAAAGGCCGTTTTTGTTTTCGCTGCAGGGTCGTCTCCGAGCATCCAGGCGAAGCTGCTCTGAGCTAGCGACGCCCGAGGTCTGTGCGTGAGAAAGTCTGGGTCGGAGTTACTTTTGAAAGACGTCTTAACGAAGCCTCCCTGCGGGGATGTGGGCACCCTTTGTGGCTTTGGAGGAGGGGCGGGGCTGGGTGGTGATGGTGGTGCTGATTTTGGCTTTTGGGTCTGTTGGGAGGTGGTGGAGGTGGAGGTATGTATAGTAGATGTGGATGAGGGGGCGGCGCGTCTTGAGAGGGGGGGTTTGGCGGTTGATGAAGGGGATGTTGTGAGAACCGAGGCTGTGATAGTATGTGTCTCTGGCGAGGGCTCTGTTGAGGGAGTGTAGTCCACTGTTTTTGTGCCATCCGAAAGACACTCGCGAACGTGGTTTAGTCTCATCAATGATTCTTTCTTCTGTTTCGTGCTCAAATCGTCCTTTTCCAACTCTTCGATGCTCAATTGGAGGAGCTTCTCCAGTTTCTTCCTCCTATCGTCGTCTGCCCTGAGCTTCTTACTTAGCTCCCGACTCCTCCTTACCAATTCAGCCTCTCTAGCCGATTCCTGCGCAGCCCACTGTTGGTGTTGGTTATGCTGGAAGCCCTGAACGTTCTTTTTTATATCCCCCACAGCATCCCTGACTGCACGATTCACACCCCATCTCTCGCCTTGGCTAAGCATATTCTTAGCAACATCCTGTACAATACTCTCCAATTGGCCAGTTTGAAGAAACCTTGCAGGTGGTGTTACCGGGCTATTTTTCCGTGAAAGTTTCGGGGCTCGTTGCTTTTGTGCAGGAGGGGTAGGTGCACGGTTAGAGTACTTGACGACAATGTGTTTTCCCCCGGCAAATGTAGGATTATCTCGGATGTATATTGCATCGGCAACGAACGTTACCGGAAGATCAGGTGCGGTCGGCGAAGGATACCGAAGTACCAGCGTAAGGGCAGTAGAATAATCCGCCTCCATCACTGAGAAAAGAAAAAAAAGTCCCCATCAGTCACACTCCATCGAAGGAAATTCGAAGGTACTCACATTGCCACCGAACCCGCAAAAGCATAGCAACACAGACATGATCTACGAGCTGAAGGTTCGGATCCTCAGCAAACAACGCATCCCATACTTCTAAAAGCTCTTCGAAAGGAAATTCCCGGCCAAATAATAATCGAATCCATCTTCTGCGCACCCATTAGCCACTTTCATAGTCTAGTAAAGTAACAAGGGGGGGGGAGGCAAATTCATACATCAAAAACACCTGGGGCAGAACATCCAACGCCTTCAGGTGCTCAGACAACTCCGGATCCACAGCCATGAGCAGATGCTCATGAATATATTTACTCTTCTCCACGATCGGCGAGCTATTCCTATTCTCACTTCTCCCTCTTCCTTTAACAGAATCCGACGCTTCTTCACCAGGTTCATACCAAGCCTTCGCCGAGCGCATGACGACTTGGAATAGTGAGAAGGTATCATGCTCGATAAACTGATGATCCAGACACTCAACCATGATGTTCTCATCAGCCGTGGGCTTCCCCTGCTCCTTTTCCTCGGCATCGGTAACTGGGGAAATGGCATCACAAGCAACAACCCAGAGTATTATCGCAACAATCTCATGCATGCCCTGTCGATAGCTAACGTCCGCATTTAGCTTACAATATATGAACAGAATATTTAGTATGGAGTTCTGTATTGCCGGAGCCCGAAAGTACGTATTCTCAGGCATGCATCGTTCAATGTCCTGGAATATCTCTTTCCGTAGCGATTCGTCTTTCCGAAACTGTTCCCAGGGGTTCTACAGAACCCATTAGCCCCACCCATTCATTGCAGTTACCAATTGTAGAACGATGGAAGAGAAATACCTCTGCAACTTCCGCCAGTGGATCGATCCCCTCGCCGAAATCTGCCGCCTTCTCGAACGGGGATACATGTATCCTTTTTAATTCTTCGAACGCCGCACGCTCACAGCGTATAGTTCTACTCCAAGCTTCCGGTTTGAATCCCGGGAATAGCAAGAACAACTATGGGTACCACAATTAGTTTCCCTTCCCTCCCCCTCCTGATAAATTCGTGTGTTCGAGTCGAGAAAAATCAATTACCCTCCAGCAAACAGACCTCAACCCGGCCCCACATGGACTCTCGGTGCTACTGTTACTTCCATTATTTTCATATATAGCATCTGTAGTAGCGGTGCGTAAAGAGCTAATCGAGGAATGGCCTTTGAAGAGGGATCCCCAGCGCTTCCTAATTGTCCCCAGCCGTCACTTGGGTTTCAGCGGTTGTAGGCAATGTTGGGTGGGGATGGGGAGGGGGAGAGGAGAGGAGAGGAGGTGGTACCTTGTTTCTTTTAACGGCCGCATCTCGAATTATTTTTATTTTGGAGGGGCCGTCCGTCTAAACACCCCACCTTGCCTTTGTGGTAGTTGGGAGGTTCTGTCTGGGAACGGAGGCGGGGGTTTGGGGGAACGCGGGGGATGCGTATGTTTCAGAACTGGGAGGGTTATCATTGAGCTCTTGTTCGAAGCGGTAGAGCCGAAGTATATATCATACCGGTATGCTAGCTCTGTGGGGGTGCTCCAGGTGATTGGGCGAAATGGCCTGCATAGTTCCTACCAATAACATATTATGATGAGAATGGTGATCTATTAGGATTCTATATTAACTATGATACCGCTTTTGTTTTCCACAGCACCTGAATACCGGCACTCTAATTTTAGCAAGGATAGAGAGCGAAACAATGTTGAAGCTACAACGTTCTCTAGACATTAAAATTACTACAAATAGCAATCCCTTCCCAATCTCATATTACAAGTCAAAGAGAAGACCGTCCGCTATGACGGTCCAATAAAGTCCTCGCCCGTTGAGACCAATCCCTTCCCATGCTTTCCCCAGAATCCTTTACACCCCGCATGCCCACACCACTCTCTGTCCCACCATCCCAGCCTCTCTGTCTTCTCCTTTAGCCCAGGCAGAAGCTCATCCTTCCCCAGCCCGCAAAGCTTACACCCCTGTCTTTCAGGCCCCTTCAAAGGCTCATCCTCAAACTCTGGAATACCAGCTCGCATCGCAGCCTTCAGTCGCCCAGACCCATCCTTCCAGAGTCGGCATATCTCCTTCGCTTCTCTGTCTTCCCTCTTTTGTTGCCAGGCGGTACCCGCCCCGTTGGCTAGCTTCAGCCCCCCACCAGCTTCCCCCGGAAGCGCGCTCTTTGCCCGTCGTTTCCGACCGGCAACGATCCTGCCGGCGACTCTGCCGATCTCGCAGACACCTTCTAGGAATTCCTCCGTCTTGCGATGAGAGAGCACTTGCTGACGGAGAGGGAACGATAGATCTTTCATTTTGTCCAGAAGCTGTTCCTGTGGCAGTAAAAATAGCGGTGGGAACGCTCCTAATAGGACTACTACTGGAGGTATTTCCACGGGTTTTCTAGGCCGTCGGTATGGTGAGGGAGCTAGGATGGAAGTGGACGACTTGAGTGGAATGCTGGGTACCATAGGTGGTGATCCGAACGAGAGCATAGGAGGCGAAGTGGTGTTAGGGGAGGCAACAAAGTCACCAAAGGGATCTATATCGGAAACCTTCCTAGGTCGGATATACTTTGGCTTCGGCGGAGTAGGGGGAGGTGGGGGCGAGGATCTCGAACCTCTGGAAGGCGGCGGTGAAGGGAACATCGTCCCCGTTGCCAAAGAAGAAGTAAGTACCGATCTGCTATCAGTGGGAGCGGACGCGAAATCTCCAAATTCATCATCCCCTTCTTCCTCTTGCTGTTGAACAAGGGTAGTCCCAATCCCACCCCCATTCCCTTGAGACGTTGGCACCGTAGCAAAGAGGTCGTCGAACGTAGCTATGCTCGCCGGTCTCGCTAACGGCGTTACCGACCATTTTGTAATATTCCCAAGAGCTGCAAATGGGTCCGGCCGATTCGCCGCATCATTCCCATGAAAGCTAACCGGCCGTCCGGGATGAGCCAACCTTAAGACCTGAGTCGGCTTCGGTTTCTGTGCAGCAACGGCCTGACTGTCGAACAATCCCAATAGGTCATCAAAGGTAGTGGTATTGGTGCTAGAGCGGTGATTCCGCTGGCCGAGTTCACTCACCGCCGTTGGTGGCGGTGCCCCAAACTGTGCAGAACCATGGCTCGGCCTAGCGGGCGTGCAGAAGAAATCGTCGAGTAGATCCTGCGACATAACTTTCGCTCTCCCCCCCCCCTGCGCTGCAAGTGTTGCGGTAAGCTGTAAACTGTAGAGCGAGTCAAGCCTTGACCTTAGCTTTGCAAAGTGACATGTGGAGCCGGGGTTGAGCTCATGGCAAGCATGGAGCAAGATGATTTCGAATAAACAAAGGAATCAAGGTCAAGCTTAGACCACCATATGGCAAATTCTTCGGGATCGTTTTCCTGGGCAGTCACTCTCCCGTAAGGGGCCAGGTTAGGACAGGGGAGGCTTAAAATTACCGCTAAGAGAATTACTCAGCCCAGATTGGCCCTGGGGGTACAACCGTAAATTTAGCTGAGAGAGAAAGTCCGGCGGTTCCTGAAAGACACGGTGGTTTCTTCGGCGGTGGTGATAGTATTTCCGAAAGGGTACGGCTCCTCCTATGATACCTTTCTACTTTTACCTTGTTTCCCATATTTTCACTTCTACCTGCTAACGCAGGCCATAGCTTTGATATCGGAGGTGTCTAAACCTTGACTTTCATTCATATTATTTTTGTCCTTCTACTTTCCTTCACTCTTTCATTTTTTCATTTTTTCATTTCAAAAAAGCTCCTTTTTCTGTCATTTCTACTAGACGCGATAGTTTTAGCTATGGCGCGCCGAAAAAACTCCCCAAAGGACGCGAAAGATCCAATTGTGGCCATCGCGGAATCTGTCGCCCATAAAGCTGAGGACTCCAAGGATCATGGAAGTTCTATTTTCCAACTAATTATCTGCGTTGGCGGCATTTACGCTTCATTGTGCGAACCCCCTCCCCCACCTTGAACTCAGGCTCACCGCATACTCTTACAGCTTAACATGGGCCCTACTTCAGGAACGCATAACTACAACCCCCTACGGCGCCGACAAGAAGATCTTCCGTTCCCCGCTTGTCTTGAACACTGTGCAATCCCTCTTCGCATCTCTGACTGGCTACGCCTACTTCTCCTACTCCTCCTCCCCCGGCCAGCCCTCCCGCATCTTCCCCAACGTTTCAATCTCCCTCCGTCTCTTGTTCGTGGCGCTCACCCAGTCCCTTGCTTCCCCGTTTGGATACGCCTCTCTTCAACACATCGATTATATAACCTACATCTTAGCAAAGTCATGCAAACTCCTCCCGGTAATGTTCCTGCACATAACCGTCTTCAGGCGCCGATACCCACTGTATAAATATGCCGTGGTCTTCCTTGTCACGGCGGGCGTTGCGATTTTCACATTGTACCCGGCGCACCCGAAGAAGATTAAGAAGGGCGCTTCTCCGAGCGGGGAGAAGAACGTGATTTATGGGATGTTGTTGCTGGGTGTGAATCTTTTGTTCGACGGCTTGACGAACACCATCCAGGATGACATCTTTTCCAGGACGCCAAGGGGGATTGTCTCGGGGCCGCAGATGATGACGGCTTTGAATACGATTTCGTCGGTGTTGACGATTGGTTACTTGTTGCTTAATCCTTGGAGTACCGAGTTGAATGATGCGCTGGCGTTCGTGAAGGAGCATCCAAAGGTTGGAATGGATATCGTGGGTTTTGCGGTCTGTGGTGGGCTGGGGCAGGTTTTTATCTGTAAATTTCCCAAACTATCCACACTGCTCAGTCGGTCAGTACGCTAATTGTGAAACAGTCCACACTCTCTCCAAGTTCGGCTCACTGGTCCTTGTCACTGTGACCGTGACTAGAAAGATGCTTTCCATGATTTTTTCGGTTGTTGCTTTCGGTCATAGTCTCTCTAGCATGCAATGGTTGGGAGTTGGGCTCGTGTTTGGTGGAATTGGTGCGGAGGCGGAGATGAAGAGGCAGGGTGAGGCAGCTAAGAAACTGACTAAGTTGAACGGTCAAACCAAAAAGGAATGAAAGGGATCTCACGTACCGGTACCCATGGCAACCAGTCCATCACAATGTTAAGATCAACCCCTCTACGAGTACCCCCCCCCCCCCCCAGTGAACTCCGGCTCAATATTGTTGCGAAAACATCAATTTCAGTTACGGTTGTATTTAGATATTGTGTTTTTCTGTATTTTCTAGATGAATGTGGATAGAGGCTTTTTCACGGGCACGTTGCGAATCTGGTCCAAACATTTTATTTGATCACTTGAGAAAAGCAACTTTCCAGACAACCGATATAAGCAAGGAGAATGTAGCCATTATGCCTAGTACCTTCAAAAATCCCACCCAATGTCGGGATCCTCTCTACAGGAAAACCTCAAGATTTAGCTCCAAGGTGGATACTGGGTAGGGTATTTCAAACTTTTCCAGGACGGAGGGGTGCAAGCTAGAAGGGTTAGTGTGATTAACTACCAAGCTACCCATCATGTGTTATCACTCACATTCCAAAGGTCCCAATAGATTGCTTTTTGCCGTGCTTATGCCTAGCCCAGATAGATGCAGCTCTACCGGGAAAATATGTTGGCTCTATTGTAGCATTAGTCCTTGCACTATCTTTCGTAGAAAACCATTCCTGGGGATATCAATTTACCGTCGGTCTCTTCAATCCAATAACCCTCTTGCTCCATCGCGCCAGCCTCTGACACCTTGGTGCTGAGCATAGCCATAATCCTATCAAGCAACCCATGAACAGCCTCAAAGCCACTAGTTTTCCCACAAATAGCAGCGCAAAAGTGCCTCTCGTTGCGACTCTTACGCTCGAGTTTCTCGTCTTTGAACGCCACGTCGCTCACTTCAAAGACTTTGATGGGCAAACTGTGTTTCCTGTTTTCGCGAATCGTCTTCAAAACACCGGGTAACAAACTGGTGCGCACAATCTGGTACTCTGCGGTCTTGGGATTGGCGAGTCTAACCGCAGTATGGCCATCATCTCTCCTGTTCAACCAGGCAAAGTTCTCGTCATGCGAGCACAGGATGAGAGGCAAGACCTCCGACCATCCGCACATGGCTGCCTCCAGACGGGCAATGTCGCTGAGCTTATTTATAGGCAGAGGGGCGGCGATTGTTCCGCTCTTTCCCGGAAAGGTCCTCGGCAAGTTATTGAACCCATAGCCAATGGCCGCGTCCTCCATGATATCACATTGGTGCAAGACGTCAGCCCGGGTAACCGGGACATCAATATCTAGAAGATTGGGATCTGAGCTCGAGGGCTTGGCGGTGTAAGCCATCTTGTCGAGCATTGTGCAAATCTCGGGGGCCGAAAGTTGAAGGCCGCAGCATGAGTTGATGTAGGATACCTCTGCTGTGGTGGAGCGGGGAGTCATGTTTGGAACCTGGCGTGATTCATTGTTGTGAGGAGAAATTATCTTCACAGGCTCAACTCTAGAATTTTATATTAGCTTTAGATCAATTGATGCATCAGAAGAGTGGGAGAAGTACGTGAAAGGGTCATCACAATATTGCGAGAACATAGCCACAAGAATATTGGTGACAATCTCAACCTTGGTCCGGTCTGTAGCAGTGACTTCAATGAAAACATTTCTTGTGTCCAATGTAATCTTAGAGAGATTGCTGTTGATGATTGGAGGCAACGAGCACACGTTTCTGCTGGCATCAAGGATTACCGGGTACACAGAGGAATCTCTGATAATGTGGAGGTACCTCCCGAGGTGTTTATCGTTCTGAGGCCGTCAGACATGATTCACGCATTATGGGAGCCGTCTGTGGCTGAATACCTCGTAGAATTCCATCAACTCTTTGCCGTTCATCACCTTCTCCTGGTTCAGAGGAGCAAACACGATTTCTTCTGGAGGAAGAGCCTCGTATGTGAATGGGCCCTTGACAGCATCTAGGTCGTGAGTTCCCATAGAGACCAAAGTACGCTGCCGGCACAGGTTTTGGTGGAGCTTGTCTTGAAGGGCAATGAAGGAATCGTAACGGTCCCGAGTAAACTTGATGCCTCGCAAGACAGCAGCAGATACATAAGGACGAATTTTGGTGGTCCGATGGAGAAGTCAGCCAGGGAGAAGACGGGCATAGCGATTGTATCATATAGACGATACCTCTTTGTGAATAGTAATCTGGTGAACTTCACTATTGGCGGGAGCAACAACACGATAGTTCGGAATAGATGCTCTCCCGCGAAAGATGTTGAGCATCAAGGAAATCCCCTCATGACAGAGCATGTCATATCTACCATTAAGTCGCGTCGTCAGTATTCAGAAACAAACGACAAACAAAGGGACAATCTTACCTATTGGCGGGAATCTCGATCTTCAGCTGGGGGGGTTCATCCTTAGGTCTGTCGGGGTCGTCCTCTGTCTAAATCGCAATTAGCAGACTTCGAGGGTCGGCAGGTAGGATATAATAGGGAAGTGTGTAAGTTGTACATCCTCGTCTAGTTCGATTCCTATGGACGAATGGCTTTATTAGTTATCCGATATCAAGGCTAGCATAGAAGGATCGGATACCAAATTCAAAGCAAAGTTCGTCGAATTCCTCGGTTGTATACTGCTGGCCGAGAGCCTCGTAGAGATCATATTTGCTGACAGAAACTGTAGGCATTGTCGGTCTAGTAAGTCGCTGGGTCCAAGTGAGATCCTATTACTCGTAGGACTTTTTTTCTCTGGAGCGTTACAATTAGAATTGGAATGAGTCGAAGGCGGGGTGGAGGGGTAGCAACCGAAGGGGGGAGTCAACAGCCACACTTGGGGGCAGGCTGTGGCTTTGCTAGGGATTTGAGCATGCTACGGTACTCCAGTCTCGTCTATCACGGTCTATGGGAGAGCGGGCCCATGCAATAGCATAGCCACACAACGCCGAGAATTATTTTTCCCATGCAGCGTGGTCTACCGGCGCCTGTATGATGATAAAGCTTTATTCTGGTCAGGTTGTACCGTAGGCGGCGAGTTCGAGCAAGAGAGAAGCCTGAGTGAGGACCGCTAAACCCCTCCTCCGCCAGAACAACACATCCTAAAATCCCCGCCGATCTCTTCGCCTCGTCACATCCATACTCGGAATAGAGCAACTGTCGCACATACCAACCTCCGAGTGCGTAGCCTATGTACGAGTATGATACTGTCCTAACGTCCGTCCCTTCAACCCTTCCCCTACATAATACGGTACCTACGCACCTTAACTCAAGCCCCTCATCTCTTCCCCCCCCACTAACACTGCAACAACGACCACATTCCATCCACCCAGCCTCATTTTCTCCTTTCACCTTTCCTGCTCAACCGCGGCCCCTCACAACTTCAATTCATCGATCAGTTGGCCCTACCAACCCCCCGATTCTGCCCCTCTTCTGCTAACTCTCAATCACCCGTTGGTTGTCGATCGCATAAAACCGTCTCAACCATCCCCCCACTACACTCCTCCATTCCTAGTTTGCTCGTTCCCATCTCGAAACCTACGTTTGTCCTCCCCTTTTCGAACCTGCTTTCACTGCTACCCCTTCGCTCTATCCTCAAACATCTCCGCTCCACTTTTTGTCCGCGGCAGCCTTCGTTTGATGTTCCACAACTAAATATCTGAGCGCTTGGATATAGGCTCTGAACGACCCCGACCGGATCAACAGTAATCCCGAGCTATACCCCTTGCCCCGGTTTATCCACAGAACCTTAGGCTTGATAAACGCACAGCTGTCACGCCTCTACCGAGATCGTAATTAACTATCCCCGGATTACAAATTTCCCGTTCATCTTCTCAGAATGGATATCCAACCTTCGAATAATGAACTTTACCCAATAGCCGTCTTGATTGATGAGCTCAAGGTCAGCCCTACATCCTACCATGTGGAATTGTTGAAAGGGACCTGTGTAGCTGATGTGAAGCACAGCATGACGACGTCCTTCTTCGACTAAATGCAATTAAGCGCCTATCAACTATTGCACTTGCTCTAGGACCTGAGAGGACTCGTGATGAGCTCATACCATTTCTAGACGGTACGTATTTTATGATAAACATTGATACAAGCTTTTCAAAAAATTTAGGGGCCAACTGCATTTGAAGGGTGAGGAGCACCGCTGACCTATTTGCTCCGGATTGATATAGAATCCGTGGAGGATGAGGATGAGGTCCTGACCGCTCTGAGCGAAGTGCTCGGTAGTTTTGTTGAATACGTCGGTGGTCCAGAACACGGTCACGTGCTCCTTTCTCCTCTAGAGAATCTTGCTGCAATCGAGGAACCCCTTGTTCGTGAAAAGGTTGGTCTAGTAATCTTTGTTTGAGCCTCGATTGGCTTCTTGGCAAGAGTGCATGCACGGGGATTTTGATTCTAACAGCGGCATAGGCAGTCGAGTCCCTTAACAAAATTTGCCAGGAACTGTCCCAAAATCAGGTTGAGGATTACTTTATCCCCCTTGTTATCCGCCTATCCAAAGCGGATTGGTTCACCTCCAAAATTTCCGCGACAGGCCTGTATACTGTCCCATACTCCAAAGCAACACCCCGTTCTCAGGATGTTTTGAGGCAGCATTTTGCGCAACTTGTCCATGACGATACGCCGATGGTGCGGAGACAGGCTGCGACAAACCTAGCAAAGTTTGTCAAAACAATGCCTGCTAATTTGGTTGTCTCTGAAATGATCCCCCTGTTCCAACATCTAGCACAGGATGATCAGGACAGCGTTAGGTTATTAACCGTAGAGGTCCTGATCAGCATTGCCGAAGTTGTCCCAAAAGACCAACAGCCTAGTCATGTTGTCATTTTGACAATACTGAGAAGCTTGTTTGGGGATAAAAGCTGGAGGGTCAGATACATGGTTGCGGACAAATTCGAGAAGGTGAGCAAAATATGATGACCTTGGATGCGAAGTAATAGGATGGAAGGTTGCTGAGCGGCATGCGTTGTGGGTAGATTGCAAAAGCTGTTGAGGGTGATGTTGTTCGACGGGATCTAGTCCCTGCTTTCGTGAAGCTTTTGAAGGATAGTGAGGCAGAAGTACGAACAGCGATCGCTGGCCAGATTCCTGGTAGGTTTTACATTTTCGAATAACCTTCTTCCAACTAGTGGCTAACAACCTCGAAAGGTTTCTGCGGACTTCTCGACCGCCAAATCCTTCTTGATGAAATTATGAGCCCAGTTGAAGATTTGGTCACCGATACATCTCAGCATGTGAGGGCCGCCCTTGCCACCCAAATCAGCGGATTAGCGCCAATACTTGGAAAGGATGAGTGAGTTTAGAAATCTCGAGTTTGATTGCTGGCTAACGTTTCTATCAGAACTATCTCGCATCTTCTACCCATGTTCTTACAAATGCTTAAAGACGAGTTTCCAGATGTCCGTCTACACATCATTTCAAAACTCGAGCAGGTCAATGATGGTAAAGCCATGCCGGCCGGTAACGGGGCTTTCGCTAACTCCTTTTAGTTATCGGAATCGAGCTACTGTCTCAGTCTCTCCTCCCAGCGATTGTCCAATTGGCAGAGGATAAGCAGTGGCGTGTTCGACTCGCAATTATCGAGTACATTCCCCTTCTGGCTAAGCAACTTGGCGTTGAGTTTTTCGACGAGAAACTTGGAAATCTGTGCATGAGCTGGCTGGGAGATACAGTCTTCTCGATCCGCCAAGCTGCAACTCTAAATCTCAAACAGTTGACAGACGTGTTTGGTGTTGAGTGGGCCCGACAGACCATTATTCCCAAGGTTATGGCAATGGGCAACCAGAGCAACTATCTGTATCGCATGACCACATGCGCAGCCATTACGGTATGTTCTCTTGTACCAATTAGCGTCTTGTGAAATCACTAACCATATATTCCCACAGACATTGGCTCCTGCAGTGAATGTTGCTGCCATTAAAGAATTCATTCTGCCAATGATCCACCAACTCATCCACGACCCTATCCCCAACATCCGCTTCAATGTCGCCAAATCCTACGGCGTTCTTATTGATGTCCTTCGAAAGCTTCCCGCTGAGGGAACTTTGGCTAATGTAAAGCCCGATAGCACAGCCGGCCCAAGCGATCTGGGGCTGGAATTGATCCAGAAGCAGATTGTGCCGAATCTGGAGAAGCTCCAGGCGGATAACGATGTTGATGTTAGATTCTTCGCCGCTCAAGCCTTGGCCAATATTGGCGACTTGATGCAGACGTCGTAGAAGAGGAGGGGCAGGGTCCGGATTTTTTTGAGCTTTTCTGGTTTGCTTTGTTTGATAGATTGCCAGGAAAGCGGTATTGACTTTAGGAGGATATGGCTAGGGTTGGGAAGGGGTACCGGTTGGCATTTGAGCAAAACGCCAGATAGTTGAGGGTTCGAAATAGGGGTTTTCCTTCTTGCTTTATGGATGGTGCATATGACTTCTCTTTTTTCTTCCACCCGTTACAGACCTGCGAGCACCTGATGGGTAGGCACTAATCATAGAGAGATGTAACCAAAGAAACTTTGAATTAGACAGTGTGACAGGCACGGTTCCCGTGATTTAAACCGGCTGTCGATTATTTCTGATGCTCCAAGAGCAGTTACTATGAATAAGATGCTATTACCATTTTAGACTGCGTGATTATATTTAGGGGTGGCTTCTATCTTGATATGGTACTAGAAGCCATGAAGGGAAAGTCTCTAGCCCTTCCTCCCCACTTCGGCCTTTCCTAATTAGCGGAGGGTGGTCAACTGGGTTATTTTGAAGTTTAGAACCACGATGGATTCAATACCGGTATTTGAACGTAAGCTACCCTGTGGCAAGGGGCAGGGGGTTACACACCTCTCCCCTACCGCTTTCAGCGCTATGGTAAACCTATTATGCCCTGTCATGGTCGTTCACTCCTTATGAATTCACCAAAATCACCCGTCGTTACCAATCAGGCTTTGCGCGGATCAACAGTGAAAAAGTAGTATCCGTTCGCTGCCTCGAGAACCTGAGCAACTGGGCGGTGTGCCAGGGAGCCAAAATAAGGCGTGAAACCGAGAGAAGCGGAAATCAGTGTCTGAGCAGTGTTCTCAGACTAAGACAATAGAAACCAGAAATACGAGTATTTAACCCGACTTGTACTCGAGTACAGTAGCATACCTGGATCACAACCCCAGGTAATCTTGTCGAAGGGTTCGGTGGGAACGTGAACGGCAAAAAAAAATCAAGGAAGGAACCAGCACCAAGAAGGAGCTCTTTCCAAAAATTAATGATAGATCAAAGACACAAAGTCAGCAGGAAAAGAAGAGAAAATTCCAAACCCGCAATGCGAGCTCAACCGTACGGCCCCCACATATCACTCTCGGATGGTACTGCACTGTAGACTAACTTAAACTCATAATACGGTACAAGGACACAGGGATATGGTACAAGTACAGTACTGCAACCTATTCCCGGCAGACCTGCCTCCACCATGGTACCGGTAATGTACGAGTAGAGCCCCACCTTAACCCAACAAACCAACCACCCCACCGCCGATTACTTCCCACTGTATGATATCAGACCAAGCGTGAGCAGAGATCTTCCCCAGCAAGAGATCCAACGCGAATACCGGTACTGTACTCTACCCCCCTCGATAACCACGAATATGCCGGAAGAGCACTTAAACCCCAATCAACTGGGTACAAAGCAATAGTAAGTCCCCCTGCCCCTTCCCCTTCCCCTCTCCTCTCCCCCCCACCTCCATTTTCCAGATTTGATGGACTGAAAAAGAAAAAAAAAAGTTGGGACGAAACCTACACCCTCGAAACTCAAAACTTCGGCGAGGACCCGACAAACGAAGGACAAGTCTGGTTCAGCGAATCCGACGCGGAATCCCGCATCTTATCTTTCTTACGACGGGTGGCCCCCGAGGCGCGCTCGTTCTTGGACATCGGTGCTGGCAATGGGCATTTACTCTTTGAGATTGTGGAGGAGGGGTCTTGGGAGGGGGGATGGTTCGTCGGTGTGGATTACTCCGATGGGGCTGTTGCCTTGGCGAAGAGTATTGCCAAGGGGCGGGGGCTGGCAGAGTGGGGGGAGGGGGAGGGGGAGAGGGAGGGGGAGGTTGGGTTTTGGGTTGCGGATGTTATGGCTTTAGGGGATGGGGAGGGGGAAATGGAATGGGTTCCTCGGGGTGGGTTCGATGTTTGTCTAGATAAAGGCACGTTTGATGCGATCTCACTTAGCAATGAGAGGCTACCGGATGGGAGGAGGGTGTATGAAGGGTACGCGGAGCGAGTGGTGCGGGTCATGAAGGCAGGGGGTGGCTTGTTAGTTGTTACCTCTTGCAACTGGACGGAGGAAGAATTGAAGGGGAAGATATTGGCTAGTGAAGGTACGTACTGGTTGCGCGCATGGGTTGGTATTGGGAGGGTGTTTGCTAATGAGGATGTAGAGCTGGAGTATCATGGGAGGATAGAGTACCCATCTTTCTCATTCGGTGGGCAGAAGGGGCAGACCATTTCTTCGATATGTTTTCGGAGGAAGTGAACTTTCCCCCCCTTATATGGAGTTTGAGAGTAATCTGCGCGCTGCATGGGAATAGAGAGTGAAATTAAAATGTGAAAAGGCTATACGATGCTATAAAGCAACTTTCGCTCATGAATCCCTATGCTTGAAAACACCAATAGCCAACCACCTCTTCCTCTCCACGGGGTCTTCCTGTCCGCGGTCTCTCACCCACTCCCTCCCTACCCCCTCAACATCCTTCTCGGTGATTTTGACGCTCACCAACCCCGCCCTCTCCGCAGCATCAAAGAATCCCGCGACTTTGTCCCGCCCAGTATGGAAACCAGCAATGGCGAGAAACTCCCCATCTCTAGCCAAAAGCGCCTTCACGGACTTTGCCAGGTTTTCGTGCTGTGATTCCATCCAGAAGCAATCCGCCGCAACGATCCTGTCGAATGCCCCAGCGCGACCAGTGCATAGTTCGTCATCAGTCTGGCCCCATTTATGCCCAGCGACCGAGGCCCTCGCCAGTTGAGACCTGGAAAGGTTGATCTCGAGGTTAGTCTGGATATTGGAGAGGAATTCTGGGGCCGGATAGTCCGATATCACAGTCTATCACCGCCTCTCTCATTAGATATGCTCCCATCTCAGTAATAAAGAATTCGGACAACACAAATACCTCCTCCGCATCACAATAAACCGCGATAATCCCCGGCAAGCCCGCGCCCGCACCAACCTCCAGGACCTTCTTCCCTGCAACGTTAAACTCGGTGGTGGTAATCAACTCAGATGCTTGCAAGGCTGCCTATCGTGCTCCACAATTTCCCAATCAGCTCTCTCATCCCAACTGGCTTGGAAGGGGGGGGGGGAGTGGGATAAAAAGCACATTCCAAACAAAGTGCGAAAATAAATTTTGAAGAGACGGATCTGGGTCCGCAAGGCGCAGTTTGAAGTCGCCGAGTTCCTCGCTCTTGTAGAGTACATACCTACCCGGCTCGCCGTGCTGGACGCGGGGGTCGGAGAATATCGTGGCGAGGGAGTCCCCAAAGACAGTGGTGGGGTCTGGACCTGGCCCTGGGTCTGGCCCTGCTGGAATCGGGTCGATTTCTTCGATGGTTTCCGTTAGCATCATGAGTTGGCTGTTGATTTGTTGATGGTAGTCGTAGTTGAAATGGTAGTAGTAGGTGATGGTGGGGGTGTTGGTGTTGGTGGGGATTGGAACAGCTTCTGGTGAGGGGGTTATGTGGCGAGAGGGAGTTTCTGTATGACTGGGTGGATTGTTTGGCGGGGTTTGGTGGGGTGTGCCGCCGACGTTGCTGGTTGGCGCGTGGCACAGTACCTTACTAAGTTACACGACTAACTTACATCAGGCTACAGCACCAGTAGTCTCGCAGACTCAAGGCACCCGTGCTAACTTATCCTCGTCAGCCAGGGTGAGTGGTTGCCTAACTCTTCAGATAGCTTGGCAGAATGGTAACTGATAAGCTCCAGCCACAAGGAGTTAATAAAGTCAACTATGATACCCCAGTATCATATAATAGAACCACTAGGGGGCCGGTATCAGAAACAGCACTTTCGCAAGCGGGACTACTCGCAGGCCTAAAGTTGCTTTCTCGAACGAGAAAAAAAACATCGAATAGATACACCCCGTACCCGTATGCAATGCTAGCTCAAAGAAGCCTACAAGAGGCTGGACAAACGATCTCCCTAAAGCCACCATGAAGTAGATAAGTCAATAGACAAGGAAGACTAAACGAAGTGAAATGTAGGAGAGGATATAGGCATTCAGTAACGTGACCTCCCCTCCCCCACAAGCTACCCCAACCCTGAACCCAAATGAACCTCTTATACCAGTGATTCCAATTGAGAACAAGTATGGTATTTTATGCAAGTGGACCGCTGGCAACTGGGGGTGCCTGTTAAGACATTGAACTAACACAAAGTCAGCTCTCCCTTTCTCCATCTTCCCATGAAGTGACTTGCCAAATCCATTGGACTTCCAAAGTCCCAGGCCGCCCAGCGACAACAGCTTTCCCCGCACCACCAATGATCACCTTTACGCATGGCAGCTTCCGCGGTACTTCTGGTTCTGCTATCACCGTTGATGACGGGCCCGATATTCCGGGTGGCTATTCCATGCACCAGCACAAGTATCGGCGGAAGTCGGAGAACAGGAGGAGGCAGTCCGCCACCTTGCTGCCTGGCCCCGCAGGAGGATCGCGGAAGCGGTCGATCTTCTCCTAGAAACCATATACTATACCAGGCCACACCGCAATCTCCCCCCAAACAATATCCAAAGGTCTGCCCCCGCGGGCTGGTATTTGCTCCCCTCTCCAGCTCGGGAAGAATCCCATTGGTGTTGTAAACCAACTTGTGGAAACTGCGTATCCCGCTGGGGTTTAAGTGGGTGAGAATATTCACTCCGAGGGAAGGAACTCGCCTTGGAGATTTTCCGCTGATATATCTCGAGGAGAAAACCGTGTGCTTGTGTGTGGGGGTCACATTACTGAGTGCCTATATCCTCTACTACATTTCACTTCATCTAAAGTCTTCTTTGTCTATCAACTCACCTACTTCATGGTAATGTTGCCAGAAGGCACGACCGAGCAAAGCAGGCCAGGAGGCATACCTGCAGTGTCTTTCTATTGCCGTAGGGGTTCCCCTGGGTGTCGTGCAGCCCCGTACATCTCCTTCGTTTATCTATATTCCTCCTATCCCCTCTTCCAACTAACCTCCCCCTTTGATAGCTAATGCTATCTTCTTTTGGATTGTCTCCCCCTTTCAGCTCTACCTTTATCACCTCCTGTATATCCATTACCCTATAAGCATCTTTAACGTTGTTTTTGAAGTCACATCCACCTATTTCCTTTCTCAAACCTAGTTGCAATGGTTTGGTGGCCGCCCGTTATTTCACTACCCTCTACTTGGTAAGGGTGTTCCAGATTACCCACCATCACAGCTCTTCTACTAGAGTACCGCACCTCCTGCGGGTGCCACACTCTCATCCCTGCACCATGTAGCTTATAGATTCAAAATAAAATAAAAGAAACTAGGCTATCGGGTGTTTCAGGCATTTTGCAAGCCGAGTGAGAGTTTGAGATGCAACATGCAAGGTATTTTAATCTCTAAAAACAGCCTTTGGTATAATACTCGCGGGTTGACCCATATATATGGGCTCCCAAAGTAGCATAGCCAACTCGGCCTTCACCGGCTGGCTAGATTTCACTACGGCCCGACAGTCCAAACTCAACTGATATCTGTACACCACTTGTGATGCTAGGGACAGGGCCGAGATTGATTATCGCATAATACCTATGGAGGCGGTGAACTCAAGGATTTCCCAATCCGGCGAGAAAGTCTACAGCAAGTACAGTACAGAATCATAGGGTTGGTTTCTGAAACTCACTTTCGCCAGCGCAGCACACGCCGAAAATGCTGCAGGGCTTGTGACAAAGTAGTGTACTACACCGTACACAGATATGCACTATCGAGTGAGATTTTGCGATCGCGAAGACTTGGTTGTGCCTACACTCTACCGTTTAGAACGATAAGGCGGAGGGGGGAGGGGCACGGGAAGTAGAGGATGAATAAACTGACAAAGGAAAAATACGAGATAAATCTCTTGCACACCTGTAAGCAACTCTTAACTGCCGGTATCCGTTCCCCCGATGCTCAAGTAATTGGCGTGATTCCTCCGGTGTGCTAATTAGCTGTACCACCAAACCGTTCCTGTTTAGCATTTACCGGACAGGTATTCGGTTCCTCCAGTCGTCCAATCATTAGAACAGTGTATCCAATGGCCCCTGACCAATATCATCCAGTTGCCGGATCTCCAGTCATTTCGGCCCCAACACAATGGTTTTGTAAACCCGGCCCTTGGGTGTCTTCCATGAACTAATCGGCAGCCGATTTTCCAGGGTCCCTTTACGTGTAGGTTATCTCCTGATAGGGTGGGAGTCAGTCTACCACCACTTTGAGTTGACCCCATTCCCGACGTTCGGCACAAGCCAAATCAGCTAGCGGGCTCGAAACACACAATCTCCATCGGCACGGCCCCGGGACGAGCCTCCCGAGCTCTAGCAGAGATCCCTCACAAACGAAGGTGCTAACCACGCCGAGAAAATGGGTGCCATAGCAAATACCGTCCCAGGTCACAAAAACCGCCTTTCCATGATCAGTCGATAACATTATGTCCAGAGTACAGGAGGGGTCCCAGGACGGTAATCCTTCTTTTCTAAATTTCCCTAGTGATAAAGGATGAGAAAGCGCCAAGAGCTAGAACAAGCATTAACAGTAGCAGGGCGTTGAAGAGGAGAGAGAGGAGGATACCGGCACAAGAAGTGACCGGAAAACTACTAACAAAACTGGGGAAAATCCCAAACCTTGTATCATAATAATATATTATCATAATTATTATCATACTCCATTAAACCGGATGAACATAAATCCGCACCTCGCTTAGACTAAACACTTACGACCGGCCAGGTACCAAACTCAGAAGAAAAGAGCAGCAATAACAAAAAAGGAATCCTACTCTCCCCAATTAGGAATGCAAGTCGCAAATTCCGAATACCATCCAGGCCCTCTATTATTGAAATAAGTGAACTCCTCCATAGGGACGGATAGAGATTGGACATCGCAGACCACCACCCCTTCCACCATTCCTTCCCCCCCCGTAAACTCAAGTTTCCTTTTCCTTCTTTTTATTTTATGATACCCTTCTTCAAAAAGGCGAAAGTCAGGAACTATACCAAAAGCAGTTAATAAAAGATAAAGGGTAATTCTAGCACTGCGATAATCACACAAAGTACCCAGCTTCCGCCCAAAATTCCAGCTCAGCTCAGCATCACTCGAGGCCGGGAGAAGGAGGAGGAGGAGGAGGAGGAGGAGGGAAAAGTATGATATCCCAGAGTATGATAGTTTCCCTCCAAATTACATCATAGCCCCCCCAGGCTCTTCTCATAGAATATCCATCAATCCGCCTAAGGAGATATGTATCATACATGAAATTAGCAAGCACTAGGCAGAGCAGAAACCCCCCTCCCCCAAGACACTCTCACGACTCGTGATTATCATGAGAAATCACTCGTATCTTTCCCCTACCCCCTCGTTTCGTCAGGCCAGGTAAACATCCTACACTCGCCGCTATACTAATTATTCCCCCGGCGCCCCGCGCACAGTTATGATGCCATTGGGTGTAGAGGTCAATAGTTCGTATGATGTCCCTTACCATTGAAACTTGACCATCAATGGTTTGGCAATATTGTTATGGGGGGTAGATGAAAAGTCCCGACAGCTCCTTACAAGGAGGTTCCGGGACTAATCGAGCTCCGGTTGTGGGGGAGGGGACATTCTAAGTGCCTAACTTATCACATGATACTGAAAAAATTAAAAAAATCGCCTTCCTCCTTTTTGTGCCTCGGTGTTTTTTTTTGCTTTGTTTTTGTCTTAATTTTAGCAAGGCTTAGGGCATAGGCGGTGGATGGCCTCATTCCCGTTCGTGCAATACGATATGCCGCCCTCAATGGCGAAGTCTATGGGCTCAAGTTCAATCGCAAGTCCAATTGGGAGATATCTCGAACGAAGAACAATGGGAATATATATTCCCCACGTGGTCAAGATTCCCACGGCAATAGCTGAATACAACCTTCAAGCACAAGCTCTATTCACCATTCACGATCCCAACATTCCTGGACTCCTATTGTGTTCGCCCTCCCCACGAAGTTCCCTGTAGTATAAAAGACCTGTCTTCCTTCGCCTCTTCCTCCCCTGCAATCCCCACAGACATACACGACTCTCCCCAAGCATCTACCTTCTCCACTAGAGAAATCAATATCTTCAATCCTTCAACTTTCACCACTCACTCACCCACCCACCATGAACGCCCTTTTCCCAGACTTGACGATTGCCAAGGAAAACGACTTAACCTATACCGACCACCTGCAGGTAATAACGACCTGCCTAGACCAAGCAATCAAGGACAACACCAAAACTACTGATAACCTCCAAACCCGCTTGGAAAGGGTACGCAGCCACTTCGAAGCCTCCCTCCCCCAAACGCGTCTACAAACCGACCGCCTGAGCGTGATAACACAGGACCTGAATGCCGTTTCTCAAGCCGTAGTCAGGCTGAGCAGGGAGGGCATTGAAGGGGAGGAGAAGGAGGAGGAGGTGAGGGGGATGGAGGTGAATAAGGTGAAGGAGAACATAATTACTACTGCAACGACCCCGACCCGAACCCAGCTTCCGGCTCCACCCTCAGTCAATCGCACATCCCCGGATCACCCAATCATTGCGACAAACCCCCCAATTAGCCTCCCCCCCTTTACGTTCCTAAAGCGGCCAAATCCGCAAGGTCCCAGCACTCCTGTTCTCAAGGAAACACAATCCTCCCCCTTTACCTTCAACCCCAGCCCCTCGCCCTTCGTTCCTAGGAACACCCCCACCATCATCGATAAGGCCAGAAAAGCCGATTGTACAAAGACCCTTCGGGAGGAACTGCAACTCCACCGGAGCCAGAGCATACTAATTACCGAGTCGGCGCAGGACAAGTCCGCTCCTGCTGTTATCACGCAGGAGGATACGCCCACCGCCGTACAGAACGGAAGCCAGCTTCCACCCCTACTCACACCCAATCGCAAATCTCAAGGAAACCCAACCACCAGGACAGACTCCACACCCCCGCGAGCAACACTCGACAGGTCCACCAAAGTCGATCAAGTCAAGAAACCCCAAAGGGCAAGAACTCCCAACAAGGCACCTCAAGGCCCCCGCCGCCGAAGCATGCGCATTAGCGGGTCGGTGCAGAAGGGCGGGCCGGCAGCGAAGCCCACCACCGAATCTAAATCCCCAATCCTAAAACCCAAAGCCGGCGCAGGAATTACAAAGAGGGCTGCCGAGAGTGTCTCGACCCCAATAGCTGACATGGTCAACCCAGACCCCCAAATCGAGGGGAATAAGGAGCTGGAGGGCCAAGATCAGGATGCCACCACGACCGCCGCCGGAAAACCCACCAAATCCCGACGCACGAAGACTCCCGGAAAATTGGCGCTAGTCCCCCAGCGCCGGAGCGTGCGCATCATGGAGTCGGCGCAGAAGACGCAGGATAAGCTCGCCACCATCAATCCCGAATCCCCGGTGCTAAAGCAGAGAGCTGGAGCGGGGGTTTCCAAGAGGGGGGGTAGGGGTGGCGCCCGTGGTGGCAGGGGTCGCGGTGGTACGGCGAGAGGGGGGTAAGATGAGAATTCCGGAGTAACAGTAAATAGACTTTTTATCTTTTCTTAAACAAAAAAATATTAGCTGGCGGCTCAGAGTGTTGTCTGCTATCAGTGCCGGGTATCATGGGGGTCGCTGTCAAATTGTAGCCGAGAAGTCGGACGGTATCCGCTAGAAAGTTAGATAATACCATGCAAACGTCAACAAGCTGGAAAGCATCCTGACACAAACTCTCCTGACATCTGATTAAGCACCCGGTCCCCTCCCTCTATACCCACCAGTGAGCTCTGCATCGTCCAAAACCCATTGGCACGGCTGCCAACAGCACCGAGTGAGAACCCATGACGGCACAGAAGTGAAGAACGCTTCAAAGCCCCACAACATTGATCCTCCGCATCAACTGCAATTTGAGCCCAATCAAGGATTAAGCACACCGTATATTTCAGCAGGTATCGCGTGGCTATTCTACGCAGAGTCAGAACCTTATACGGTATTCAACTCCCCCTAACCATCAAGTACTCGAGTACGCTATTGTATACCAACTAGCCCTAACTAGCGCAATCAATTCAACGGAAACCACTAACATATAGCACAACTTCAAGCACTACTAATAATAGCAACCAGCAACGCTATCAAGGAGGCTTAGGCTAACCACAACAGCACACAGCGCCCAGGGATAAACACCGCAGCCGCTTCCGCAAACAACGTGAGGTGACCACACCTGCAACACTTACAACTAGCTCAAATACTAAGCCGTCACAAACATTCACAGCTCTACTCGTAGACCCTCCACCATTGCCTCAGGCCTGGTGCGGGTACCATGAACAAGAAGAGATCAAATTTTTAAAATTTCCACATACGAACAGACAAGAAAAGGAGGAAAGAAAGAGAATGAGAACGAAAATGAAAATGATCATATAGAAAAATAAAAGGCTTGTCCTTCTTCTTTCCCGATCATATGGCCCCCCTTCCCCCCTTTTCACCTCAAACTAGCCGTGTCGTGAAATAAGTGGATTCTGTCCACTGGGTTTTCAATAGGATGCTGTTTAGAGATCTAAGATCCCAAGGCCGGGAATGCCGACTTGTCAGCAAGATCAACGTAGCCGTCGGGCTTCCGGCCTCCGCGGTGGTAATTATCGTTGCGGGGTGGCCTATCACCTCCGCGGCCACGTCCACGTTCACCACCACGCCCGCGTCCACCCCTCTCACCTCCACGCCTGTTTTCCCTAGGCTCGGTGTCGATGTCGAGGAGGTTCTTCTGCTTGCGCTCGCGAAATCTGGTCTTTTCCTTGGACTCGCCGGCAAAGAAGACACCCTCCTCCTGTTCCTTGCGGGATAGCTCCTTCCCAGCCCATTTCTTGTCGTTCTTGGTGCCTTCATTAGGGCGACGGACATCGGTCGGGGGTCCAAGGCCATCCCGGCGCTGCTCAAGCTCAGCACGGTACTCATCGAGAGTCTTGACCCTCTCTTCCTCCGGTTCAGGGGCCTCCTCTGCCTCTTCATCCCCGGCAGGAGCATCGACCGCAGCAACAGGGTTGGGATCCTCAACACCAGTAGCATCCTTTTGAGCGAGTTCCTCTCCAACAAGTTCGTCATTCCACTCACTACTGCCCCCCGTGCCACCCCATCCCTGGTTATATTTCTTTTCAGAATCACTACAACATATAACGAATCAGCTTTCACAATTCCACGTCGGCTAGCACAAGTAATTTTGCGACATACACTTTCCCGGTAGCACTATGACGATCATGCTCCCTGCGCGCACCACGCCCACCACCGCCACCACGAGAACTACCACGGGGAGCAGCATCCTCTGCGGTGTCCCTACTGAGGTTGTTTTGGCGGCCGGCATCACGATCACGGAATGCTACCCGGTTATTGTTAGCAAATTTTAAAATCGACCGGTATGGGAAAAGCCAAAATAGCAAAAGCAAATGAACCCTTTCAATGCTATCCGCACAAATATCAACAAGAAAACAAACCTTTCTCGTTGCCACTATAGGGGCGCGCACGGCCACTAGTAGCGGAAAAATCTCCAGCAGAAAGCTTCTCCTCCCTCTTCTTTGAGGTAGTGGAATTCTTGATCACCTCTCTCGGTGGGGGCGGAGGAGGGGCATCGGGATCCTCGATATCATTCCCTATAAAATACAGTAAAGCTGGTTAGGAAAAGGTGAAAAAACAAAAAGCGGGGTATATCCTCGAAAGCAGCCAAAGACAGTCCCGCCACTATTTGCCGGATGGGGAGGATGGGGCCAGAGAGGAGGAACTTTCAATCCAAAATATCGGGAAACATACCCAGAAGGTCGAACAAATTCTGCCAAAATCAAACCAGCACAAGGTCAGCGATGATAACGAAGAAATCAAGCCAGCAACAACGAACGGACCTTGGAGGCGACTGAGGCAGACATGATGCCTGCTCTCTCCTGTAATTTTCTTCAAAAGAAGCTCGAAGGGGATTATTCGATGGGGGGGTAAAAAACAATTCACACTCGGAGAGGAGTGAGAAAGGGGGGGGGGCGGAGGGGGTGGAGGGAGGGAGGTAGCGATGAAGTGCTGCTGCTCCTGGCTGTGTGCCCAATGCGTGGCGGGTGGTGGGTGAAGGGCTGGAAAAGGTTGGCGTCCCACACAAAAAATGTTTTTTCTTCCAGGGTAAGGAAACGCTAACGAGAAGGGCAAAGAGCAGGTATCATATCATAGTCTAGATGACAGAACGCTTTCGCATTCGTGCCCTTGTTTGCCATGATGGGGGATACAATACTCGATTACCATACCGTACTATCATATACCCGCATGATACAATGCCCATAGTGCTACCATAATTCTAACAACGATGTGAATAAATTTATACAAAACCCCTTCACTCCTCCAGCCCTCCTCTCCGCTATCCCCTAGCGATCACTCGATGCATTCGGCCAACGCTCCACTTCGACAATCGCCACGCGGCACTTTTGACATTTGCACTTTCTTCGCTATACCGGTACTGTGCTGTACGGTACTGTACTTTGTGTATCACCCCTCCCCCTAATTTCTCAATTGCAAATCAACCCCCTTTCCCCTCCCCGCATTTTCCACAAACACTTCACTCCACACCCGGATGGCCAAAATCGTAATATCCTACAAGTATGAAACGGGGAAGGAAAAGAAAAAAAGAAAAAAAAGGAGAGACTGCTGTTGATATCAGGTTGGGGTTAGCCCTATGCAATTTACCCCTCCACCCCACCACTCCCCGCTGCAAAAAGAAATTTTCAACCCTCAAATCATCTGATAGCGTCATAGTATTCAACCTGGGGTCTGCGGTGCTAGGTTCGAGCGTGCCAAGATGTGATGCAATGTGTCAACGTTGATCAGATAAAATCAGAGCTAACCCCTCCCGATACGGTCGTCCAAGGAGACTTGTGGGCGAGTGAGAATTTGTGTTATCCACGTTACACCCGAAAGCCTCTACCAACAAAAAAAAAAAAAAAAAAACCCCTTGACAATACCGAGATGATAACTATTTCGAGAAATTGAGGGTATTCAAATACTCTACATAACTACGATAGGATTGTAAAACTCATTTAATGCAAAGAGTCCTCCCTCTATTCAAGGAAACACGGCCGTGTTCAATCAACAATCGTGACCCAGTTAACGACAAAAAAACCAGCCTTTATCAAAGAGCAAATGCAATTTGGGCACAGTGAGAGTTGTCCATTTACTTCCACAATTTAGACAAACTCATTTCTTTGTCGTCATGCTTATTTAGAACCTTGGCTGTCGCTAGATCTACAGCCGGATACGAGTTAGCAACCAACTGATTCTGTGACAGATGTCCAGCGCGAAGAAATATTAAGCCAAGACTGCAAGGATGTTATATTTCTTACCAAAATCTTCCTGGGTTACGTGGATTCTTCGTTCCCGCAAAGCGTACATCCCTGCCTCTGTGCAAACACCTTTAAGCTCAGCACCAGAACATCCATTCATCTTCTCCGCAATTTTCTTGAGATCGATTCCTCTGGTAAGATTCATTGACCTAGAGTGAATTCGGAGAATGTCTGCGCGAGCCTCGACACTACGTCTGTAGTTAGCATCTCCGAATCGGAATCAAGACGAGTGAACTAACGTTGGAGGGGGAAATTCTATCTTTCGGTCAATTCGCCCAGGCCTTAGCAGAGCAGGGTCCAAAATGTCCAATCTGTTCGTTGCCATGATAACCTTAATGTTTTTTGTGGGCTCGAAACCATCCAGCTGGTTGAGTAATTCCAACATAGTCCTCTGGACTTCAGAATCGCCACCGGAGCTACCTTCAACACGGCTACTGCCAATGCTGTCAATCTCGTCCATGAAAATGATACTCGGAGCGTGTTCCCTAGCCATAACAAACAGCTCCCTAACCATACGAGATCCTTCGCCGATATATTTTTGTACCAGCTCAGAGCCCGATACACGAATAAAACGACAGTCAGTATGATGGGCCACCGCACGGGCAAGAAGTGTCTTTCCGGTTCCGGGAGGCCCATATAAGAGCACACCCTTTGGCTGAGCGATTCCAAGAGATTCAAACAGCTCTGGGTGCTTCAATCCGAGCTCAATGACCTCTTTTATTTCTTTAATTTGTTGATCAAGGCCGCCAATCATGTCATATGTGCTATCAGGGACTTTTTCGACCATCATTAGGGAGACGAGAGGATCAACCTAGCCGCACATTAGCCCCATCCTCGCCATAGAGGTAATGGGTCAACCTGCCGAGCTCGGTAGCATCTTCTCTAATCGGTAGGTATCCGAAAGCAGAGTCACACGTTTCCCCGGAGTTAGCTTTGATATATCGACGCTATCAGCCACATCGACAACTAAACCAATCAGCTTAAATCTCGCAGACATGGCCAGGCCCAGACGAACCATATTTCCCTTCTGGATGTACTTTCACCAAAACCCTCTTGCTTCCCATCACTTTCACTACCTCCCCAACATAAGACCCTGGCTGTTGAAGCAACCCAAGCTCCTCGCGGAGGAGGCGAACTATTCAGCAGTAGTATTAGTACCAAGACCCCGAGAGGTGATATAACATATTAAAACGGATAGAAGACGAAATAAACGATAGCTGATCCGGTGTCGGAATCCTAAAAGAGATCACATGTCGAAGCAATACCTATAGGCCCTCCAAGCAACCAACCTCCATCATCTATACTTGAGGGCGGTATATAACTATCCGGATAGGAAGAAAACAGCAACACTAACCTCTTGAATTGTAGTCATTTCGCTGGGCTTCCAATCTCCTTAGTTTTGAATTCCTCTCAATAATCTCAAGCTCGAGCGATTCAATCTTATTATGAAAGAAGCTATTAAGCGCCATGTTGCTCAAAAGGTAATTCGTGCAGGAGATCTGATGGATCTGTGGGTGTTGGTGATAACGAGACTCGGCCTCTAGGTTGATGAAAGGCGGATGACGAGGATGGTGGATGGATGAGGGACCAGGAGGGTTGGAGGTTTACTCTAAACCCGCGAAACCTTGGCACGTGATTTTCATCCCTTGGCGCATTTCTAATGACCAGTGCTACGCCGGAAAAGCAAACTCTTGATCACAAATGCTGTCAAAGAACACCTCGCCTTTCCCCTGAGCTGCCTGTCATTTTTAACGTTCACGCTCCCTCACTACATTTAGACCCTTCATCAACCGCCGTTCTCGAAAAGACAATTCCACCATCCTTTCTTTCGCCTACATTCACCATTTCCCTAACCAGCCTCCCACCGCCACATACGCGCTCTTCAAGATGTCCGACCAATTTGCTCAAATGGCTGACATTCCTCGCGAGTTCTTAAGGGATGGAACCCTTTTCATCAACCGATGCACCAAGCGTATGCCTCTCGCAATGACATATTGATCTTTGAGCTTGTGCGCTAATCATCCTACAACCCATAGCGGACAAGAGAGAGTTTATCAAGATCTCGCAAGCTGTTGGTATCGGTTTCGTCATTATGGGAGTTATCGGATTCATCGTAAAGCTCAGTAAGGCTATCAATCCTTCAACATGCAGCTCAATACACTTTTACTAACCGAATCGCCTCCCAGTCCATATCCCAGTCAACAATATTTTAGTGTACGCATCCCTCCCTCCCTACTCTCGACACACCTGCCACCAACAATGCTGTTTTGATCGCTATCGTTTATAACATTACTGACCGACCTATTTTTACAGCGGTGCTGCGTAAGTAATTGATGAGGTTTTGTGGGGTACCTAGAAGAGTCTCTGGTGCGTGCTTGAAGAGGCCGATTGTGTGATGAGGCAAAAATGTCTACTTTGTGGGATGGAGTCTGCGGTTTCGTTTCTGTTCCCTAGAACTACTTTATTGTACTGTACGATACTCGGGTTGGGGTCCATTATTCTCACGGTCTATATCATAGCTGAAAAAGAAAAAAAAACCGCTTCCAGTGTGTCCTCCATCACTTGTTGGTTTGGAACCAGGCTATGTTTCGCTACAAACACTACCGCACTGGTGCCTGCCCCCCAGGCCAAGCTAGTTACATCCCCGTCTGGAATGATGTTGATATCACAGTATTCCAGACCAAGAAACCACAAGAAATCAACAGGGACTCTGATAATCATGAGGAAAGCTTATAACAGCTAAAAGCCTGCCAGCACAAACAGCTTACTATCGCCTCCCAATACCGATGGCACACCAATCATAGTTTAGGCTTTGCCAGCCTACCCGGTTGGGGTACGGGGTACCGGTACTGTGTGCCTAAATGAAGTACTCGTCCTCGAGTACCCGTACAAGTAGATCCGGCCGGTAATTTCCGCAGGGGTTGAACAGGTCCAACAGGGTTCTTTGTACGAGTACTTGTACTCGAGTACGATACCCTGCGGCACCCATGATTGATAATGCCGATATGACAGCTTTTTTTTTTTTTCTCCCCAGAATCAAATAAGATTCGTTACCGGAGCCAGTACTAGTAGAGTACCGGCGTGGGCCCCAGTACAAGAAGACGGGCCCCAACAGATGCCGCACATAGCGGCATGGTAACCAAGGGCAAGCCTCCCATTCACGAAGGACCACCACATATTGAAGTAGGCTCCGGGTAAGCGTGAAAATTCTGCTGCAAAAGTTGCAAGAACACAGGGTGCTCAACTCGAGTGCCGGAGTCGACGGGTGCTGTACCGTAGATTGATGAGTACGGTAACGGAGTATCATACCGGTACCGGTAGTGTGCTACAGTCGGCACCGCGGTGTGGAATCCTACGGTAGGAAGGGAGTGTTGTAGCTGCAGAAGGAGACTTCTGCGGGGGAGACAACCCCGATCAGTTCAAACATTACCCGTCAAAGGAATAGGCTCACTCACAGAATGCTGGCCTAGCCAATCAACAAGCTTGACCCTCCCATAGGTGATGGATGATAAACCATTGTTCATGCCTTTTTGGAGTTATCATAGGAGGTGGACCAAAACCATTGCCTGAAAACAGATCAAGGCATGATACAATTGCAGTACCGGTACTTTGCCGTGCAACACCTATGATTTACATGTAGGTTTCCCCCGCTCCTCCGAACTGGCCCGAGTGCATTCTGTAACTCATTTACTATTCAGTTGCACGCATGTACCGGTATTCTGAGAAGGATTCCGGGACCTGCCGCCGAGGGTTGGCACTGTATCCATAACTCGAGGTTGTATCATACTGGCGGTATCCTCCAGAGGTCTGAGGCTGAATCACGGACGCGCTATTCGGCTACAGGGTAGCTAGCGGCACTCTGGTCGTATCCTGGGTCAGACCAGAATAACCGTCTGGTCTCACCAATTGGAACAGTACCGACACTCGAGTACTACAGTACACAGAGGCAGCCGCGGGGAAGGCATTAGACTGCTCCAGTGCTGTGGGTTGGAAAGTCAAGAAAGTGCATAATGGAGGTGAGCGAGTTTTTATGCCATCACGAGGGTGTGGGGAGGGAGTGCTGCAATGAAAAAAAGTGCCCGTCTACTGTACTGCAACTTGCACCCTTCCCAACCACCCCCCCCTGAAATGGTTCAGGGCCCTTTCTCGGAAGAATAAAAAAGAAATTCTAAATTTTAAAAAAGCAAAGGCCACTTCCTGGATGGGCATGATGCCTGAGGTGTGAACCCGCCAGTTAGTTACCTGCAGTATCTCCATCACCCGAATTTTGGACCCTTTTTCACCCATTCTCTCACTCACTTTCTATCTCCCATTCCTCCCCTCCTCTTCCCTCGCCTCCATTCCCTCCATTGCCCTCTCGTCCTCTTTCCTTATCCCGTGCCCCCCCCCCCCCCTTCCACCTACCAGAACCGGGGCATTACCATAAACCATCATAACAACTGCGCGCGGTTCGCCTCAAGAGCACGAGAATTGTGAAAGGCTGAATCAATCAATCGCCACCGCCATATTATTCTCCATCATCGCTTATTCATTTTGCAATCGAATCTCTACCAAATCTGCTACTGTACCCTCTTCCCAATTTCCTTCGTGGGCGGGGCCTTCCCGACTGGCCAACCGAAAAGATCGCCTCGAGTTGAGGCAGGAGCGGATCTTCCCTGGAAGCGGCGACCGGAGCTCTCATTTCGGCAGGGCCGCCTGGCATTTCTGAAACTCCCAAGCTTTCCTCTCCTGTCCCCCAATAACCTTTTCCTCCTTCCCGCTCCCTTTCCCTCCCTGCTGCTGCCTGCTTCCTGCTACACTTGCTGCGTCTCGTGGAATAATCTCTCTCGCCTGGATTAATTCCCGGGCAAGCGCTTCTCCATTTCTATTGTCGTGAAAGAGGGAAGGGCACGTGGAATAAAATAGTCTCGAAGGCAGGACAATTCCTAACGGATCCGGACTACGTACCGCACTTCTCGACCGCATACCGGTACACACACACCGTCGTTCTTTCTCTGCTTTCTCCGCTCTTTCCCGTCGTTTCGAAACGTACTTTGTCTTCCACTTATACGCTCTCTCCAAAGTTCACACCAATCCACTCAACCGCCCTCACTCCTCCCCCTCCTCTAGCACCCAGCAAATCGCCTACTCCTTCTCAGCCAGTCCGCGTCAGCAAGGGCCCACAATCCCGCAATGTCGCTCGTACAGCCCCCTGTTCCAAGTGCGTTATCTTCCCCCGAATCCCGCCTTTTTTGTGCTGCACCTATTATCCTTGATTTTTGTTTCTTGATCCTGGATATGCTAACTTATGCGTCCCTTTCCCCAATTTCAACATATCAGATCGACGGCTATCCCCTTCCATTGAGCTTGGGACAAATAATCCCTTCCGCCGCAGGCTCTCAAATACTCCCTCTTCTCCCGCTTCTGCCACCAACGAACGATTCTCCTTCGCATCTACTGGTGGCAGGCCACAATCCCGCAACCCTTTTCTTGACGTCTTCGAAGACGATTTCTACGCCATCGACCGCCCTTCCACTGCCCACAAGGCCAATTCCTTCGACTCCTCCTCCGTATTGCGGCCACAATTCTCGGGTGCTGCTGCAGAGCTCTTTGTACGTCGTCCTCCCTTGGCCTGTACCCCACAAAACGGACTCGATGCTAATAAATGTGCTCGCTTAGGAAAACCTGACCATTACCGACCATTCCGGAGATACCAACATGAACAATATGCGTGGTCGATCCAATGACAGGGATAATATGCCACCACCCCCCTATCGGCCACAACAGAGCCACGGGCAGTTGTCAAATGGACACCACCATTCGAGATCGTCGGATGAGAAAGGCGCTCAATTAATTCCCATCGAGTCGACGCCCAGGAACCCACCCCCGAGACAGCGGCCCCCTCCTAACAGTCGTCCTATTGCCGATAGGCCCCGAGATATGGATCGTGAACCCAGAAGACGGCCCAGAAGGAATTCAGACTCGTCAGTAATGGAGGTGCATGAGGCTGAGCAGAAAGATAGGGAAAGACGCGAACGTCGTCACCGCGAACAACGCTCTCGTGGCCATGGATCCGGGCACGGATCAGGCCGTAAAGACAGGGATGATCGTGTCCGGCGGGATAGGGACCGCAAGAAGAATGGGGCGCCTCTGGATGTCATTGATAAGCTAGATGTTACCGGCGTTTACGGCACTGGGCGTAAGTTCCTCACGATTCTAGCTCTACCTGCGACCACAATCTCACATCACATATTCTAGTATTCCATCATGACGGCCCGTACGATGCCTGCAATCCACATCGTAATGCGAAGAACTCTAGAAGGCTCGCACCTGTTCACGCATTCCCTGCCGATTCCGCCAACAATGCCCTTTCCGGGTTTGGCCCAGTAAATGCCAAGGCTGATCATTCCCACGTCTTTGGAAATAGAGATCCGGAGGCTTTTCATGATTTCACGGCTTCCGGAAGACGCCCTTCCGCTCCTGGTGAATTGGGATCCACCAAAGCTGTCGGCGCCTTTGATCCGAAGAAAAATGTAGATATTGTCCATGGAGATGAAACACCAGGCCTGGGCACATCTACTTTTCTGGACGGCACGCTGGCGTCGAGAGCAGCTGTACAGAAGTCGGAATCGGCAGATGACCGACCTAGGTCACCGAACGGGATGAGCAATGGTGGTGGCTTGCAACGGAAGAAATCGTTGGCTCAAAAGATTAGATCTATTCAAAACAGGACTACGGATGGACCCATTCAATCGCACCGCCGTCCTCCCCCTCCTCCTAATAGGTCTCCCACTGATGGGCCGTATTCTCCTTCAACTCCGGTAGGAAGTTCTTCTCATAACAACAACAATCCATTCTTTAGCGATTACGATGGAGCTTATGATAGAAAGGGTGAAACCATCTCCATGTCGGAGAGGAGGCCACCCGGGTCCCCAGGGAGGCCCTCCCTTGGGAGAAATCAGACCGGCGATGGAAAACCAGGCGAGAACGGCGGCCTCCTGAACCGTGTGAGAAGCTTGTCTAAGCCGAAGAGGCGTAATGAGTGATTCCGACATCGACTAGCTATACTAGGAAGCTGAAGTAGGTTTGGGATCAGGGCCAATGGAGTGTGATGGTTCATATGTGTGATGGTTCTCGGTGGCATTTCGAGCGGCGTAACATTGGCTGCCGAATTGTCCTTTCTTCTTCTTTTCATTGTTTTTAATGTCTACCATTGCATTCGTTCGTTTACCCTCCAAACTTACATCATTGTTCTCTTTTACTCCCTCCAGCGCAATTTTTTTCTCCTTTTCTCCTTTTTCTTTCGTAACACATCCGTATTTGCATCCTAAAATACCATTGTTTGTGTTCATTCTGTAAGGGTCGGTATAAAATCCCCGTGGAGAGCAAAGGCTGAGAAATTCTTTAAATTATGGAGTTATAATTGCCCCATTGTTTCTTCTACTTTAAATCCCGCTGAACCCATCATATCATCCGTGGGGTTATGCTTTTTCTTTTCTTATAGTTATCGGGCGCGGGCGGCTGGAGTGGGTCGAAATCATATGAAGATCTGGAGATATTTTCGATAGGCAAGGAGGGTGTTTCCAATTTACTATTGATATCATATATCAACCCGTATTGTCCTGATGCTTGTGGATCCTGGCGGAACGTTTGACTTGCACCAGGGACTGTTAAGAGTGAACCTGGTTTGTGTAACTCGTGATGTTTCGAGGCCCACCAATTGAGGAAGGTATATATACTCATGGTACTTGTAGGGACGAGGGAACGTTGATGAGACGAAGCACTGATAGCAATCTACTCGAGCCAGTTCAGTGATGAGCACGTGAGATGACTTCCATCCAAGTTGCCCACATATGGGATTTAGCCGTCAGGCCTTGAAAACATCCGCACGCAATCACCGGTACGCTTATTCTTCGGCTCCTTATGGCGTATTGTTTTTGCACTTGAAACGCGCAGTCGACAATAGGTTCCGAAGGGGGGGGGGTGAAATCCAGTCAAAAGCCGATGGAAGTCGCCATCATCGCTAATTCACCCACTACTCAGCGCCCAAACCTAGGATTCTTCTCGCCAGAGTTCTCCAACTGGTCGGCGCGATTCCAAAGGAAAGCTGCAGTATCATGGTCGACTTGTGATCCAATATGGCAATCCCAGAGTGATAATCCATGATGATCCCAGCCTCGCCTGGGGGTTGGCAACCAAGTGCCCTTCCGGCAGTTCCAGGGGGAGTGGACGACCGAGAAAAGCACACCCTCTTTTTCCTCCAAACCCCGAGGTTTGCTCAACCATCATAATACACCGGTATATAATACCGGTACTGGTGATAAACCTTCCTATCGCTAGGGGTTGAAGCCTTTCGGTCAGTCGACGCCCCCCCTTTTGGGTATCTGTAGACAGGCGAATCCAGACGATTATTATTATTACTGGGCCGGATTGGGTCAGCCACAAGTCTTGGCTCGACTGGGTTTATCGAACGAGCAAGGTTTCTTTTCCTCTTTTTTTTTTTTCCTTTTGGGAAGAAATCCTACAGCGAGGAAGTCTCTTACTTGGGGAAGAGAGAGAAAGAGAGAGGGAGGGATAGCGGAATTTACGGATTGTTCTACGACAGTTACTTTTTCACTTCCTGAACAGCCCGGCCCGGGCTAGGACTGCGGCTCCTAACCTTTACTACCTATCACTGGCTCGATTGCTTGCTCGCTCACTCCTTTGCTGACCTCTCGAACCTACTCGTAAACAATACCGGCCATTCGAAGAAAGGAGTGCGGTTACCGTTCTCGTGCTTTGCCCCCAAACAACCACCACAAAGTCATTCCTACTCCCGCCAAAATTGGAACAAAACCATGACGACACCGAATGTAAACCGTCGCGCCCTTACTTCTCGGGATGGTAATATCTACACTACGCCCCGACCCGGAGGAGCGAAGTCAGGAGCGGACGCGGCGACACCAGAGAGTCTAAGGAAGCGCAGCTCCCTAAGAAAGAAGCGGCTGTTCAGCGAATTGGTCGAGGACGGGGATTACTACGATGACCAGACGAGGGGCACACCGAGGCGGTATGTCAGTGCCAGTGTAGGGGGGAGCGGTAGAAGGGGAGGAGGAGGAGTGGTTGTGGTTGGGGAGGATGAAGAGGAGGAGGATGAGTATGCCTGGTTCTACGAGGAGCAGGAGCGGGAGGGGGCATTGTTGGGTGGTGGGGGGATGAAGCTTGAAGAGGTAAGCTTTCTCTCTCTCTATTTCTCTCTCCTGTCTACCATCATGTAAATTGACCCATTAACTGACTGGCTGGCTGATTAATTAATGGCAGGAGACACATATCCTTCCACCATACCCATATCCATCAACCCCCTACCGTACTTCAACTTCCACAATTCTCTCCACACCACTGACGCATGACCCCCACCACCACCACCTCCGTCATGACCGCAACAGACCAGCACCCTCCCCGGCAACAACCCTAAAGCTCCGCCTCCGTGTCGCACTCTTCAAAGTCCAGACGAACCAAACATCAATCCCACTCTCGCACCTGCAAGTCCCACAATCGTCCCCGCAGCCGTTATCCGTGTTCCCGCCGAGTCTGGTCCGGATTAGCCCTGTTGTGGACAGTTATGGGGATGAGATTGAGGATGAAGGCTTTGGAGGTGGTTCCGGTAGGGATGGAGTGGGGGTTAGCTTGCCGAGTTCACCGCCATTGTTTGGAAGAAGAGGGGAGGGGAGCCCCTCGCCGGCCAAGTTAGGATAGGAGGGGGGAAACCTTTTGGGGGGGGGGGGTGATACAAGGGGGAGGACATCTACCGGTAGGAGCATGGCGTTACTTTTTCTTATATAATGAACGGTTTGGCTGAGTTTTTTTTTATATATATACTTTGTTGGTTTGATCTTTTTTTATTTGGAACGATTGGGCTTTTAATGGATGTTTAAGGGACGGAAAGTGTTATCGTAGTCTTGCGGGTCTTGCTGGGTGCGTTTGTCTGTTGCTGGTGATGAGCAGCTGTCTTTTTATTATTCTTATCTTTCCCCGGATTCACTTTTATAAATGTATATATTGATAGTCCTGCCCCGTGCTTTCCTTTTCCCTCCCATCCCTCCCATACCTTTTGCCGAGGAGCTTCCACATTTTTTGCATTGTTTTTTCGTCCATGTTTTTTATGTAGGGGATAGGTGATTAGTTTAATGATCAAAACTTGCTACGTTTCGAGAACAGTATTTGTTTTGACCCCTGCTAAATGGTGTATCGGTATTCGAGACGAACACGCAGCAGGAGTGGAGATATATATATATATAAAGGAAGCGGGGGGGGTAGAGGAAGGAAGAAGTCGTGACATTATAAGCATGATAGTATCATAACCCCGGTTATCTACATGGCCCTTCAGGCCCCTCTCAATGCCCGGACACACACCACCTTATCATACCCCCGATGCCACACTACATCACCCACCACCGTGCGGTACAGTACGGGCGGGTATCGTACTAGATACTAATACCCGCAAATGGGTAATCTCACGATTGGGCAGTTTTTTTTCTTTTCTTTCATTTTCCTTCCTTTTCGATGACGAGTGGAATACAGTACAGTACTGTGCTGTACCATATCACACTAGTATTATGATATTGGTAGAACGGAACATAATAATCCCCCGCGAGTACTGATTGTCAAGAGAAGTGTACGAGCGCTAGTTAGTACCGGTAACTTGTACTAGTACAGTACTGTCTGTACCCGCCATTGCCACTGGAAGACGGAGGGGGTGCTGGTAAGTCTGCCCCCCCCCCTTTCCTTTCCTTTCCTTTCCTTTCTGAAGACTGTGGTGTATGTCATACCGAGCACAGTAATATGGTACGATGTGTATTGGTACTTCCCGGCTTTTAGTCCGTTGGGTCTATGATGCCTGGGAAAGGAAAGAAATGAAAGGAGAAAGGGATGGGCTAGATATCGACGGGCAAGTGCCCTGGTATCATACTTACTGACTATCCAGAAAAATCGGCTACTGCCATAATCCCTTCAATTGTTTTTAACTTGGAGGGGTTTACCGGGTTTCTAGTGCTCCGGTGAGTTGTGGTTTCGTCTTATCCAGCTTTTCTTTTTGCTTGTCCGGATCGATCGGGCGCTACCGTTATGCGGCGAGTATCGTACTTTGCAGCGCCCGTACTATACGGTGCTTCGCTCGCGCTCTGGGAATCGGTGGTATTTGCAACTTGGTGGGTTGGTGGGCGGTGGTGGTGTGTATCGAGTGCGCAAATGATCTGGGGTGTGGGTTTTTCCCAGAGAGTTTGGGAGCTTTGCCTTTGAATGTTTGGAGGTTTCTGGAGCCTTGCCCGATGAACTGCTTTTCAAGTGGGAGGGGTTTGAGACTGGAGAGTAATCTAGTAGAGACCTTTTGGGGCTTGTAAATTTCCTCCTTGTCATATCATACTATCATGCCATGCGGGTGCTCGGGCGGTTAGGAACCTTTACTTTGCGCTCTATGATACAATACGACAAATGGGGATGGTAAATCTTGGCAGCGAACCACGGGTAGGCAACGGCGGTCCCTGCAGGTGGGTTAGGGGTTTTTGCGGGGAACTTTTGTTTTTCTTGTGGGGTCTTGAGATGGGATGTTTCCGTTTTTCCTTTTTTTTTTAGGGTCACTTGATTTTCAGATGGCGGTAATTGGATTTGGGGTCTTGGTTTTGTATTCGTAGCTATCCTTCTCTTGAACGGTTGAGAATTGTTGCCGCGCCTGAGGCATCATGTAGCTTCTGTGCTCATCGTCCAACAGTAATGAATACATGCCGTTCCCCCCATATCTTACGGTGTACAGTACCTGTCCTCCAGCACAGAAAATATCAGCAGGTAGCAGCCCTTTCCCCGCCACGTGTCCCGGCCCGGGGATGGCCCTCCGGGTCCGGGTAAGATCCCAGTCACTCAATTACTTGGATCTCATCTGAAGAGCCTCCTACCGTTGTGTATCTTCCCTTGAACCTGCGGATCGAATGGGAAAACAAGCCCATGGTGCTGGAGTCCCGCTACCAGGAGGGCGGCGGTTAGGTGTGGTGCCTGAATGATGGACGTTTGAGGGATGCAGATTGGTGGGGATTAAGTAGTGTTGTACTGTACTGTACTTGGAGGGGCCGGGCGAATGGTAGCGGTGACTATGGGTGATTTTTTTTGTAAGGTGGCTGAAAAGGGGAGGGGATGAGCCGGGTACGGAGTTAGTAAAGGTAGGTCAGGCTGGTTGTAGGGCGGGGTTAGAATTTTTCTGTTGGGGAGCGGGAATTTGTTTGTGTAAGTGAATTACTGCAGATGGAGTGGGCCTGGTTGGATAATAGCGGCTGGCTGAGCAAGTGAGAATGGTGATGATGATGGTGGTGGTGGTGATGGGAAGGGAGAGGAGGGGGAGATGGTGGTCAACAGGAGGAGGTGGTCGGCCTCTCTCCTGTGAGGGGGAAGTGCTAGACCTCGGGCTCTCGGGTCGTTCCTAGAGTTCGCACTGCCCTTTCCACTTGGGGGAGGGGCTTGATAGCCGAAGCACCCGGTGGGTTCTTGGCAGGAAGACAAGACAAGATGCAACTGAGTATGATATCGCCAAATTAAGCCTGTGAGATAGGGGGGGTTAGGGTAGTGGGCAGGACAGCGGTATCCATGTTGTGATCAATCAAAAATCGTGGAGCCTCATCTGTATCTTTATTCGTTATTACATGGTAGTTTTGCTTTGCAGTATGATAGGAGATCCAGAGCTGTTATTGAGAACAGGGCTCTTTGCTGCGCCTTCTGTGACACCCTACTGTGAGCTCCTGCCTTCCCCACAAGGGATCGCGGCGGTTTATAATAGTTAGTTGGCTGGCCTCCAACATGGACCATGGGGGTGGGGATTCATACGGTGGCTTCTCGCCCTCACCACGCTTAACTTATGTTACAGCTAATCGGGTGCCAGGTCCTCCCCGATTCTTTGACCATAAAGCACCTGCTTCCGGATCCAAAACAAAACCTCCCACCAGCCATTTAAGGGCCGGGTTTTGGCTCCCCTCCTCTCCTGATTCAGCCAACTGACCCAAACAACTTTACCCTGTTCTGCCAAGATATACCCATTTCCGTTCACCTGGGGTTTCGCCGGCGCTGCTGATAATCCTCTTCCTTCTTTCTCCCCTCGCTTGTTGGCTGCTCAAGACGCAGTGCGGTGGTTCGGTATGTCGTCCCCTCAGTATCGTCTCCAGAAGATTGCGGGCCACTTCTCCCCGGATCGGCCCGTGAATAGAGCCGAGCTGTCGCCGACTTATTTCTTGCCCAGAGCTGCAGCAATCGAGCCGAATGTGAGTTGGCCATTGAGAGGTTGGAGGCCCGATTGAGTGGGCGAGTGCTAAAGTGAGGGTTTGTGTTTGTTTCTAGGTCGAGGCGATTGTCCACCTTACTGCCAGCGGCAGGACCATTCGCAGGACGTACCAGCAGTTTGCGAACCGTGCCAAGGGATTGGGATACTATCTGCGTGCGAAGGGGTACAAGCGTGGTATGCCTGTTTTCTTTCTGCCCTGCCTTGAGCGAGACAATGAAGAGCTTGGTTAAGGGTATTCTATTTAGTTGGGATTTTGTCCCCCAATACGCCAGCGTTCCTCGAAAGTATCTTCGGAATCGGAGGTGCCGGTGCGGTGCAAGTTGCGATCAACTACCGCCTCAAGAGGGATGACATCCACTACATTTTCGACCACGCGGAGGTCGACTCTATAATTGTCGATCGAGAGTACGTCCATTTGCTTGATGGGTTCAAACCTGAAATCCCTAGGATCGTCGATGAGGACAGCGATAATGACTTGGAAGGGGATTTTAACAAGGCTGTTCTTGAGGGGCTGGAAATTGACCGTCGGGAAGGAGATCGTGGGTGGGAGGGACTGTCAATGGAGGCTGGGAGCGAGGATGATTTGGTTGCTTTGGCGTATACCTCTGGCACTACTGCGCGGCCAAAGGGTGTAGAGTACACTCATCGTGGGGCATACCTTGGCGCCCTGGGGAACGTTGTTGAGTCGGGGCTTAATGGTGGATCTGTGATGTCTATGGGGAGGGCTAAGTTTGTCCCCCACACCCCCACCATTTTCCTCAGCTGGGAAATTAATAATGGTGTTAGGTACCTGACCATCCTCCCGCTTTTCCATGCGTGTGGATGGACCTTCCCGTGGGCCGTCGTTAGCGCCCGAGCGACACATTATTGCCTTCGTAGGTTGGGTCTGAACAGACCATTATTCAAGCAAGGCTGACAACTGTAGGTAGGATTGACTATGACGACGTGTGGCGCCTCCTGAGAGACGAAGGAATCACGCATTTCAATGCAGCTCCTACCGTTAATACCCTTCTGTGCGCATCCCCGAAGGCAGCTCGCCTGCCACATGAAGTGCGGGTTACTGTTGCTGCTTCCCCACCAACTGCTAAGTTATTTGGAGATATGATAAAGCTAAACTTGGTACCTGTACATGTTTATGGTTTGGTAAGGGTGTCTCCACGTACTGGAGTTGTCGGGTAAGCGTGCTAATTGTGTTTCGGGGGTTAGACTGAGACGTAGGTCATATGTGACTACCAAGCTGCAATATTGCACCAAGCAAATACTAACGGCAACCCACAGTTATGGCCCCATCACAAAAGGCTACTTCCTCCCAGAATGGCACAGCCTTCCCGCTGCAGAGATGTACAAGCTGATGGCTCGCCAAGGTAACCAGCTTCCTCCCCGAGCCTTCAGCTCTATAGCTAACTGTCCCAGGCCACGGCTTCATAACCAGCAAAATGATCCGCGTGATAAAAACCACTAACGACATCTCCAAAACCGGTGTCCAAGATGTGGCCAAAAACGGCAAAGAAATAGGCGAAGTCGCCTTCATCGGGAACATCTGCTGCCGAGGGTACTACAAAGACCCGGAAGCCACGGCAAAACTTTTTGAGGGTGGCGTTCTTCACTCCGGCGACCTGGCCGTCTGGTACCCCGACGGCGCCATCCAGATCCTCGACCGGAGCAAGGACATAATTATCTCGGGTGGCGAGAATATCAGCAGTCTGAGTCTCGAGAGCATGCTCGTGCACCATCCTGACATTCTTGAGTGCGGGGTGGTAGCCGTGCCCGACGCGCAGTACGGCGAGAGGCCCATGGCCTTCGTGACGAGTAGAAATCCGGCTCTGAAGGGCGCTGACGTGATCGCTTGGGCGAAGAGAGATAGTCAGATATCGGGGTTTATGGTTTGTCCTTCTGTTTTATGTTGTCGGGGTGTATGTTGATGCTGCGACAGGTGCCCAGAGAAGTTGAGATTGTCAAGGAATTGCCAAAGACCGAGACTGGCAAGGTTAGGAAGAACGTGCTCAGGGAGTGGAGTAAGGGGAATAGATATGCGCACTGAGGCACCACGCCCACGCGGTTCGTGTTTTTGCGTCGTTCAAAAAGGCTGGTAGGGTGATGTGGCACTTGCTGTGTATCTGTTCTGAGTGTACCTTGTTTTACATTATATATATATATATTTGTGGAATGCCAGATTGAACATTTGTTAGAACTGTAGGCTCCTTTTCTTTTTCTTTTTATATATCGTCACTCGAGGGGTGAACCGTTCGTCAGTAGAGTACCCCTCGGACGTCAGGATCCTCCGGTATCATTTTCACCCCCACTACTCCCGGGAGATCCAACACAGGACCGCTAACCAAATTCCCATCGCCAAGCTCCGAGTGAGAACCAATGACCTCCCACTTCTGAGACTATCTACCCCTGCGATACTGGCTACCCACTAACTAACAGGACACTACTCATATCTCTAAACTCACCCCCCTCCTCGGGGAATAGAGAGCACTAGGGCAGAAAACCTGGCTAGCGTCCGTTGGACATTAGAATGTAGGAAATGAACAAAAAGACAGGTAAACGAGTAGGTTAGTTGACCCAAACAGTGGAAATAGACTATTTCTCTTTTTTTGTTCCCAAACAAACAAAAAAAGGTAAAAAAAAACTGTCCT